ACCAAATGAAAAAAAAAATTAAGAATTAAATGTTCTGAAATTGATTCTAAAATGTTGTGAGAAATTGCAGTTATTTGAGACTTCGTAATACTTATTGCGACTCAATCAACTTTACAAAACTTTTAAGTCTTTGGATTTACAGAAAAAAAAAATTTAAGAATTAAGATTTCCAGAAACTTATTGAGCAAATTCTAATATGTTTCAATATATTTTAACATCTTGAAATACATTGCAAACTTCATTGGGAAACAATTTTTGGCTGACATTTCTTTCTTGAGGTAAGCTAAAAAATGAGGTCTTCTAGAAGCTTCATTTACAAAATGGCATCTCTTATAAAACCACTAGTTGATATTTCTGATTTATTTTTCCAATTAAACACCCGCATTTTTTGAAGAAAACCAATTTTCCTAAATTTTTGCATTCGGGTCCTACATAGAATTGTTTACTGTAGCCCATTGAAGTGACTTCCTTATAGTCATTTTATACGTTTAATAATTGAATTTCGGCTAATTGCAAAACTGAGGACCATTGGTCGACTATTTTTAGCTGAGCTTGTCTGCGTCTTATTCGATTAGCATTTTGAGGTCGATGAAGGAAGTGCGCTCTATCGCGGCAATTCAACAACAAAGAAAGTGAAATGCGAAAAATTCAAGGCGGCACAAAAATAGTTCAAAAAATTATTGGAATTAATTAAAGTACAAAATCAAACGGAGCTGGGCGAAAAATAAACATTTTCAAATGTGTCTTTTTCGCATTTTTTTAAAATTAGACCACATAAATATTTTTGAGAAATAGATAAGAAAAATAAGACAGAACACAGAAAATGTGTACTTTTACTTTTTTTTTAAAATATATTCAATTAGCACAAAACGCCATTCCATCATAATGACGGAAGAGTGGTTGGGAAAAACGCGCTTGGGCACAATGAGACGGGGGGGGGACGAATGGAGGGGTTTGGTGTCCAGCAAAGTGTAATTTCGCATCTCAAACAAAAATGAGGCGGCAGATTTATATGAATGCGCCCGTTTGTTCTTTTTATTGTCGTCGTCCGACCGCCAGTCCCTCCGAGCTCAGCTGTGATCCAAGTTCAATGCGATTAGTGCGCCGGATAATATGATTATTTTGGTGACACGCGCGCGAGCTGAATTTTGTTTATTCCAATTTTGAACAGTTTTATTCAAAAATTTGCATTTTGGTTTCAATTTTTCTATTAAATGTTTGATGAAAAAGAAAAACGCGGGGGAAAAATGAAAATACGATAAAAGTGGGGAAGGGCGTAAACACTGGAGTGTCGTACCAAAACGCATTGGTGTTTGAATTCAACACTCTTGCTGATTTTCAGTAATATTTGAAATAATTCTAGAAATAATGAGCGATTCAAAAAATGTGAAAATTCGACTCATTATTTGCCGCAATTACGATGAAAAAAATTCGCCTTTGAAAGGATTTGTTGCTGAAATTTTTTTTTTCGCGATTTTCAGGATTTACCATATGTGTATTGAAACATCTACAGTTTATGAAAAATGCGGCTACGAGAATTTATCGCTGCAAGACCTATTTCGTTAACATAAATCAATAATATAAGAAAATGAAGAAATTGAATTTTTACATCATTTTTTGTTTAAAAAGAATTGATTTGTTAGAATTTGAAGTTTTGAAAAATCGGACAAAAAATTAAATCCAAAAATAAACCAATTTTTATTGAAATGTTAAATTCTGAACTTCCGTGACGCGGCTCGCGGCGAGCCAAATAAATCGCCAGAATTAACAATTCATTCCGCATAAGCAGATCAAAAGACACATCATTTCGAATTTTTTTACTAGACAACACACATATTCGTTAAATAATATGATATTCATGAGCCAACACCGAAACAATAGACGGCCAAATAAGGAGCATATTGTTTTCCGGAAATTGATACTTTATTCGACGAAAACAATTTGGCAATTTTTTTCCGGTTGCATAAAATTGAAACGATAAAATTATTCGATCACAACGAACATTTAGCAAGCCGTAATTGGATTTGGATAATATCAGGTCAAAAACGGCTGAAATTGGTTGATAAAATAAACACGAAATGAGTCGAAACGAATTGAGCATAAGAATTGAAAAAAATGGTTTAAAAATTATTGTATGAATCCGTTGGTTTTTTTTTGCCGCAATATTTTCAGAAACTTGGAGAAAGCGAAAATCGCCGAAGAATTTCAGCTCCATCAAAAATAATCGACGAAAGTGCTTTTCCAGTGCACATTCTCTTCCTGTTGTTGCATTTAGAAAATTAGCTTCAGAAATGATTGAGAATGCGGCGACATCATTGTTTATGTCATCGAGACGAGAGGCATGACTGACGCTTGGAATCAGCGTTGTCGCAGTTTTTCGCAAGTTTCAAAACACACAATTGAAATTTTTCATGGGTAAGACGACGCATAAAAAAAGCTGAGACACTTCCAGGGCTCAAAGGTATTCAAAATTGAAATATTTTACTCCATTACCAAACATAGCCTACCAAATATGGGGAGGGGGTTAGCTGTGGAATGAGCATAGGGTCTTACATGAAGAGTAATGCGCTTAGTTTTTCGAGTGTGATGCAAAATTAATAATTGCGAAAAATAAAAATTTCCCAGAATTTGCCATTCAGTCAAAAACCGTTTTTTTCCCAAGGCGCGAAATATGGTCCGGCTTGGGATGTTCGACTCAATTCATTCAGAAGACTATTAAAAAAATATCCCAAAATATGAAATGAGCAGAAATCTCGAAGAGAATGGAATTGTTGGACCGACAAGAACGTCCTAAATGCGACTTAGAGGGATATTTACAAAATGGTCCCAAAGTGGGACCGTGCTGTTTTCAGAATTAGGCCAAAGATGGATTTCGAACACATTGATTTAGCCAAATCAAGAACGCATTCAGATGAATAGCAGCCCTCACAAAGAAATTAAAAGTATTGGCGGCCTATGTCGACTCGGTCGGCTTCGGGATGCCTAATGGGAAAGTTGATCGAGCAATTCATGGAAATTGAGTGATTCTCAAATAACACCATTCCTTAATTAGCTCGCGGTTTGGGGATATTTACGCGATTCGCGGTCTCACGCCGATGATGCTTTGAAAAACAAAGAATTTTACAAAAGCATAATAATGATTGAATGAGAATATTGAATAAAATTTCAACATACTATGAAATAAGTTGTACTGTTCGAAAATGACAAATGTATCCGTAGGTGTCGTAGGATCCTGCGTTTTGTACGCAATGCTAAGAGACAGTTACCATAATCCTCGCAGCGATTTACGGGGACTTTTATTTAATTTCGCATATTCATTTTTTTTCGCTCAATTTTCCTATTTCCCTTCGAAATTTTGTTATTTAAATTTTGCAGAAACCGAGTTTAATAATTTATTTACGTCAACTCGACGTCAAACCCGAAGCGTCTGAAGGAGTTTATCAAAAATCGAGAAGGAAGACGCGAAGCATTTCGATTAATTCGCTATTCTTAAATGTTCTATAAATTGTGGTGTCAATTTGAACGCGTTTTGTGGATTTTTGGAAAATTGATTTCGTTTTTTCGATGCCCGCATAATTTTTCCGCACCCTGTAACTGTGTGCGCCTTTAAAGAAAAAAACGGAAAATTTATCAAATTGTGAGCTCAACAACATCAGAATAAGTAGAAGAGCGCCGAGCAATAGAAAAGAAAAACTCGAAACTGCCTCAAATTTTATTAGGTGTCAATGCTGTTCCACATCGTTTAACGGCGTGTACGGACAGAAGATGAAGATGAAGGAATATTCTAAATATGGTGAGAGCAAAATTGGGGGAAAAAAATAGTAAGCAGCATCTCGTGTTCATCGGCGTCAGATTTCAGCAAGATGACGACGGCGCACTTTAACCATCATCTCGCGTTTCGCGTTTGAAGAAATCCCCCCATTTTTATCAGGTTTTTAATGCTATATTTCGAGCCAGGAAAATTACTTTTTAAAAATAATGCCATTATATATCATCAGTTTCTGATTTTTTTTAAATATTAATTCACGTCTTCAAGCACGTTGCACTTCATTTTTCTCTCAAAAACCTATGCACCTGCAAATCTAATGATCTCTAATTGGCATTAGCTGGTTCCGGATCTTCCGGAGTATTGCCATCTTCAGATATCAGCGCAATCCATTTAAAAAAATTTAAGCAGTTGATCGCACGCGAACCGCAACGCGCCACACTATGTACAAGGTCTTACAACATCAAATTCTGTTAGCCATTTCTTTTTTCAAAAACGCATCATAGTTGAAACAAATTATTTTAAATGAGAAGATTTGGTTTCGCAACAATTTACAATTTGGCTGCGTATCAACCAAAAGCAAAACTACAGTACATCGAAGTTACATGTAGCTTTGCATATTGTAACTTTTAATGCTAATTCGAGATCGACCAAAACGACAAGCCTGATTTTTATTGAAAACAATTATCATTGAAAAATTCTGTAGAGGAGAGAGAGAGAGGAGAGAAAAAACAAAACAGTGCGCACGAACAACAATTTGTTTCTTTTAAACTTCTATAGAGCATACGGTAGCACACACAACTTTTGCCTATAAAGCAACAATACCAGTCTGGCAAAATATCAAAATTAATAGATTTTTAAGATGGTAGATATGGACCAAAACAAAAAAGTGTAAAATCCAAGCAAGAAAAGGTGGGAGAGAGAGAAGAGCAAAATAGAGCACAACAAATTATAATCATAATAATAAAAGGCGCGAGTTTTGACAAAAAAAATACCGCGCTTAACTATGAACATTAATTGTTTCTTTTTGGGTGAAAATTAAACATAGCGGAATTGTTGAGCAAATCGGGGAACAACGAGAAAATAAATCTACTTTGGTGTAAGATAAATAACTAAAACGACTTAGGTTTCTTTTCTAAAACAAAAAAATCAAAAAGTGGAAGAACATATTCGGTAGCGGCTTGAGAGAGAGAGAGAGAAGCGTTTCAGGAAAAAAAAGTAATTAAATGATTGATTAGTTGATAACGACAGCCGATCCGAACAACTCCGACAAAACACGAATCGCATTGGCTTTCGACAACTGTAATAATTATGGCTGAATATTCAAAAACTCATTCCATCTCATTACCTGGAGCGGCTCAGTCTGAGTCGAGCTATCTCTAAGGCTCGCCTTGTCAGTCTCCGTTTGTGCGTGCTGCATCTGCGGTCCCTCCTGAACGTACGCGTTTCGCTGCATTTGCTGTTGTTGGTGTAACGCGTTCTGAAAACACATCGGATCAGCACTCATAGATTCCCCCAAAAAATGCGGTGACGCTTCGATTGATTTGAGCAACTCAACAAAAAAAATGATGTGAAAATCATAATTTAGCCAGTCTGAGACATGCACATATTGGAAACAGAATAGCGTATTTGGTAACATTATGAACGATATTAGGACACAACACCAACCATTACTAAACTTACGTTGCGCGGCAAAAGGCCGAGCTCTTGGAGCCACGAGTTTTTGCTTTGCTGGCTTGCAAGAAACTCGATACCACGAATCTAAACAACTCGGCGTTAATGTTTCAACAATTAGTCATTTAATGTGTTTCGATTAGGCTCAACGCTTCAATTTTATTTCTTTTTGTTTAGAACTCCGGTTAACAATTGGGGGGAGGGGTTATGGCAGTTAGAACGCGACACAAAGCGCAAAACATCAACAATAAAGCGAACATACATCCTTCTCGCTATCCGGAGTATGAGACAAGCTTCCAGCGTCGATTGGCTCCGATGGCGGTTGCGAGTGCATCTGGTGCTGGGTTTGACCGTTCGGTCCCATTTGATGATGAATTGGAGGCAGTGTAACAAACGAGTGCGGGAATCGTACCTAAAAACCAAAATTTGGATGAATCCGAAATGCCAAATGCTTACCGGTGGTGGGTATGGCGGAACTCCAGTCGGCATAATCATCATTGGTGGCCCAGGTGGCCCCTGTGGTCTCATGTTGAACTGTTGGACAAACGACTCCATCGAGTGCACGTTACCCAAGAGGAAAGGCAGCTAAAATAATACATATTTTTCCAATGGTTTTCTTTTATTTTTAAAGACTTACAGTTCCGCCACAGAACGTTGTCCATTCACCAAGCGTGTGATATTGAGTCTCATTTTCGGTACGAACTGGAAGACACTCGCTAAAATAACCGGATTGCGTCCAAAATGTCATATCTTTGTTGGTGTATGGACCTGAAAATTCAATCATTAATAGATTTTTTTAACAATAAAAGTCTTACCGTAGCACTCGTTATCGGGTCCCATGTAATACCAGCGGGTCTCATTGACGGGTTGCGGGTTCGACTTGGAGACCATTTTCGAATAGATATTCTATTATTGATTTTACCTGCAACCATAGAGTTGATCACTTGGCAAAACGCATTGAAGCGAGAGAGAGATAATCGTACGGCGGCAAAAACCAAAATAGATCAAATAATTAAATTAATAATGCAAAAAAAATGAAAAATAATATATTTAGAGGAAGAGAAGGTGTAAAAAAAAAAAGTGAGATGTTAATCCTTATCAAACCACCGCTCTTCATCATCGCGCTCTTTGATAGGATCAATCTCATTGATATTATCGCAGGTCGAGTAGTCGAAGAACCTACAAAAAAAAAAGAGATCAATATGATAAGGAGACTAGCGAGGCTCATCATACTGGTGGTCTTTTCCGGCAAGGAATCTCTGCTGCATGTAAGATTCGAATTCGGAACGAAGCATTGCTGGGGTGTCCTGATCGCCGAGTTCGTCATATTGCGAAGCTTCCTAAAACACATATTAGGTTTCAGTGACTAGCTGAGTAAGTATATTACAAGTTTTGCAAGTTTTTCCATCTCCTTCCTCAATTTTGTGATATCGTCATCCTCGTCTTCATCATCATCTCCGTCTTCTTCTGGAATAAATTCAGTACCACCACCAGCCATTCGATTGCTGACATGTGCGAAAAACCGACTGCTATGATCGTGGCCGCGGTCCTCTTCATGGCAAGTAGATGAGTTCTAGAATTATTTTCTAATTATCGATAATTTCTCGTTTCCCAATTACCGGTTCCCATTCAGTTTCTTGAACATTCCTGCGTTCCGAAATCACTTGACTATCTTCGAATCTGGACATCATATCGGACCAGCTGCATTCTCCTCCGTCTCGATTCACTGTCGGCCGCAATTGTATCCTTTCTATTAAAAATTTTATCAAAAATTATCAATTTTAAATATTTCTTACCGGCTTCGTTTAGAAATCTTCCGACCATTGCGTCGTATAAATAAGGTTCCCTTTCGCGCATTTTTAAATCTGAGAAGAAACTGCCCTCCTTTAGCAACTTCTGCATTTTATTAAACCGCCTATTCTTCTTCTGTAACGTTTTAAAATTAAAAAAAAATGAAACGATTTTTAATAAACCTCTCTTTTTGTTGGCTCCTTCTTTGCTCGAATTTGTTGCAGCATTGATGAAATAAATGGGTCTTCAGTATTTTCAAACACAAGACAATCATCGGCGGACATGTGTTCGGCGTACCTTCAATCATCGATATTTCGAAATATATAGAACGGGATTTCAGATTACCTGGTCAGAAAAACTGAAGGATTTTGTTGGGCAAGTTTTTGAAGAATATCATACTTTTCTTTCTCAGTAAAATCTTTCTCGCCAATTTTTTGATGTTGGACGAAAATATCAGGAAGTGATGCGAGTTTCACAATCAGAGACTCCATTTCTTCAATTTTTGGGTAGACATAGACGATTTTCGGAATTTCGAAACAGATAGGAGGCGTAAATTGATTGAAAAAATAATTGATAAGGAAAACAAAGCTTACATCAACAAAATTATTGATTGAAAAGGGGGTGGCGCAAAGAAATCACGCGGAAACAACAAACAAATGAAAAAAGCCAAAAAACAGCGTTCACACTGTCCGAAAAATTCTGAAGCAATATTAACGTGCGATGGAGCGCGTTTAAAACACCAACAGCTAGATTTAAAATTTAAACCACTTTTACTAATCTATTTTTTAATATATAAATGTTTCATCAAAAATTAGACCATAGCAATACAAAAAAACATATGCTGTTATCACAAAAAATTCAAACAAATAAGGACGCCGTGGGAGAAAACGAAGTTATGGGCCACGCCCAATTGCAATACCCGCACAGTGTTTGGCAGACTGGACGCATAAAACTGCATTATCATGTCGTCAAGTTTCCCCAAAAAAATGGGACCTTGAAAGGGTAATAAAACAAATGTTCTTTGTTTGACGTACTAGAAACGACGCCATTTTTGAATTGATTTTGCCGCCAACGCCGCTAATGTGTAAACGCGGAGTAACGTTAATAATCGTCACCCAACAAAACATTTACATTCACAACAATCGTGCAATTAAATGTTTAAATTCTTATTTATAATGAAACGAGTAGATCTTGATCATTACAATTAAACGAACAAATTTGCGGGAAATTTAATAATCCAGCAATCGTGACAAAACTAATTTCTAATTTCTTTGCGGTTTTGCATTCTTGGATTTAAAATACAATTTGCAGATAATCCCTGCTCTCCAAACAATGTGAATATCGTCATACATTTTTATGCTTGCCATGAATATGCTGATATTAAAACTAACAATACTATTAAATAATGGGAAATTGGTATAAATGTTGCGTTGCAGAAGTCGCCTTGACACCAACATGAATGCTCAATGACACTGGCGTCAGAAAGGCAGGAAAGTGGAACCTAAAAAGGATAAAATTAACAACGGAAAACTTTGATTTTATTATACATTAGCAACTGTACAATATGAATGGTTGGGAGGTCGAAATGTGTTCGGATCCTGGAGACTATAGAGTTTCGAATAACATCCGCGGAATGTCATGGTAGAATAAACACCTATAAAAGGGTTCGATTTTCAATAAAGTTAATACGACAGAAATACCGGAATTGTTTAAAGATTGCTGCCATTTGAAGCAGAAACCATCACCGCAATCATCCTTGCTTCGATCTTTAATTATCCACGTGTCACTATTGCAATTATCATCGAACACCAATGGTTCGCCAATACGATTTGGTGGTCCACGCTGCTTTGTGATAAAGTTCTGAATTGTATTCCATGATTTCATATTTATTGGATGTTGAGAAAGAACAAACCTACCGATTTCATATTTGTCGATGCACAACTGTAGCAATGAGCTGAACTGAACATTAGAAGCATTTCTGTTTGGAAAATGTGCTTACCTGCTTCGGAACTTTCATAAATGAAGAGAAGACAATAAATAAATTCAACTAGCATTTTCGACCATATGCCTGGAAAGAAACGATGATCATTGCACAAACAAATATTGGGTTTTATATTTAAATCCTCACTCTTCAGTGGCGAAGGTGTGAAAATTGAAGTTCAAATATTACGGAAGGATCGCAAGGGCTTTGCTTTTTATGAGGAAGCTTTAAAATATTCGAAGGCCAAGTTATTAGAAACTTGAAAAATGAAAATTCGTAGAAATTTCCATAAAGAGCGAGAGACATGACTGTACGAAACAATTTAAATGGACAAAATGATTTGTTTTTGATATATTTTTGATGTTGATTCATCATTATGTATACGCCGACGCTTCTTGCTTCCTAATGGGAAGTGCAAATAAGGAAATAAAAAATAGTTTCCGGTGTCAATTCAAGAATTACAGGGTGTCATTTAAGTTCCCGCACAAAAGTTTGACGCCATGTAGAGCTTCGCTAACGCACTTTTCGTACACCAATACAATTTATTTTTATTGAACAAGGTATATTTTACTTATTTTCCAAGTTTCACCTCATTCGGATGTGCTTCCGAGAAACGGCGAAGGCTAACATCCATCGCGCTTCCATTATCGAACTTCATAAGCAAAATGTGAGCCCGAGAGACATCATTCAACGGGTCGGTGTGCCTTGTAGAACGGTTTATGACACCATCAAACGATTCAAGGTGCTAAATACGACCAGTGACCGTCCCAGACAAGGAAGACTCGTCTCAGTAACCACTCCTCAGAAGATCAACGCCGTCAAATCGAGGATCAGCCGAAACCCCCACAGGAGCATGAGAAAGATGGCGTTAGACATGGGAATGAGCATCTTCGCTTTGGAACAAATCGTCAAAACGAAGCTTGTACTGACCCCATATCGTGTCCAAAAAGCGGCAATTCTATCGGCCGTCAACAAGCAGAGACGCTTCGAAAAAGCAAAACGACTTCTTGCTCGCACGCGGTCTGGACAAGATCTCGTCACTGTCTTCTCCGACGAGAAGCTATTCACTGTGGAGACGGCATTCTACTCACAAAACCATTGAGTACTTGCCCAGACATCCCAGCAAGCTTCTGAGAAAGGAAAAACAATTAATCGAGCCTCACATCCTGCCAGTGTGATGGTTTTCGGTGCCATCTGCTCAACCGGGATGTGCCCCCAGGATTTCGTGGATCAGGGAGTGAAAATGAACAAAGAAGTCTACGTTCGGGACATTTTGGAGAAGCATGTGATGCCCTGGACCCAAACGCATTTCGGTGGGCAGATATGGGTCTTTCAGCGGGACGGAGCACCCGCCCACACTTCCAAAACTACTCAGGAGTGGTGCCAGACCCATTTTCCCGACTTCATCAAGTCATCCGAATGGCCTGATTGCTCCACAGATCTGAAACCGCTTGACTTTTCCGTGATAGGGTCTTGCAGGAGAAGGTCAACGCAAAACCCCACTCAAGTGTAGAGGCTCTGAAGAGGACATTACTGGCGGAGTGGGACAATCTTTCCATCGAATACCTGCGTACCACAGTCACATCCTACCCGAAGCGTCTCCGTGAAGTCATAGCTGCGAAAGGAGGCCGAATCGAAAAGAGTTAATAAATAATTATTTGTTGTACTATAGATAAACAATATTTTGAGTCTCGTTTGATTTGGACTTTTAGTTTCAGAAATATACGTCTTCAAAGTTGTGCGGGAACTTAAATGACACCCTGTAAATAAGGTTCAGACGGCTTTGAAGCTATAAAATGTAAGAAATTGTTGGAAAAGAGTGCCTGGGCCACTCAATAGGCTGGTTAGAAGCAACAATTGATTGACAGCAAAATTACGACATCAGGTCAGCTCCCAACGAAAATATATTCAATCTAAAAACAACGATTCCAATTTCCTTAAAAATTAAGAAAAACCCAAAATTGGTTTGTCACAAGACCACCCCTAATAGAATTTTTATCAATGAAACAATAAAGCGTCTTATCTGGAATAGAAATTGGTATTCAAAAGGAACCAACGAGCAGCGGAGAAGCTTCTCCCAAATGTGTCGTCGGAGATTTGTCACATTCGCGAGGAAAAGACGAACGAGGCAATTATAACAAAATGGCAAATAAAAATAACAATAATAGTGAAATTGGAGAATTTTGAGAAGTTTCATCTCAAAATCGAAGCCAACAAAGATCAATATATATATGAAAGAACAACAACGAAGCGCTGCTAGGTGGTGGTCAGAGAGAGACCTCAACTAGGCTAGTGAGACTCGGGTTCGCTTGTGTGTTTGTATAAGCGAAGCGAAACGGGGGCCTCGAACACGAGGGCAAAAAGGTAAAACCCAGGAACCGTTTGGATATGCAACGCCGCCTAGTTTTGCGCGGCACTCGACAAATATTTTTGGAAACGAGCTGGCTCGTATGTGTTTGTGAAAAGGTTTATTTATGAGTAAGCGTGGAAAAACATTCGAGTTGGTATTTATATGGATGAATGTACATTATATATTTAGAATGACCTCAATATATGTATTAAAATCGGTGTGACCGCATTCGGGATGTTTTCTCAAAATGTTCAAACAAATTTTTGAGATCGAATAGTTGAATTTTTCCTTCCGCTAATGAATTGTCAAAATCTGAATCCCAATAATCTTTCAGATTCTGATATCATCGCTGCTGCGTCGTTGACGTCTGGATCATTATGACTTCCTTTTCTGATGTTGGTGTTCACTTTTGTCGAATTCTGATCTTCAATGTAATAATCGCAAAGTGTTGAGATCTAGAAAAAACTTGAAATACTGCTAAATCGAGTCCCAACACCTACCGTCATGAAGTTCATCGACTCCGGCGATCTTTGCTGAGCCAATGTGGTCAGCCTCGTCTGCATTTGCTGAAATTGCGGTCGATCTGATGGCTGGTCAAACCAGCATTCTCGCATCAATTGGTACCTTAATTAATTCGATTCGCTAAATAATTATCGCATTCGGTATTACAATTGAATAGAGCAGTTATCCGGTTTCTGTAATCTGAAACCTTTCTCGATCAATCCTCGAATTGCCTCATCGGGTATATTATAGTATGGGCGGCCGCCCATTGTAAAAATCTCCCAAAGGACGACGCCAAAAGACCACCTGAAAATAGGCTTAAATATTTATTCTGTAAATGTAGAAAGGTTACGAGTCAGAAAGCGATGTTGAGGTCTCGCCGCGAAGAAGCTCTAACGCATTCCATTTCTGAAGACCGTCGACTGGAGTGCTGTAAAACAAGACTGATAGATAGGCGGGAACTTTTCAAGAAGATAAATTCTAAATTAAAATTACCATGTTGGGGTGTTGGGTGTCGAAACGAAACCGAAATCCGAGATTTTCACGTTATGATCAAGAGTCATTAGAACGTGGCGAGAACACAGGGCATTGTGCACAATTGATTTCGATGAAAGATAAGCCTAAACCATATTAATTTTATGGATTTAAAATCAATTTTTACCATTCCCGAACAGATTTGCGATGCGATTCGATGCAAATCGTGAACGGAAATTACCGCGTCAAAATTGATCTCAGTGATGCTTGCCAACGAGCCATTCAAATCAATGCCGTTTTCTTGAAGCTTAAAAAAAAATTCATGTGTTTACAGTTTTTGAATTAGCGCTGACCTCAACCATATACTTTCGCCTTGAAACCAAATAGTCCAACAGATTTCCATTGCCACAATACTCCATGACATGAAGCAGACTTCCATTGAGGACGACAGTTCCTGAAATTGGGTCGCTATAAAAATGATACAATTTTTTTTGAATTACCAATAAAGGCAACAATTCTTGAATGCCTTCCAACTACCTTAGAGCCTTCGATCTCATCGATGAACAAACGCTTTTCATTTTTGCCCATATGCCGATTACTCTACAACAAAATTCGGCTGGAAATTTCTGGTGGAATTCCACAAACTTTAACAGCTACCCTTTGTTGATCATCAAGAACTACCGGACCATGCCAATCTGTCGAAAGTTGTCCTGTAAATAAGAATATATAGTCGGAACCCTCATCATAGTGTGTTACCCAGGTAAACGTTACTGAATCTTCCAGCACCGATAACGGAATCTTCAAAAAGCTTCAAGCTGCTGTCATCAATCACGTATTGATCACTGAATATCGATACCGTTTGTTAGTCTTTATGCCGAACTCATTTCACTTACACATTTTTCTCATGTACTCTACATCGAAATTTTCCCGTTGAACATTTGTAGATGACAAAAATCGATAGAACAACGAGAAGAAACGCGATTACGAAGGCGTAGCCGATGAGCGTTCTGAGAAGGGTGTTGACGGATGAGACACTCATCGAAGTGGTCGCAGCGGATACTAAAATTCGATTGAAAAAACTTTCTGTCGATTCAAAAATTACCCGCGAGCATATCCGCCATCACTTTGCTCACACCATCCACCAACGGCGGTTGCTCCAATCGTCTGTCAATCACACCGCATAATTGCACACCGTACTTGTTATTTGTATCAAAATTTACAATGGTGAGACTAAATGAACGATCCTAAAATTTTAAAGAAAGATTTGAAATTTCATTTTTGGAATTTTCACATAGGAGCAATTCAGTTTATTGGGAACGCATAGGCGTTTGACTTCTGCTTTCTGCAGATCTAGAATGCATTCACCAATGTCATTGTTCAAACTCGAAGTTTCACAAGGTCCTAAAAACAATTTTCAGTTTAAAATTGATAAAAAACTTTCTTACCGTAATATGCAATGAAATATTTCAGCTTTTTATAGCGTTCATCCCGTTTTTCAATGGCAATGATCACATCAATCTCATGCTTTTCCAATTTCGGATTCTCAATGACACGCGTGTGATAGGAGCGCATAAAATTGCACACCGCGTGATGGTCTACTAAACCCAGAACATTTTCAAAATATTCAAGTTTTGAGATCAGAGCTCACTTTTCAGAGCTCCAGTGCAATCAGCGCCAATAATACGCTCGCATGCGAATGTGACATTCATTGCTGCATGCGAGGAAAGGTGCACAAATTGATTGCAATGACGATCGTATAAGGAATTGATCTGAAATCATTAGGAAGCGGGTTGAGAAAATAATCATGATTTCAAAAAACGGATCGATCAGAAATAATTACCCTTATTTCATAGGTCGATCTCAGCTTCATATTCAGCACATCAAATGATAGTTCGACAACAATTGCGCTTGTGTGATCACCGACGTCTACAAAATGTACACTTCTCAGCGTCGGTGGCCTTCTGGAGGTTTCGACGACATCGTGGGACATTGGAAGCCAATCAATTGATAACGAGCTCTCATTCTGAAACAGATTCTTTATTTTTTTTTAATTCGGGCATTCAGATAAATTGCAAAACCTTTAACAAATCGTAGCGTTCGGCTTCATATTGAAGTCCCTCGACATATACGACAACCACGGCCAAAAGCTTTTCGTCGATGAACCGAATACGACCCTTAAGTGCCATTGTAGATTTCAAAATGCATTCGGTGCCGCATTTACAACAGCTCACCTAAATGTGAAAACTAACTTCTATTAATTAAGCTTCGTACCGTTTTGGTGAAACACAAAACTATCAAGATTCTAATGATGACTTGAAAATCCATGTTCATCAACCAGCTCGCATTCTATCAGATCAGCAACCAAAAAAAAAAAAAACAACAGAAGTTTGAGTTGAAAAAAAAAAACGTCAACTGGAAATGATGCAAAACAAATACAAGAGGAAGACCGCTTTGGGAATCATCATCTTTTGTTTAAACATTCGACGAGAATCGAACAACAAAATCAATGATATATCATTGAAATAGTTCAAATCAGATATATGAGAAGGGTCCTCAAGGAAGTATTTATGAGAATGAGGCCTAGTTTATTTTGAATTGGGAGAAATTGAATTGATTTCGACCTGTTGAAGAAATACCAAAAAATCAAAAAAATTACTAAATATTTGCTTTTTTTATTTTACAATTTTTTTCTAAACGTCAGAATTTCATAATTATTTTTACATTTTAAAAAATGCGGTGATTTTGAAACAGCAGCAAACTTGCTTGGTTTGTTTATTTAATTGCTTGCAACACGCGATTCTACAATTTTCGTGTCAGGACCAAAACCAATAAGCTTTATCTCCCCGATGAAAACGAAAACTTCATTTTCGCGACATCATCCCATTAATATTAAAACAATGTATTTTGGAGAAGAAACAAGATAGAGAGAGCACTGCGAAACAAAACCAAACACGAGAAATGTGACCAAAAATGGTCAGTGCCCATCCATTTATCCGCCGAAATCCGATATGTCTGAGAAATTCTGGACTATTTCTCGACTCGCGCCCTTTTTTGCCGCTGCCGCCGCCTCTTCAAGCATACAACACACGATGAACGCGATTAGTCGTCACCATCATGGAACTCGTTGAGAGGCGTGTGAAAACCGGAATGGAATTGCGTTCTTTATTTCAAAATGCTCAAAATCATCATGTGCCCGCAACATTAAATGAATACAACTTTCAAGAAAAAATCCGGGGAGAAGACGTATTGTTAACGTCTACAGGAAGAATAATATGAAGATGGGATACTATTTTCCATCTTCAAGAAACAAGAAAAAAAGGGTTACTATAGAAATCTGGGATTAAAAATATAGCATATAATGCTCTTTGAAACCTTTAATGATATCGTATTCTTTCATTGACGACTGGAAGAGATCTTCCTATTCCATTCTCATCGACATAATCCGCTTCTTCGAGTTTCGACAGCGAGTCGTCTTCGTTCAACGTAATTAATCCAGTGGTCTTCTCGACGTTGAAATTGGTGGAATCCATATAATACCGATCAAGAACTGGTGGCGATATGCTCTCATCATTGACTATTTCTGAATTTTCCAATCTATCCACATTTGCGATTGTGTTTTGAAGATGATTCAATGGCGTCGTGCCATCAGTTTCGTTGGCTGCAAAACAAAAATGAAATTCGAGATTGTTGTCACCACATTTATCGGAAGTCATAAGATTCAGAATCCTCCGATCGAATGCGCTTCTCATGTATTAATATTGAATGCATGTACAGGGTGTCATTTAAGTTCCCGCACAACTTTGAAGACGTATATTTCTGAAACTAAAAGTCCAAATCAAACGAGACTCAAAATATTTTTTATCTATAGTATAACAAATATTTATCTATTAACTCTTTTTGATTCGGCCTCCTTTCGCAGCTATGACTTCACGGAAACGCTTCGGGTAGGATGCGACTGTGGTACGCAGGTATTCGATGGAAAGATTGTCCCATTCCGCCAGTAATGTCTTCTTCAGAGCCTCTACACTTGAATGGGGTTTTGCGTTGACCTTCTCCTGCAAGACCCCATCACGGGAAAGTCAAGCGGGTTCAGGTCTGGGGAGCAATCAGGCCATTCGGATGACTTGATGAAGTCGGGAAAATGGGTCTGGCACCACTCCTGAGTAGTTTTGGCAGTGTGGGCGGCTGCTCCGTCCTGTTAAAAAACCTATTTCTGCCCACCGAAATGCGTTTTGGCCCAGGGTATCACATGCTTCTCCAAAATGTCCCGAACGTAGACTTCTTTGTTCACTTTCACCCCCTGATCCGCGAAAACCAGGGAGCACTTCCCGGTTGAGCAGATGGCACCGAAAACCATCACACTGGCAGGATGTGAGGCTGGATGATATGTTCTTCCTTTCTCAGAAGCTTGCTGGGATGTCTGGGCAAGTACTCGATGGTTTTGTGAGTTGAATGCCGCCTCCACAGTGAACAGCTTCTCATCGGAGAAGACAGTGACGAGGTGTTCTCCAGACCGCGTGCGAGCAAGAAGTCGTTTTGCTTTTTCGAAGCGTCTCTGCTTGCTGACGGCCGATAGAATTGCCGCTTTTTGGACACGATATGGGGTCAGTCCAAGCTTCGTTTTGACAATTTGTTCCATAGCGAAGATGCTCATTCCCATGTCTAACGCCATCTTTCTCATGCTCCTGTGGGGGTTTCGCCTGATCCTCGATTTGACGGCGTTGATCTTCTGAGGAGTGGTTACTGAGACGAGTCTTCCTTGTCTGGGACGGTCACTGGTCGTATTTAGCTCCTTGAATCGTTTGATGGTGTCATAAACCGTTCTACGAGGCACACCGACCCGTTGAATGATGTCTCTCGGGCTCACATTTTGCTTATGAAATTCGATAATGGAAACGCGATGGATGTTAGCCTTCGCCATTTCTCGGAAACACATCCGAATGAGGTGAAACTTGGAAAGTAAGTAAAATATACCTTATTTAACAAAAATAAATTGTATTGGTGCACGAAAAGTGCGACAGCCAAGCTCTTCATGGCGTCAAACTTTTGTGCGGGAACTTAAATGACACCCTGTATTTTGTGCACCCCTACCTTCATTCGTACTTGGGTAGACACGTTCATGCTCGTTTCCAGAACATCCGAGTTGAGATAAGCTGTCAATCAGGATCTGCGAGGTCGAATCAGCGTCATCTCCAGTTAATTGCGATGCAAATTCAATTAAATCATTTTGACGAACACTAAACATTTAATAATATAATACATATATTTATTGAGGACATACAATTTCTGTTTTTGTGTGAGATCCGTATAAATCTTATCAGTTTTCGGCAGTCTCACAAAAAACGCTGTGCGTTTGCTATCGTCTACACCAACGAAAAGATTATTATCGAGGTAGCTCTTGATGGTGCAGTTTCTTTTTTTCTGAACTGACATAATTTCAATTTTCAATAAATATTGTAGACCTGAGAGTATTGACATAATTGGCACGTTGGAAATGACAAGGCGCATGGTTCACAGAATATGTGGTGGCATTCCCGAGTTCCTTGCATAACAGTTCTCACAGGAGTACGGCATAATTGGCATTTTAATGTTCCATTTACGGAAATGGCGTTGAGATTGGAAGTGGCTAAAATTTCAAATAATTAACAATTTAAATAGAAATCAACCTGGTGGAGGAAGACTTGTTGTATAACTCGAAAACGATGCATAATGCTTACGGCCAATCGGCGTTCTGGCAGAAATATTTTGTGAACACTGAATTTCAATAATTCTCAATTTTTTTTCCATTTTACTCACAGTTGGATTTATATCCAGTGTTGTTATTTCTTTGTAGTTTTCGGATTGAATTTGATCGGCACTTTCTGAACATTTAAAATCAAGATTGCGAGGCCGCCAAAAAACTAGGCCACATTATTATTTCGAAACGCACCTCTATTCTTTTTCGGTCGGCCTCTTCTTCTGGTTTCTGCGTAGGCTACCTTAATATCATCAAATTTGTCGGCTTAGAAAAAATTAATACTGATGGGTTTAGTAATGATACAACTGACGTCGGCTCATATTGCATCTCTGTACCATTTTGGAAATTCACATCATATTCCTAAAATAGTTTATTAATTAAGCTATTTCGCAAAATCTTACGGTTGGCCATTCAATAAAATCGGAATGATTTCGCTTTCGCGTTCCAGCACTCTTTCGAAGACAATAGCTACTCTTCACATTCCCGTCCATGTCACTATCATAGCGACGAGGTGCCTTAAAGTAAAGTTTAAGAATAATTACTATAAAAAAACAAAAAATGATTTTCAACTAACGCGTCGCGTTCTTTCCGGTCGGTTTTTTTGGCCGTCATTTTCCGTTTCATGCTGACAACAATCATTTTGAAAAATATTAATAAAATATTTGGTACCTTTTCATCAGAGCCGCTTGATTCCCCACTATTTTCGTTATAATCGCTCATAAGGCCAGGTATCGACTCCAAAAGTGTCAAATTCTTAAAAGAGAATGCGGACGAAAAAAATTCGAAATTTTTCTACGGTCAGTCGAAGGCACTGTATTTTGCAAGACCGCCGCGCACTATCTTATTTTTTTTTCATTTTTTCAATTTTAATTTTAAATTATTTTCAGATAAAATGACTTGTTTCGTGACAGTTGGAACAACGTTATTTGAAGATCTTATAAATGAGGTTAAGCTTATTTTTAAATAATTCCTTAATTTAGAAATTTGAAGGTTTTATCAGATCAGTGCTTAACGGAGCTGCGAAAACTCGGAATTCATAAGCTTAAAATTCAAATAGGTAATTCAGTGTTTTGGAAATGTTTTCCAACACATTTTTTCAGGTCACGGAAATTTCAATGACGCTGTAAAACAGAAATTCTTTAACAACACACAATTGGATGAAGGAAACTCGAAACACGATGATATTGAAATTGAATATTTTCGATTTCTACCAAATCTTAACGATAATATGAAAGAAGCAATGGTATAATTTCGCTCGAAAATAATGAAAAATGTGTAATTCAGATAATAATCGGCCACGCCGGCGCAGGAACATGCCTAGAAGTTCTTCGACTCAACAAGCCCTTCATTGTTGTCATAAATGAAAAGTTGATGGATAATCATCAGGTTATTCTTTCAATTGGTTCCTTCACATATATAATATTTAAGGCCGAACTTGCAATGAAACTATCGGAAGGTCTTCATCTTCTTCACTGTACCCCAACTAGTCTGTCATCCACAATATCCAACCCATGCCTTTTCGCCCTAATTCCATTCGAGCCAATTTCACAAAAACGCGTCGCGACATTCATCGATCAGCGTATGGGAATTGTGAGAAACTAACCAATTTAAACAATTCATGAACTGAAATGTATTTATTCTAATAAGTTATAAAATCAATGCCAAAATGTTTTAAGAAGCACTTGAATGACTTTTTGATGTCGACGATGTTGTCGATGATGAGGAAGATGATGATGTCGAGGACGATATTTTATTCTCATCAACGGATTCAAAGTCCTCATTATACTCCCAATTGTCATCTTCTGGTTTATTTTGAACCACAAACGTCGCACCGGAACCTTCGGATCCACGCCGAGAGGTGGTCTTATTAGTTCGTTGATGCTTCAAATAAAAAAATTAAACATTGTGAAAGACGAGAACGAGACTAACATCAGTCACATTAACCGCGGAGCTTCTCTCTTTTGCCGATTTCATGTGTTGCTCGAATTTTCGTTGAAGGCGATGCTCTTGAGCCAAAGCTGATTGTTTTTCCATAATCAACGGACCGTTTAACACTCTAAAAAACTAATGTCGTGGGCGGGAACCATTTGTTAATACCAATAATCCTTTAAAACGAAATATCAAATTTGAGATTCTAGAGTAATAACAACATATGGACTATTTTTGAAAACAATTCATACCTTTGTTTCATTTCCGCCAGCTTTTTTTGATATTCCCTAGTGGTTTCTTGATGGGCCATACTAAAAAATTTCCAATAACTCCGAATAGTTTAATAAATGCTACATTTTCTCTTTTGTCCTTAACGCAATGTCCTCCTCAGTTTTGCTTCGAGCGTTCAGAAATGCGTTGATTCGCCGCCTATTGTCTTCCTTCCAAATCTCATTTTTTATTTTCTCTTTTTGGCTTTCAAGCACCTTTATCCTAAAGAAAACAAACAATTTCATCATTTGAAATAAATATTGTATTACTTATTCAGCTCCTCTCTCAACTGTGCCGAATGTGTTGTCGGGATGCGAGCAGGTCGAGCACCGCTTGATTGAACTCTTCGCTTCATCTTGTACGGCTCGACAGACTTCTCAACACAATTTGTGTGACGTGACGCTGCTGAAGGCGATCTGGCGAAGTTGAATGGTACTGGAACAGTTGCAGGTTTTGGCGACACTCGTGTTACAGCACCCATCTGAAATTATTGAAAGTTCGATATAAAATTGACGAGGCGATTTACATTCGAATGAATTGCATTAAAATCCGGTGGCGATACTCGACGAGCCATGTCTGTCACGGGCTTCTCAATTTTGCACCGATTGTGTCGCAGGTTGAAGTTCATGGTAGAAGTGGCTCGATGGCTCTGAAATGGATGCAATAAGGCTTCCAACGAAAATACAAAGCCAAACCTTTATTCCTTTCGGCGTTGTGGCCTCTTTGAGCAACTGCGCCGAGCGTGTCACTCCGTTCCGACTCCGTGCATTGGGTCTCACCGGGATTGGCGAAATATACGTTGTCGGCGGCACGTAGCCAACAGGTTTACCGGAAGCTGAAATGGAGTATCCCGAACTACTAAAATATAATAAAAAGAAAACCACTCACGAAGATGCCCTTCACTTTTCGATCGCTTCATTTCCTGCGACTCAAATCTTCGACGAGTCGCCGCTGCCACCTTCTTCCGCATTGCGGCTATATACTTTTCATCGTTCAAATAATTATTTTCAGGTTTATACGTGCTAGTGGGTACTGGATTAGCTTTGAACCTTGGGGAAAAAATTATTGATTTGTGTGCTCCTTAAAAAAAATTTTACCGGGTTTTCGCCATCTGCGCCTCATTCTCGGCATCAATTTTTTGTTTTTCCTCCATCATTTCGCGAAGAAACTTTTTCGAATATGTGTTTTCTATGGATCCTCTATAACAAATATTTTTAAAAATTGATTTTCGAATAAAACAACCTTAAGGTAAGTTTGAATGGTACTGGCACAGTGATTTGCGGCACAAATTTTTCGTTCCTCGCCGGTCGTACGGTATTCTCAATATTCGTTTGCCGTGCTATCGCCGATTTTGAGCGTTTCGATAGCTCAAAATTCGACTTGCTTCTTCGAGGCTTTGCTGAATTCCTAGGACTCTCTGAAAATGATTATTTCTAGAAGTTTTTTTTTGTCCAGAACATTTTCGGCTACGTTTTTTCGGGGAATTTTGCTTAGGCTGTGGTGAAGGTTCATAGAGTACAGCAGGAGTTTCTGTAGAAGCGTCTCGTCGATTTGGAAGAATGGTACTAGCTGAAATAGAGGATTATATACAATATAGCTTACAGATAACTTGCTTGATTTTCTTGAACTGAGCCGTTCACTGATAAAGCTCTCTTCTGAAATGAGACATTATTGAAATCGAATACGAAATTTTAAAACCTCGAATAGTTGGAATTTCGCGCGTCGTCGACAAGGCATCGTCGTAATAATTTTCTTCGACAACCTGCGATGACAACGCGAATTTCGCTTGCTCTTGGGCGCTCGCGTTCCGATCAATCATCTCCAGAAGTCGATTCCTCTCGGGCAACGTGAACGTTGCCGTCGAGATATGATGGTGCCTTTCAATCACCGTCGACGCTCTTGATGATGGATACAATGATTGTGAGACATCGTCATGAGGTGATATTCGCGGCTCAACGTCTTGATATGAGCGACCGCGGCGGTGACAATGCGACGATCGCGACCGAACGTTTAAAGGCGCTTCATTCGATTTCTCAAAACTAAACCCGTTTTGATTGGCGAGAAAACTGGCAGTATCCTCATGCTTCAATCGCAATATCGATAATTTCCTAATAAATTCTGGATCATTGAGCAGTGACGGATCCTAAACCGAACGATACATACATACATACGTGATGGTTAATTAAATAATTAACGAATTGTTGAAATGGAAAGACTTACAAGTTCTAAAGCCTCAAGCAAGTTCTGCGTGGCTTGCAGGTTCCGTTCAATCGGGTCCATGATGTTACCGCCACATCCTGCAATAAAAAAGAGCTTCGAGATTTAAGAAAAAATGAATTCTTGAAAATCAAAACGTGAAACGGAAAAGTACACAAGCTTTTTTCCCGTGAAGCAGTGAAGTTCCGGAACTTCCCTGTGGCAGCTTGTTGTACGAGGTTGTCCAATCGAGCTCACGCCACCCCCTCACTTTCTCCAGTTTTGGTTGCCATGAGCGACCCGCGTTGCGCGCCTCTTATAATTGTGCACTATCTCGTGTTGAATGCAGGTGGAAAACGGAGGGTGCACATTAATTAAACCTTGATATGCCATACGCCAATTTTATCCAAATATTAGTGTCTAATACAATTTAAATAAAATTCGAATAAATAGCATTCATTGAAAAACGAGAAACGAAAAAAAATGAAAATTTCAGGTAGAAATATTAATACTTTGCTTAAACTTCGTTAATTTTTCGGACATTTTTGGAAGTATTTCGGCCGGTAGCTTGAACTGTGATGAAATTCGCGAATGACATAAAAAAACGAGTGAAAATGATAACAAATTAAATCGAAATATTGCAGCAAAATTCACGAAGAGGACTCAACTATAAATATTTGCTACTGAAAATGTGAAAATGGAAAATACATCGAAAATTACGCGCAAATTCAGAAAGGCTTTATTTTTGGGCTACGTTTTGATTTCAATTCAAAAACTGCAAACTTTTCAAATTGCAGATTTCTCAATTTCAAAAACTCTAGATTATATTTAAATCCTAATATTTTTATTTCAAAATTAACAAAATCAAATATGCAGACTGTTTACGTGAGCGAAGTGCGATATGTCTCATAGTTCGGTGTTCCGTTGATTCCAGCGATATTGATATTCTGGCGGTTTTTTCGACACATAACAGCATTGCGAAAATCGCGGATATGAAAAATCGCGATCAATGGGTCGAGAGCCGGATAAATTCCAAGTCCACCGCTAGTTAGATTCGCCAATCTGCCACCTTCAATGCCAAAAATTGGCAAATACAGAATGAGCGCAACTGGGACGTAAATAGTGACCAGTGGAAGTATTGTCTGAGATTCCAGAATAATAAAATACAAATAAATGCAAAAATGTACCTGAAATGCAAGTGTGGTAAACAATTGTTTATTCAATTCCCTTGTGCGAATGCTCATCGATGAGCTAGCTTTTCCCATTGTTAGATATGTATTAAAAGCACAAAACACAATGGCAATATTGCAAATTACCTAAAAAACCAAATTTAGAATATTTCGCGTTTTTTTCTTTTTTTTTAATTTAGGCTGATTAATAATGAAAAATGATTCAATCTCACAAGCCTATTCGTCAAACAGAAAATTGACAAAATGACAAAAAAAAAAGAAAATAGGTGTGCGCCTTCAAAGAAGCCTCTAAAAATGAAAAATGGTAAAAAAAATTCTTACTAAAATCGTAGTGCACACAATAATTCCAATAATTTGATCAATATTCCAATGAGAGGTCCCATCAGAATTGAATGATTTGAAAAGAGTCGATATAAAGGACACCTTATGACTATCGACATCATAATAGAATTTTAATTGGTCCCTGAAAATTCTTGTGTTCCGAGTTCGGCCAACCGTGTTGTAGGCAACACCACAAGCGCTTGCTGCAACTTGCTGGGGACTCCGAAACATCGTGTGCGAACCAAAATATCCCAACTTTTCGTTTAGTTGAATGAAAAAATTATGAACATTTTTTATGATCGCCTCTCCCCGATTCGAAATCTTCGTTGTTGACACATTCGGAAAAAAATCATCGAGCTTAATCTGATTAATTTCTTTTCCAAGCGTGCTTTTCATACACCGACTCATTTATAAACATAAAACTAATTAAATTGAGTTCAAATGAATTTCGAAAAGAAGAAAAAAAAACACGCTTACTCGAAATAATTTTGTTTTTCTGGTGTATCATGCATAAAGTATTGAACATTGGCGAACCAAATAATTGCAATCACCAAACATGGTATAAATGTGAGAATGATCGAGTAGCCATCAAAGATTTTCAAGTATCTGGGCCTGTAACTTTGAACTAATTTTGATTCACGGTGGAAATTGGCGGGTCCCAAAAAAAAGTGAAAACTTTATTATAGTATCAAGGTGTTGACTTCGGCTTGATGGGATATTTAGTGATTTCCCTTATTTTTTTTTCGAGGTTCCATAATATTAACAGACATGCGGTGGTCGAGCTGGTACTCAGCCAAAAATTCATTGAGAACGTTAATATTTTTAGGATATGAGCAACTTAAAGTTGTGACTTGATTTAAGGATTCTCCACAGATCATGAATCTTCAATGAGCGAATACCGCAAAAAAATGGGGCAAAATTGGGCTGTTTTTGGGTCATTTTTAGAGATACACCCTGAGCCAACATTTCTGTTTGAATTTTGGTAGCCTACGAATATTTAGTTGTGCCATTTCGCCGGGAAATTTTCGGCCACCCTGTAATGTCAATTACGCCCTGCCCCGATGATCATTTTGGGTTCTCACTGGTCACCCGCGTGGAGCCCGACAATTTCCACCGATGTCGCATTCATAAAATTTCATTTTACCTGCACAAATAAATGTAACGATAGACGAATTGAATACCAAGGACTGAAATGCACAACGCGAACGAGCCACAATATAACGCTGAAATTCGATTTGTGAATTCTTTGGAAAATTTCGAAAAAACTGACTTGTCATCGAATTGCCAATCCATTTCTCATACTTGAATATTCCATCAAGAAACACTATAAATGCATACGGTTTCATGTGCATTATCTGATATTGTCTTTCTCAATTTTCTGTATTCATTTCGTACTTACTGGCTGCGTGATGATTTCAATCCACGAGTATACAAAACCATATATGGCGAAAACCGACATCAGATGGCGATATCGACCCAATCTCTTGTCGGCGACTTTGAAAATTAAGTAGAATAGCAATGTGTTGTTGATTTGCGAGCCGACGAATCCCGCATATTGGAAGATGCGCAGAATCACGATGATTTGTTTCGTCATTACCACAAAATAAAACACATTTTAAAAAAAGGAGAATTCATTTAAAATGAGATTGGTTGTCAAGTGACCGATAATACTATTATGAGATGTTTGGTTGTTCTAGAGAACTTAAAAAAAACTGATACTGAAAATCGCCTATTAAAGGAAAATTAAAGTCTATGTAAATGTCATTTAGGTTAAAATATTCGTTTTGAAAATGTTTGATTTGTGTGCGCATTTTTGAATTTCTCGAAAGTTTTTGGCGAGCTTCAACTTTTTTTTGACGAATTAAACACACTCAAAGATAGGTATAAGAAAAAATCCATCTAGCCTAATATAGTCATTTCAAGAATAAGCGGCTTACGAGACCTCGAGATTCCCAAGAATGTCAGAAGAAATGAAGATCCGAATTCGAAATTTTTAACAATTTCAGAAAATGATCCAAAGTATAGTATGGCAGAAAGTGATAATATTAGATGTGAAAAACAGCAAAGAGGGACCTTGATTTGAATTGAAATTTTTTCCAGCTGTGGTCCAACGTATATTCAAATAGAGTTCACTAAATTAGGGTATGCGCTTTTGGAAAAAAAAATTTACGAAACCCTCTTTATTCAAAATAAAACTATACTTTTCTAATTTTTTGTTCAATATCTGAATTTCCATCCCATTTGGATCAATAAACAGACAAGCTAACATGAGTTGATGATATTATCAGTTAAGGTTCATTTCGATAACATGAGCTCAATTTTAAACCTTTTTTTGAAGGTCTCATGTTGTGAATCATTGAGACGATCAAAATTAAAAATTGAAAACAATTAGAACTAATTTAAAATTTCTTGTAAAATATTTTTTTCAACATGACACAATTCTATTTTGAAAGAGACTAATTAGCGGACGATTTTCGGAGAATTATCAAAATAAGCACCAAGACTATTGTTTTAATACAGTCTATTATAGACGTAGCGCGGAAAATTGGCTAAGTGCAAAAAAAAAAAGAATTGCAGTGGTCTTGACGCAAAACTAAAAATATCGATTTATATAAGGATAGGTTAAAGGCGCATACCGAGACCTCTCCTTGAACTTTTTTCTTATTTAGCCAATTTTCGTCGGCATTACTTTATTGTAATTTACACCAGATCTCTCGTCTTTTTTTTTGTTATGGGAATATTTTTCTATAATTGATTAGTCAACGCGACTTTTTTGTTTATTCCAAATGAAAATTGTCTAATGAGAAATAAAATAGGAGCGTTTTTAATTAATTCCTTTGAGGATCAAATTTTTTGAAAAAAAAAACAAGTAACTTTCGCAAAGTTCTTTTGAACTGTTTTATGCAAAAAAACTTTTTTAGGTAGAGTGAATGATTATAGAATTTAAATTAAAGTAGACTGAAAAAATACTGCTTGAAATTCGGAGATAGCAGAACATGAGTATTTGGCGGCATCCTATTGCGGTTGGGAAACTTTCCAGGTTTATCAAAATCGGCTTTCACAAAGCTCCAATGCGTCAGTCCCTTGTTGAGATACCCTCCATGTCGCTTGGCCAGACTGGCCGAGTTTAGCGTGGCCGTAGCCGAGACATCGAATCTCTTTCAGGCAGCCAATTTTTTTTTGAATTTTGTTTGATCAACATTTTAAAGGGACACACTCAAAACTATGTTAAATAGAATGTTTCCTAAACTATGGCATATTTTTATTATTTTCATATTGGAATGAATATTTGTCGAAGAAAATAGGGATTGAGACCAATCGGATCCGCCAAAATTCGTCTCCGGAATCAACCTGAACCGATAGGTAATTATAAGATTTTAAAATTGTCGGATCCGATTGGTTGTGAGTTACCAGAGTTGATGTTTTAATAAATTATTGTGTCGCGTTCTTGATTAACGATTGGGCACATTCGTTTTTGAATATTTCCACTTTTATCGTGACTAATTGTTTTCAATTAAGCCCACTTAAGAAAACACCATCGATCGCAATCTATGCTCTACCGATAACATCGTTTCCCCAAAAAAGAAGGGCAACACGCTTCCGGATCTTCATGAAATTGATTATATGGAATAATAATTAATTTCGATATGGAGAGAATAATTTTGTTCACTGGTTTGTTACAAGCTTTAAAATTCGATTTTTGATCACTAGCTGGTAGTAATTGAATACCATCAACAAACAATTTGAACACTGATTTGCCTAAAAATATCTCGATAATCAAATTTGGGGGGGGGGGGCAGGAGGTGTATTTTAACATTTTTCGAAACTGCACCTCGGAATTAAAAAAAGAAAACATTTAAACGTTCTTTTTATTTGTTAGATGATCTTTTTCTTTGAAATCCTCGAACAATATCTGATGAACAAAGTGTGATCGTAGACCGAGATTGCGATCAAATCCGAGATTCAAGCATTATTTGATGTCCACCTTCAACAGCGTCAAGTATTCATTATTGAATTCCGAGAAATCGCAATTCAATCTAATTTTTTATCCCGTTGTTATCATAGTTATCGTTATATTTTTATTTTATTCATTAGCGGATGCAGGTAAGAAAAGGGGGGGGAGAAGCTGAGAATTGATTCTATGAATTTGTTTCTACAGGAATCCTCACAATCCCAGAAATTGCTCCGTTGGCTCATAGTAATTTGAATTTGTAACAATTCTGGAGTTAAAACAAGACGACGTCAGTGAATTACAGAAATGAGTGTCCACTTCGACGATGGAATAAGATTCGCACTGATTTTATTCCAAACGACGATGCTCACAAGTTTTGGCAGCAGAGAGGTGTCGGCAGAAAGGTGCTTGTGTTAGGTTGACGTGGTCCCAAAATGGTGTGCGAACCATTTATTCGAATGAAACTAAAATAAGGAGAACAATTGAAATCTGACTTCAAAATTTTTTTTCGATATTCTGAAATAGCGTGCGGTTGAAGGAGACGCCGACAGTGCCTAGAATAATGAAGAATTTAGGGAATTTCTAGGCAACTTTTTTTGAAAACAAACATATTTTCAGGATAATTTTTATCACAAATCTCCAAGCCCGTTTGCTGCATATGCTTATAAGGACCACATCGCAGTGACAATGACAAATGAAAATTCCTATGGGTTGGCTCAGTCGAGATGAATAAATGCATTGAATGCTGAAAATAATTTCAGGAAGCAAATGTTCTGTCGATATTTCGATTGTATGCAACGCGAAATTGGCGACCCATTCGAGTCATCGGTGTTTCCGGAGAGCACCGTCTTCTGTGCACACCGAGTTGGCGCCGAGTTCATCACGTTGACAATGACGATCGATAAGAGCGATTATGAGCAACCCGTTCGAATCAAACCTAGAATTGGTGGGAACCATGTGACGAAATGTTCCCGAAGGCATATTTTTTTTTTGATTTCCAGAGCAAGAGCATTTCTTCACGGTGTGCTTGGCTTCGTTGTATGGCGATGAGCCGAAATTTATTCAAATCTCCGATTTTGTTGAGTATTATAAGCTGCAGGTCTGTCTCTTGAATTCTCTTTCAAGATCGCATTGTAACTATATGTATAGGGAGCTTCTTTCATCCATTTATATCTTCGCAATGTGACCAAATATGATCGTCGAATGCTTGACAGCTATGCTCGAAGTGGAAATATCGAGGTCATTCAGATGCATGACAATGATTGGAGGCCCGATTTCGAATGGCACAACGCTCAAATCAATGTAGCCGCTTGATTTTCCGACATCGATCATGTCGATGATTTCAGGATTGCCATTTTCGTTCAAAAGTATTTTCGAAATGGACAGCATTTTTGGATATTGATGAGAAAATTGAAATGCTAACACCGAAATATCGGCGAGTGATCGATTATTTAAAGTATGATTGCCGCACCTCTACTTACTAGTAATTCTCTGAATTCAGATCAATTACCGATCCAGACATCAGCGAGCTTATGTTTCGTCTTCGATGGGTTCAGAAGACGGCTGATGATCCTCCAAAGTATATAAACGATGAGCAGATGGCTGAAAATTTGATTTATCGCAAATTCAACATGACGTCCACAAAAGTGATGAGCGTTTCATTGCAACCAAAAGTAATTGTCCGACCGGAATTGATTGGGATTATGTTTATGCATTGGTCTCAGGCGAGGTACAAAAATACTCGAACTATAATTGTGAATTCGAAAATTGCTCTTATAAGGTATTATTCAAATATCAGAAGGCCTAATCCAATATTATGATTGAAGACATTATCGAAATCTCAAGCTACGCTCATTTAGCCCATTGGCTTTAGAGAGAATTAATAGTCATGGTCCATACGTTCCCACTCGAATTGCACCTTGGCTAGATGAAGGATTAACTAAAAATGTGAGGGAATTTATTATAATCACCCAAAATGCTTCTGATTTTCAGATACTTGGTCGAATGCGTTTTGTTTATGGCGAAGTATGTCAAGTTTGATCTTTCTGGAATTATTTAGAGGGTTGATTTGGTAAATATTTTCAATTTTTTCGTTTTGCTTAATAAAAAAACTAGATAAAATTGGAAAACGATTGTCAGTTCCTTCGTGATGAAATTTGGTGAGAACTGCAGTTTCTCAGATCGGAGAGTCTTGTGTTGATTGCCCAATAAATAGAATCTTGAATCCAAGTTAGTTCTAACAAGGGGAAGTCATTTTACCTCCTGTTTTGGAGTTTTTTTTTTTAATTTTGCACACGCAAACTAGAAGGTCTTTTGAGTGTGTTCACAAAAAACATCTTGAAATTTCAGATGGGCATAACTCGCCTGCAACACCCCAGTGCAGGCTGGAATTTTGTGAACACACTCCAAAGACCTTCTAGTTTACGTGTGCAAAATTACAAAAAATCCCGAGACGGGAGGTAAAATGACTTCTCTTGTAAGAATTGTCAATTATTCGAGTCAGTCTATTCATGTTCAAAACCCAAACTCGGCAATCTCACTGATTGATACGGTATGTCTTTTTACAGGATTCCGTGGTCACAAGATCAGTGTAGATTTGTGAATTTTTGAAAGCGTGCGTCTCTTCACCTCGAGACACCTCGTGGCGCATTGTTTTCTTTTTCAATTTAATATAAATGAATCGGTTTATTCTTGACAACATTGATTGATACATTCCAGAAGAAAATAGAACCTAATGTGGATAGCATCCAATATTTCTTGAAAACCTCGCATCGGTTGCAAAATTGACGGTCAATGGGTTCATCCGCGTGATTTTGGGATAGGTGGCGTCGACGTGAACACATTTCAAATTTGGCAATTGGGTGTACTAGACGAATCGCTCAATAAAATGCTGTTGGGAAAGAATGACAAACCTCGCACATATGAGGACCGGGGCAGGTAATTTCGCTAATCCTTCCAGAATAATGATAAAAGTAGTACTTCTCGTTGAAGCACTGACCCACAAGATCAGCGTAGTAGTGCTGTCTGGGTAGCTTCTCAAGAATTCGGCGAACACGGGCAGTTCGCATTATTCTGAATAATTTTCATTTGTCAAAATTGCGGAAGGATTACCTCCTCAAATCCGATTCGATTAGTCCGACGTCCTTTGATTTGATGATGTCCTGACCGTCGTCGTTATAGAATGTCGGAAGTCGATTGTTCCGAACGCCATGAATATCATCCATCTTGAAATATGGTTATTGTGAATCTCAAATCACTTCCCTCCCAAACCCAATAAATATTTTTGAGTAATTATTCTGAAAAGCAAGTGAACTCATGGGACCGCCAACCCCCCCGCTCAATACTTGGTCATTCCTCTTGGCATATACGGCGGAAAATGAATCCAAGTGTAATTGAGATTTGTTGGAATCGCAACCATTTTTCCAGTTTCCCTCTGCAAAATACCATACGACAAATAATTTGGTTGTCAATTTTCTTCTGCAAAAGAATTTCACCACATGCTCGTAGGTCAAACTTTGAAGCATTCGCTCGAACGAGAACTTCTCCGCATTCTTCACCGTCATCACATCGTGATTTTCTTTGTGATAATGAATATAGGAGATGTGTTTGTTGTTTCCGATGATCGCCGCGAATTCCTTAGCGTACGTCGGTGCGAGTTTTGGTATCAGAACATCATCAAAATCAAGGAATGTCACGAACTTCGCCGATTCCTAGAAGCCCCCCATCTCATTTCTTTTTCTTTGGGTTCCCTACTTTGAATTGAAGAAGACAGTCTGATTGCGAGGCGGCTTGATTCCGAAACTCGATCGTATTATAGGGATCAACGACGTTTGATGGGATTTCTGGGAACTTCACACTCACCCACGGCTGGATTGTCATATAGCCCTGCAAATTGTGAAGCGTCACTAGCCATTAAATCTCAAGCTACCATATCCTCATAAACTCTCATTAGATCGTAGAAGGAGTCGATCGCGCTAATCAGATACAAATGCATATGAGCTCCGAAGCTGGAAAAATCTCGAATTTTGACGTTTATCATCGTCTCCAAATACTGTTTGTAAATATGCACAGCGAACAGAAAATTCTGCCATTGCTCGCTGACGAAAAGCGGAGAAATGCACACAACGACGTCTCTTGGAATTGCTGAAGGCCGATTGAACGGAATCTGAAAGCTCGAGACTCAATTGCAATGCATCGAATCAGCACGACCTCGACGATCCCATTCTCTCCAACTAATGAAATGCTCTTGACATTCGGCAATAATTGAACGGTGGCGAACACTGTGATCATCTTGCAAATGATATGTGGAGTTACTCTGAATATTTTTCGATTGGCTCCGTTTTGAATTCAGCGTGCTGCCGACCTTTGATAATCGGTTGTCCGCAAAACAGCGTCGGTTGAATTGCGTGCAAGCACCATGATTTTCGGCTGCTCGACACCGTTCCACCATTGCATTTCCATCCACGATTCCGCCTTCTTCTCGTCATTTATTGTTAATATAAGAGCCAGCGAGTTGTTGCCAAGGCTGAAATGCGTTTTGAAAGCCAAAATGTCATAGGAATCGCGACACAAAAAATCTCCTCGTCGATTCGCGGTGAGTTTGATTTGCAGGTTAATCGTAGTACGGTAACCGAATTCAAAAAAATATTACGATGGTCCGCAATTTCTCAAAGTGCTCATTTCTTTTTGACATTACCTTTTAGAAACTGGATAGTAGTAGGAAGAAGTGATGAATGCGAACAACTCCTTTTTAGGAGCTGCTTGATTGGTTTTATTGCTAAAATAATTCTTTTTTTTTGGATTTTCTTGTCAATACTTACAGTATTCGCGAGCCAACATTATAGATTATGAGTACAACTGGCTGAATTGCGTAGAAAATGAGAGTAAATGCAATCAAGCATTTGAAAACGATGTGCGGTTTTGTGCGAACAACCATTATGAAAATGTAAATTGAACGCAAGTTTGTTGTCAAGATCGATGGCGGCGATAAACTGTTTTTCTAGTTGGTTATGATGAAAAATGAGAAATTTAGAATCTTGATGGGAAGAAAATAGGGATTGAGACCAATCGGATTTTTGCAGTGCGTGATGCCTTAATTATCCTTCTTTCAGATAATTCGAGCCATTTCGACTGCAGTAAATCGAACTTAAAGGCTCTTTCTTCCTTTTCCATTGATATTAAAACAAAAAAACTAAAATTATAGGGATTTACTTTAGAAGATTACCGAAAACAACATACATATGCTCACAAATCTTAGGAAGTTTCTCTTGGCTATTCTTCTTGCAACATTCGAAAAAAGAATCAGAACATTTAACTTCAGATATTTCACTAAAAAGAGTTTGAATATAATTGTATAACTAAAAAAACGTAAAACCCACGTTTCACTTTTTATAAAATAACCACATTCTATAGGATACAATTCGAGTTTTCTAGCAGGTAGCTCTAATTCGTAAAGATGTTTCGGTGGATTTGCCGTAAACAAACGTAAATAAAATTCATAGAAAAATTATTTTTCTTACATTGCCGAAAATAGGGAGGTATGGCAACAGTTGACCGTTCTTGGAACCCCAATTCCTTAAGCCTGGTCCGTTTTTCACTTTCCGAAAGAAAATTGAATTCGTCTTTTCGAGAATACACAACCAATTGATCTTCGGCCAAAACAGCTTGGTATAGATGATCTACATCATCTGAATTACTTTTTTTGAGGTTTTGCTGAAATTGCATGTTAGAAACCTGCAAAAACTTTAATAAGCTTTAATGCAAGTTGGTCAGCCCTCATCGAATTAGGGACTTCATGGCGTAATCGGCTGTTTAAATTTTCGATTAGATTTTTGGATACGAACGGCTGCCACCATCCAGATTTCAAGCGCGTTAACAGCCCGTTTTCAGGAAAAAGGCTTTGACTTTCAGCTGATAGCCTAAACCAGTTCAAAATTTACGCGATGGTGTAAACTTGACGCAAAATTGCAGTTATTTAAGCAGCTTTTATTACCATTAAAAAACTGGGCACTGGCCAAGTGGGGCTAAAGCCGATGTGAATGAACAAAAAACTTTTCCATGTAGTAGATATTATTTTTATATGTAGTAGTATATTTTCGGGAGTAATTCTAGAAGCCGCGTTTTATTTTTCGAAAAAAAAACTAAATATATCAAATTATGTTTTGTTGTAAATATCATAATTTTTTATTTAACATAATTTAAAATAGAATATTTTTGCTTATTCACCATTTAAGAGCATCGGAATCGCTTATCATTGACGTGAGTTTTGCGAGTTTGGAATTGAATTCAATTTCGGTTACTGCGCCTAGCAATCCACATTTAATCCTCGAAGGTGATGTCTGAAATATAATGTTGATTGATTTGACAGGTATTGTGGAAAAATGACGAATGTGAAAAACTTCAGCGATATCCTAAGCATTTCGTGCGTACACCGAGTCGCTACAGTAATTTTAGAATCTTAACTACAGTAATCTCAAATGAAAATTATTTAATCAATTATTATATGTTTTTAAAATTTCTATCGGTGTTTTCTTGGCGAGTTTATGGTTTTATGTATATTATTGTGTTGAAAAAATGTAATAGTAATCATTTTTGTATATTATTCAAAGTTAATTGTTTTAAATAAAAATAAACTATCAATAATTAATTAAATCATTTTTAGTTGAGGTTACTGTAGCTAAGATCTAAAAAAATTTCTACCAATTATTTTATCCGAGGCAACATAAATTTGATTATTAAAACCACGTACCTCACCAAAAACCATTCTGGTCAGTCGAGCGCGAGTTGTTTTATCCGTTGTGGACATCGAATTTTCAAAATTAGCCATGCGATGCAAATCACAACACAGACGTTGTGAATTACGAAAAAGTAGGATTGTCTATAAAAACGAAGTTAAACAATCAAAAACAAAAAGTTTTTAGTTTTTTTTTGTGGGTGCGAGTTAATTGTTTGCTTATTTTTAAAAATTTCGCTCTAAGATAAAAATGGTAAACGCGTTTGATCATTCAAATTAATGAAAGGTTTCATTCAAACCTTGTAATATTCCTCAAAGGATTTTTCACCGTCCGTGATGAATCCAGGCACAACGCGGTCATTTTTGAAACCTTGCTTTTGCAGGTATTCGTTCACATGGTTTGCGTGAAACTTGTGGCATTCCATAGTCTTTTTGGAGTGCAACAAATAGCTAATGCCAATAGTTCTCGGCTTTTTTGATTTTTTCGACCTGTAATAGTTTAAAATTGTAATAGAACAATAATATTCAATGAAACTCACTTGAATATCTTTACTGTGGTGCACATCAAAGTGACATACAGCCCGCTCAATCCGAATGTTGTATCCAGCTGAGTGACACCACTAAACAAAAATCCATCATCGTTTGAAACTTTCCATTGTTCTGAAAGGACAAATTTATATTTTAAGTAGTTCAACTAATCGAATACCTAATAGTGATTGGATATGTTCCTTTTTATTATTTTTCGTTTATGTCTTCGAACAATCTCAGGTGAGATTCGTACTCTTTTGTAGTCGGTAAACAGTTTAAGACAATCCGAACGTTTTCATCAAGAATAACCGACAAACAATCTACCATTCCACCGTTACCTGCAAAAGTATTTTCTTTTTGTCATTACGAAACGAAAATCTTACACTCAAATACGCTGTACTTTGCATTCGGAACGTTTCTCGCTATTTTTTCTAATTCGGATGTGGTGGCAATAGCTTTGACGCCTCGATTGCAGCCAATCGATTCAGGTACGTGTTTCCTTTGGTTCCTCACCTTAAACATGCAGGTTTCAACTTATTTAAGATTTAAAATGTTTTTATACCTGCTCAAGTGTGAACTTGAAGCCTTTTTTTAATGTAGAATTTCATATGCACTCTTTACAGACCTCCCAATCAGTTCGCTTCGAACGATATCAACTTCTGAGGCTAAAAAATATAATATATGTAACAAAAAGAAAAATAATAATAACCTGTCATCCTATGAATATCAAAATCCAAGCTAATTCGTTCTTCATCGCGGTGATAGTCGACGATAACAAAAGTCGAATCGTCCATACAAACTACCTGCAAATATTTTATTTTTATATTGATAACTAAAGCGAGAGAAATTTGCATACAGTTTTTCTGAAACTCGCAGTGGACGGCGATCTGCACTGGATTGTTCCATAAACACGTCCATTTTCATTCCGTTGCCGATACTTCGGAGCGATTTTTTTTCTCCTAAACGGCAAGCGATTATGACGAATGAAACACAAATTTCAACCTTGAACTTGTCTAAACCATTTTAAGCCGTCGTATGTTAACGGTTTTCCATTATAGCTACTTTTATCTACAACAAAGCATTTTCTGCCTTTCCAATCTCCCCTGATTTCCTTAGCAACTTCGTCAATCGTTGATAGTGTTCTAAAAGTGCAAATAGTAAGAAAAAAACTCTGACGAAATACCTTTCAGAGGATTCAAGATTCTCTATTCCGTTCCAAATGGAAATTAAGTCTATTTTGGCTGACTTCGAAGATATATCGCTTGAAATAAACGCCATTCTGAAAAATGTACTCTTTTTAAAATTAAGTATAATGTTTTATGCAGGTAAAATCTGAAACTAAATCCATAAAAAATAAATTTAGGCCAAAAAATATTTTCGAAATGTCAAAAAATACGCAATCCGCAAACACTGCACGACGAATGCATTCGCAATAATAATTTCACCGACCGCTTTACCGTACTCCGCGCAGCGATTTTTTCATTTTCGTATTCTATTTTCATCCTACAACCATCGTTTTTAATGTTTTGCTTACTTTTCTTCTTTTCTATATTATTTTTGATTAAAAGTTATTTTTAAAATTATATATTAAGCAAAAACTAATATGAAAGTTTTTTATCGAGAATTTGGGCAAAAATCAGGTATCGAAATTAAAAAATATATATTTGTTGTTACTAAATTTTTTTTATTGCTGATTCACTTTTGATTTGTGTTTCTACTATTTCGTACTTGTGTTACTTATTCAAAAATGATTTTTCAGATATAGTCGACGTCCGGCGGCTGGTAGATTTACGGGAATGCGTCTTTCGAAATGGTCTCGCAATCATTTTCTATCAGTTCACAAAAATTTGATAAAACTAAAAAGAAAAAAATTTTAATAACGTTAGAAGTGGGTTCGTGACAAGTAGATTAATAGTTTGAAAGCCTTGCAGCTTCTACAATTTTTGAAAGTTCCCGATGATAACTATGAATGAGTCGCAGAGATAATACGACAAACCGCGCACGAACTTGGATAAATTATCTACTTCATAGGATTTCATCACAAATTTTTAAATAATACCAGTTAATCGAGGTGTATATATGAAGAAAACATACATATTGTTTCTTAAGAATTTTTAAAGATTTTTTGAAGACAGAAACCATCACAGGTTAATTTAAAAATTGTAGGATTTTTTTGCCCTTTTTTGTTCTATATTATATTTCCTCTCCACCCCTCTTTTCGATTAATACCCTTTTATTTGTGTAAATTGTTCTTTTTTTTTGAAATTGAGAAATTTAAAAATCGGTAGTGAAAAATCGGTAGTGAAAAAACTATGTTTTCGGTAGCCAAAATGTGGTAGTGAAAAACCGGTAGCGGAGCGAAAAATTGGTAGCGAAGAACTATTGGTCCGCTGTATGGCGATGAGCCGAAATTTATTCAAATCTCCGATTTTGTTGAGTATTATAAGCTGCAGGCCTGTCTCTTGAATTCTCTTTCAAGATCGCATTGTAACTATATGTATAGGAAGCTTCTTTCATCCATTTATATTTGCGCAATGTGACCAAATATGATCGTCGAATGCTTGACAGCTATGCTCGAAGTGGAAATATCGAGGTCATTCAGATGCATGACAATGATTGGAGGCCCGATTTCGAATGGCAAAACGTTCAAATCAATGTAGCAACGGTGAAATGCGGGGCCCTCATATCCCCGGTGCGGGGCCCTCATATTACCGTCGCGGGGGCCTTTATATCACCGTCGCGGGGCCTTCATATTACCGTCGCGGGGCCTTCATATCACCGTTGAGGGGCCCTCATATCATCGTTGAGGGGCCCTCAGATAGAATATAATTGTTAATTAATCTTACAATTAATTAACAATTATATTCTTAATCAAAAATTTATTAAACGGACAAAAAGGGCCCTCATATCACCGTTGCGGGGCCCTCACGGAATAAAAATACAAATTATACTTAAATACTCCTAAGTATTAATTTGTATCGAATTTCACGCCCGCACACATACCACTTCACTTCACCTGGATGCCGAACTGCGGCCCCAAGAGGCGTATGCGTAACCCCTTGCCCAAATAGTTGCTGACAATGGAAAAACACCTTGAATTTTCAGACGGCCATAACTCGCCTGTAACCCCCCAGTGCAGGCTGGAATTTTGTGAACACACTCCAAAGACCTTCTAGTTTACGTGTGCAAAATTACAAAAAATCCCGAGACGGGAGGTAAAATGACTTCTCTTGTAAGAATTGTCAATTATTCGAGTCAGTCTATTCATGTTCAAAACCCAAACTCGGCAATCTCACTGATTGATACGGTATGTCTTTTTACAGGATTCCGTGGTCACAAGATCAGTGTAGATTTGTGAATTTTTGAAAGTGTGCGTCTCTTCACCTCGAGACACCTCGTGGCGCATTGTTTTCTTTTTCAATTTAATATAAATGAAATCGGTTTATTCTTGACAACATTGATTGATACATTCCAGAACAAAATAGAACCTATGGATAGCATCCAATATTTCTTGAAAACCTCGCATCGGTTGCAAAGTTGACGGTCAATGGGTTCATCCGCGTGATTTTGGGATAGGTGGCGTCGACGTGAACACATTTCAAATTTGGCAATTGGGGGTACTAGACGATTATTGAGTAAAGCGCTGTTGGGAAACAATGACAAACCTCGCACATATGAGGACCCGGGCAGGTAATCTTGCTAGTCCTTCCAGAATAATGATAATAGTAGAACTTCTCGTAGTAGCACTGACCCACCAGATCAGAGTAGTAGCGTTGTCTGGGTAGCTTTTCAAGAATTCGGCGAACACGGGCAGTTCGCATTATTCTGAATAATTTTTATTTGTCAAAATTGCGGAAGGATTACCTCCTCAAATCCGATTCGATTAGTCCGACGTCCTTTGATTTGATGATGTCCTGACCGTCGTCGTTATAGAATGTCGGAAGTCGATTGTTCCAAACGCCAAGAATATCATCCATCTTGAAATATGGATATTGCAAATCTCAAAGTAATTCCCTCCCAAACCCAATAAATATTTTTGAGATGAGTTATCACATTTTTCTCAGTAATTATTCTGAAAAGCAAGTGAACTCATGGGACCGCCAACCCCCCCGCTCAATACTTGGTCATTCCTCTTGGCATATACGGCGGAAAATGAATCCAAGTGTAATTGAGATTTGTTGGAATCGCAACCATTTTTCCAGTTTCCCTCTGCAAAATACCATACGACAAATAATTTGGTTGTCAATTTTCTTCTGCAAAAGAATTTCACCACATGCTCGTAGGTCAAACTTTGAAGCATTCGCTCGAACGAGAACTTCTCCGCATTCTTCACCGTCATCACATCGTGATTTTCTTTGTGATAATGAATATAGGAGATGTGTTTGTTGTTTCCGATGATCGCCGCGAATTCCTTAGCGTACGTCGGTGCGAGTTTTGGTATCAGAACATCATCAAAATCAAGGAATGTCACGAACTTCGCCGATTCCTAGAAGCCCCCCATCTCATTTCTTTTTCTTTGGGTTCCCTACTTTGAATTGAAGAAGACAGTCTGATTGCGAGGCGGCTTGATTCCGAAACTCGATCGTGTTGTTGGGATCGACGACGTTTGATGGGATTTCCGGGAACTTCACACTCACCCACGGCTGGATTGTCATATAGCCCTGCAAATTGTGAAGCGTCACTAGCCATTCAATCTCAAGCTACCATATCCTCATAAACTCTCATTAGATCGTAGAAGGAGTCGATCGCGCTGATCAGATACAAATGCATATGAGCTCCGAAGCTGGAAAAATTCGAATTTCGGCGTTTATCAACGTCTCCAAATACTGTTTGTAAATATGCACAGCGAACAGAAAATTCTGCCATTGCTCGTTGACGAAAAGCGGTGAAATGCACACAACGACGTCTCTCGGAATTGCTGAAGGCCGATTGAACGGAATCTGAAAGCTCGAGACTCAATTGCAATGCTTCGAATCAGCACGACCTCGACGATCCCATTCTCTCCAACTAATGAAATGCTCTTGACATTCGGCAATAATTGAACGGTGGCGAACACTGTGATCATCTTGCAAACCATATGTGGAGTTACTCTGAACATTTTTTGATTGGCTCGCCCAGTTTTGGATTCAGCGTGCTGCCGACCTTTGATAATCGGTTGTCCGCAAAACAGCGTCGGTTGAATTGCGTGCAAGCACCATGATTTTCGGCTGCTCGACACCGTTCCACCATTGCATTTCCATCCACGATTCCGCCTTCTTCTCGTCATTTATTGTTAATATAAGAGCCAGCGAGTTGTTGCCAAGGCTGAAATGCGTTTTGAAAGCCAAAATGTCATTGGAATTGCGACACAAAACTCTCCTCGTCGGTTCGCGGTGAGTTTGATTCGTAGGTCAATCGTAGTACGGTAACCGAATTCAAAAAATTACGATGGTCCGCAATTTCTCATAGTGCTCATTTCTTTTTGACATTACCTTTTAGAAACAGGATAGTAGTAGGAAGAAGTGATGAATGCGAACAACTCCTCTTTAGGAGCTGCTTGATTGGTTTTATTGCTAAAATTATTCTTTTTTTGGGATTTCTTAAACCAATACTTACAGTATTCGCGAGCCAACATCATAGATTATGAGTACAACTGGTTGAATTGCGTAGAAAATGAGAGTAAATGCAATCAAGCATTTGAAAGCGACGTGTGGTTTTGTGCGAACAATCATTATGAAAATGCCAATTGAACGCAAGTTTGATGTCAAGATCCATGGCGACGATAAACAGTTTTTTTAGTTGGTTATGATGAAAAATGAGAAATACGGAATCTTGATGGACGGGAAAAAAACTTTAGTCGTTGGAAGACCATTTTAATGAGGCACATCGAATCTCTTTTAGGCAGCCAATTTGTTTGAAAAGCTGGAAGACGAAATCAACTTTCGCGTCGAGACGATTTTAAAGGGACACACTCAAAACTATGTTAGATGAAATGATTCCCAAATTATGGCATATTTTTATTATTTTCATATTGGAATGAATATTTGTCGAAGAAAATGAGAGGAAAAAAACTTAATAAATATAATAATGGGATTCATCTTTGGTAACTCGACAAAATTCGGATTCGGAATCAACCTGATCCGACTGGTTATTATTCGAAACCGTTTTGTTCTAATTTTTCAATTTGAATCGGATCTGGCAATTTTACAATCTTATCCATAGAATTACCAATCGTCAGATCCGATCGGTTTTGAGTTACCAGTGATATTTACTCAAATAATAATAATAATAATATATTTAGTTTCTTAATAAAGCAGGTGAAATTCGCGGGGGAAGATGGCAACAATCGGGGGTTTATAATAAAGGCATGTGATTTTATATATACATATACATATATGTATATGTATGTGTATATATATATGAAAAGCATATGGATGCGTCTAAATACTGAGATATCTTCTTCTGCTTTATTTGCTATTTTTAGCAGAGTCTCACCCTCTATATAGGAGCTACATTTGCTTCACACTGAAACCACAATTCCCAATTTTCAATTATTCTGATATAAGCGTTATCTATACTATCGAAATTGGAAGACATGGTCTCGAGACGACGATACGCGAGCTGTGTACTCCACACGGACAATGCGTCATTTGGCAAAGTGGCGTGAATCTCCCTGCGTGAAAATCGACACTTCTGTTCTAGGCAGGGTTGTCAAAACGGGCCCCCGGCCGGGCCGAGGGTCCTGTTTTTTTAACCTTAACAAGAGAAATTTTATTTTAAACATCTGCGAACATTTTTCAGGTTGTTATTATTGCATTACTATTTTATTTTTCGAATAAAAACAGATAGATTTATTGTTTGAAATTTTCATGTCTTCGATTACCATTACTTTCCATACCGCGTTATTTTTAGTTTTTTTCCTAAATTAACTTCATTAAAAAGTTTATTCTAGTATTAATAATTTTTCCAATACGACGTTAGATTCCATTATCAGTTTCATCACTACTTCTTTATAAAATGTCCTATGGTTTATAGAATTTCTTGATTTCGGCGTCAACGGAGTATCCATATGAAAATTATTTTATTTAATTGACATTTAATCGTTAATTACATGAGAAAAATTGCAAAGCATCAATAGAATGAGAGAAAAAACTACTAGAAACAATGCTCCGCGTTTACGTTGCTTATTGTTTAGTGTAATTAGCGTCGGCGGAAATTCAAACTGGGAACGTAGGGCCCCCCCCCGGCCCTGTTTTTTGACAACCCTGGTTCTAGGTTAGACAGCGCCATCAGCGACGTCGACAGTTCATATTGTTGGTATGCATAGTTAGCCATCGCAAATATGGTGTACAATACGGATGTTTTCAAATGACCAATGTTTCCGCGCATTCACCTGTGAATTTTTGATTATGGATCTAATTAGCTTTTGCAAAAATTGTCGAATTTGTCATTTTTGCCGAATGCAAAATAATCAAGTCGAATTTGATCCCTAAAAATTCGATATTTCCAACAATTTTGCATGTCGCTGAATTGGTCATTTAATACCTCGAAGTTTGTCTGCTTGAAATTCCTATGAGAAAACTATTCATATTTGAGGCGAGACATTGAATGTTCTTCTTGGAACTATTATTCTACTATTACGATGAGACAGACATTATGAATCTTTTTTTTCTGTTCTCACAATTCCCGTTGCTCATTAATTATCCTCATAGGCGACAATAATAGTATTCTTTGCCGCATACAAATTCTTCATTTCCAATTTATTCATGATTCTTCTTCAAATACGAATTAAATTCTGCCGAATGCGCAATGTTGATCCACGTCAGCGGCGCTTTGATGAATTCGATACCAGCAGTCAGCAATCCCGAGCATCTGAAAGCGGCTATATCATAGAATGTCGGAAGACCGGCTGGAGATCAACCCTGCTGAGCTCTGCTGGCACATCTCATTCTCTCTTGTTAGTTTCGTCCCAAATCCCTCCAATCGGCATTGCTCAAGATTGCGTAGTGTTTCTCGGGCTTCCAGAGCCCAAGGGGTCTGATTTAAGTCTAAACAAACTAATCACTAAATCAGATTCTATCAAAAATACCTTCAAACGCTGTCCCATTTATCCTTTTAAGGTACAACTTCTTCATTTTCCTATTGAGCCTCCCTAATATCTCATAATTGAATGTCGCATTGAGCTTCGGCTTCTCATCATTGAGAAGCAGCCTTTCGAATCGCCTAAATTATGACATTCCAACGGCTTCTCAACTCCAAGAAACCTTAGATGAAGAAAAAACAGATTAGGATTATCGAACATCTCGACAGCACTGAAATATTTGCCATCCTTCTCCGATTTCTCATTTCCGAACACATTGTGCTGATCGAAGTGCTCGACGCGCTCCGGTCGATGGAATATCTTTTTGGCGATTTGATAGTCGAAACGAATATTGTCGCGATCGACGACTTTCACCTTATCAAGGTTGAATTGCACGTCTTTGGGGGTTCTAATGCGATCCCAATATTGCTAAATGTTATTCAGTGGTCGTCATAATGATAGGCCGACCACCACGAATTTTGAAGTTTTAAGAAAACCAGAATAGTTGATGATAGGACAACTGCATTTTCGAATTCAGGATCATTAGAAACCTATATATTCAATACTAGCAAATTTCCGGGTCGCGGCGGGGCGGGTAAAAAAAAATTAGCGACCCGCCTCACCCCTTGCCGACCCGCAACGACACTCCAAGTTTACAGTGTGACCATTGTTTAGCGTAATAAGAATTTTGACTTACGTTATTTTGAGTAGAATTAATTGTTCTTGGAACACACTCAGAAGTTCAAAACAAAATTGATTGAACCAGCTTTCAGGGGCGGGTCGGTCTCACCCGGACCCGCCCCGCCCCGCTCCGACCCGTCCCGTTGCAAGTATATTCCCTTTTATGCTTTTTGCTCAATTATTTGTTCCAGACTTTTTTTTTAAATTGTGGTATAATTTTGTCTGATTTCTCAATAATCTTATCGTAAGATTCTAAAACGATCGCAAATCATCGAAATTCGGGGGCGGTGGCGTGTCATATAAATATGTAATCAAAACCTGCTGAATTGCTAGTATCCAATCAACTAGAAATTGGCCAGCATCGGGATGTCTCGCTTCCGTTTCCAATAGTGTTCTCGAAATATTCATATTTGTTGAGATTGGCAAATCGTCCAAATCCGAATTCGATACAAACCTCACTACATTTCTAAACGACAATCATAGTCATTTTGAATCGCAACGATCTCATATCTACCTCGCTCGTAGCATACAATCATGCATGAACGCGGTGGCAGCGTGACGAAACACATGAGCATTCGGGTCTCTATAATTAGAGCCAATTATAGTAGATTTTTTATGAACTAACCGATTGTTGTTATTCTGAAGATAGATTATTCTGATTTTTTCATCTGTTATTCGGTAAGCTTGATTGACGTAAATCCCACGGAAATTATTCGCCGAAGCTGGATTGTCTGGAAATTCCATCAATAGTGAGTATCACCGATGTACTCATCGCACCAGTGCTCGTCAATAGGCCTTCTGTTGACGGCTTCTCGTCGCTTATCTGGAAATTGACTTCAGTTTCAGCGAATTTGTTGCGCAATTTTGCCATCGTCGCCCTCCTCCCGGACAACGCATTTTTGTAATAAATTGAGACGCACACTGAAAGCAAATTTTCTTCAGAAATGGTCTTCAATGAAAAATGCGGATACCAAAATGTATAAAAATAAGCAGAAGAATTCGATTTCGCGGATTTCGCATTCTAGAGTAGTTATCTTGCTACTCGAATCTCGATCAAGTCATTTCGGATATGAAAAGTGAAAATCAGAAATGAGATGACATCAAGAAGAGGCTGGTCTCTGGGGAATTAAAAAAAAATACTGATAATTGTCGTATTAGATTGACGATAATTTTTATTTTCACTCTTGCTAACCCAAAAGTTCATTCTAATAATTATAGAGTTCTATGTATTTCAAGGTGTAAATATGTTTTTCGGTGAATCCGCCAAAATTCGAGCATTGTTTTTGACAAACTTTTTCTCCAATTTCCCTTGTATTGAGAATATCAAGTCGTCGTTTTAAATCTTGATTCATTCATTATGCAATTCTTCGACTTGCTTCTCCTACTTCATTGAAGATTTGTGTCGGTGAGCAACTATGTGTTATTTATAATAGTGTAGATTTACGGGCTTTCGTATAAGAATAGGTTAAAGGCGTATCGAGACCTCTCTTTCAACTTTTCCTTCTGAAAACAATTTTCCGCAGTGGCGCGACGTCGACAATTTAGCCGATTACTGTATTGTAGATATACGGACATGCGCCTTTAAAAATTTTTTTAATGTCAAGCGAATCAGGAAGATTTAGAAATTTCAATTGAAAATATATGAGCATTTATTCGTGGCGAAACCATAACGAAAAAGGCACAGCCCGTAAATCTACCCTCATGAAACTTCTCTGTCTCTCTTAATATTTATGATCTCTACTAAATCACCTCCGTAAATTTTTGATTGGCATATCGCCAGCAACTTTAAAATCGACAAATTGATCATTGTATTTTTTTTTCGCAACTCGATTTTCATGATCGTCAAAAGCGAAATGGCTTCCTGATAGGATTCCTTCATCAAAATTCTCCTCATTATCGAATTTCCATATTTTCAGACTGTCATATGAATAGTATTAAACCACCCATTATGATGCATTTGAATCGCACATTTTTGGAGAATGAGACCCAATGTTGGAATGTGATCTACATTGGCCTAATTGTCGAAATTCCAGTATTGGTATTGAAGTGAGTTGGATGAAATGATCGCAATTCGAATAATTTGCCATTATCAGTATAATCCATACAATATTCTTCGGAATTGTTAACGCCCGTGGCAAACAATTCCATCAGAATTGGACCAACATCATGACGATACTGTTCGTTCAGCACACTATTGCAACTTGCATTTGGCTCTACCAACGAATTCAACTATTCCGATACGATTATGAAGGTATTCGATGATTATATTTGTAATTGCCTCAATTCTCAAAATAAGAGTTCGACATCTATCAGCCCTACTTCGTCTTCTTCTCATATGTTCGATTCGCGTGCCTCTTTCAAGGCTTAATGGTCCTTCCGTTCCTCTCAGCGGAACGGGTGTTCGCCTCAATATTGCTTGAAGATTATTCCTACAAACCGAGGGAATATATCTCGACGATTCTAATTATCATCCTGTTTGGTATTGGGGTGTCTTCCAGCATTCTCTATCATAATGGTAAGATTAATCGAATAGCGATGAATGCTCAATATGAACATTTGAGGGACCTATTCAGTATATCTGTTCATTTTGATATGTGTGACAAATTCCATTGCCGTTTTGGTATGTATGATATTTTAAAATGTTGAAAAAAAAACTGAAATTTTCAGGCAAATTTTATAGTGCTTCGTGTAAACATGAATCGTTTCAATGGTCCGACAGAGACCCGCTGGGGTATTGGATTAGGCGAACGATATCAGCTATCAGAGAATATAAAAGTTTGCAAGGTGGGGGTGCATTCGATGCGTTTAAAATGGTCCCGCTAACAGCTTGTCAACATCATTGTCGTTTCCATGGGTGGTTTTAATGTGATCACATGCTCGACGTTGTTTGTTGAATATTTCGAAAGTTCAACATTTGTAAAAGCTCTGGCAGTTTTCGGCTTCGATATTTCAGCATTTTTGTAAGTCTATCAATATGTCATGTCTTTAAAATGATCCCTTTAAAGGTACAGCTTCATATTCCCCTATGTCCTTTTACACTATAGCAGCCGATGGAAGCATTTGATGAGAGACATCTTCAATTGGGTATCAATTTTATTTTGGTCAAAGTTTTTCATAATTCAGAAGAATTTAGTTAAAGAAACTGTGCCATCGTAACATCGAGGTTTCGCCGTATCGTTGCGAATTGCGGGACACGTTCGGAAACGTGATGTCCGATTCAAGCGGCAACGGCTATTTCAAAGAAATTGAGAAGATTTGGAATATCGACGCACGCCGTCATTATTGAGATAATTGATTTATTAAGAAATTTGATTAGAAATTGATTCCATTGTAGTTCAAACATTTTTTCAAAAGAAGCAATAGTGCCCCAATATTGGGAATAATGAAAATTGCCTGAAATGAAGATACATAATTATTTCGACGATTGCTGGTTTTGATCTCCTCAGGCAAACGATCTAATGTTTTATGCGATTCGGTTAACCTATTTATATAACCTATTTATATGAAATATTGTGGGAAATTGTAAAATTATTTGACATTTCACAAAATTTATTGAGATTGAATAAAATTTTTAGCTAAAATCATATACGACCTCCTGAAATCCATTTTGAGAAATCCTAAAGGTTCTCAGTGAATTTAAAATTTTCTGGTAATATGCAGATTCGGAAAAAATCCCATTAAAAGCTTATAAAAAAACTATGCAAATTGCAGAAAAAACCTCGGCCACGTCAAAATAACTTCGGCCACGACCACATCACATCGGCCACGATTTCGAAGCGACAGTTTTTAATTAAATCGCTGCAAAATTCTGAAATATTTATTATATTACCTTTAACTTTATCACTTTTATATTTGTCAATCCAAGTTTCTCTATTACGGTTCCTATTTATTTCAATTACGATTTAGGCGCATGATAAATACATACATATTTCAGCGATTTAATTAAAACTGTGATGACTTCAAAAAACGTGGCCGTGTCCGAAGTTTTCGGACAGTTTCTTCGGCAATTCTTAATATTCAACGTTTTAGATGGTTTGCCTGAAGTATTCTCGAGTTGTAGTGGGAGGTCGAATTTGAAATTTTCGAACAACGCGGCCTGCTCAATGATTTCAAAATTCACTGCCAATCAGAAATTGAAGTATCTTAAATTGGCGTCTCCTAACTTGAAAACACGACGAGACCATTCTAGAGAAGGACATACGATGTTAATTGGTTTGCTCTTAATTGGAATCCCATTGAGCACATAAAGAGCCGTGTCAGATTGCAAGATTCTCTCGCGCATTAATCGATAGATGCGATAGAGGTCTTTGCGATGCTCGAATTCACAATTCATCATTATCAATCTTGCGGTTTTTTCGATCTCGTTTTGCAGTTTGCACGCTGGTATGAAAGTGAGTAATGTGATGAACGTGCAAACGACAACATTGAGCATTAGAAACACGAATGGCACAATTGGGATGGCATTTAGGAAGCTGAAAATTTCGAGATTTTATAAATTGACACCAGATTTATTACCTTGTTAGATAGACACCATTAACGAACGCAAAACAGCTGAAAATGGGTCCGAAATTTCCATAACTCCCTAAATTTGATAGTCTAATTTTCATGGCGGTTTCCTTACCAAGACTGTTGTTGGCTCTTTGAATCACTTTAAGAATTTGGATTTGTCTCAAACTGAACAATGAAATCACATTGAGGTTCTGGAATTTTCAAAATCTCGTGATAAGATCAATATTTCGAATTGCATGCCTGAAGATTATGATCCTTTTCGGCCTTTTCCATCTCGTGATTCAAGTATTCGACTTCTCGAGTTAGAGCCACATTTGCGATGACGTAGATGGCCAGCGTGCACGAAATTATCAAACATGAGTGGAATGTAAGTATTGGCATCAATATGTACAAATAAATTAGAGTTTCATTTCTTGAACCAATTATTAATTGGCTAAATAACTCTATTGATGATTACCCTCCAAGCAGAACTTTGTGTTGGATGGCCGAATAGATTGAGTACGCTAGAGCGACAACGAACAATGGGATCGAAAAAATAGCGCACTTCAATTGAAGACACTTATAATTATCGAGGTCCGCATTTGGAGATATCTGAAGGCTCCCGTCGGGTTTCAAAATTTTATACAACTCGATTGGTACCCTTAGTGATGACAGTTGAATGAGATCGTCGATAAGATTTGGGATGAATCGATTTTTTGTCCATCCAAAAATGCACAATGAGCAAACCATTCCATGAATCGACATGAAGCCGAAATAGTTGGATTCAGCCCACGCGAAAGAGAGCACCTAAAATAAGGAGGGAGGAGGTGGATATCGGTTAGCGAGAAGCTCACATGAGCCTCAACTTTGATGAAAATGGCCATGCGAAAAAATTGGACGAGTATCACGAGAATTGAAAACGCTGTCGAAATATAGTAAAAGCATCGCATTGAATTTGAGAATATGGAGCAATCCAACCCGGTGCATCTGAGAATAACTAGTGGATCAGTGGCGGCACAACGACTTACTTGATCACGTATCGATATGGTCCGAGTAGATTGAGCCTTGAAGCATGATCGCCTATCATTACGTTCACCATTTCCTGCAACGAAGTCAACTGACAGCAGCGGTCACACACCTTTTGAATACCTGAGTTTGATAGGAGTAAACATTGACTTGAGGCAAATCGATGATTCATTTTAAATAAAGCGGATATAAATCACAAATTCCAATGAAAATCGAAAAATTAACTTGCAACAAACACGAAAAAGTGTTGGTTTTTTTTGGAGCCCACATATCTGTGTTTTTTGCTGTACAGTCGGAAATTCGGGGCACTCGACTTTACATTGTTTGAAGCCTTTGATACTCGTGAAGCATACTTTGTATACAGTATCGCACAGTGATATTTATAAAGTTTCACATTTTTGTCATTAATTTTCGAGAATGGGTTTGAAACTTTACGAAATTTTGAAACAATCGAACGAATCATGAGGCAAATCGAAATCACATCTGAAAATGTTTTAGAATTTCAGTATTATTGGGTTTTCAAATTTTCAATTTTATTTTTTTCCACTATTTTTCCCTTCCGATTTTTTGATGTGCTAAATTTATATGTGACACCAGTGAAGGGTAAAAAGGTCCCTAAACACCGTATAAGAGATCATCAAGTTTGGCGAATCCCTTTGAGAAAAGTTTTACGAGATTTTGTTGGGCTCATTGTAAGATTTGATAGGTATTTTTGGTTCACGATTTGTCATGAAATAACCTTTATTTTTTTTGTGATATCTGATTCATTGAAAAATACATTTCGAAGAGTTTCGTAATTAATTAGTTTTTGTGAGAAGTAATGAAAAAAAAAACATGAAAACGCAATAATTTTGAAATTCTGAAACAGTTTCAAATGATCTTTTAAGCTTCTAGCGAATTGTATACTCCTTCTTTGGATTGTCTCAAAATTTTATAGTGGCAAACGCAAACGATTTGGTCTTGAAAATAATCTTCGATTTCGCAGCGTATCGACTAGATATATGCAAAACTACAGTATACATTAAAGGCGCATGCAAAATTCGCTTTTTAAAAATTCGCTTCAAAAATTGATAGAAACTTTCGAGCGATCTTTACTCTGAAAAATAATAATTTGAAGATCAAAACTATTGCTTGTAGTCGATTCAGGCGCCTCCAATAGTAGGCAAGAACCAGCTTATTTTTTCTGAAAATTGGAATATTTCTGGAAAACGTCGAATTCGTCCAGTATAAAAGTGTAAAGATTATCTACATGTAGTAGTGCAAAATATTATTTATAATACAGCACAAAAATTTTCAATTTTTTAACCGACATTTGGATTACCGAAAATGGTCCGTAACCGTCACAATTTGACTCATTTCATTTTATTAAAATCAACTTTCTGTTTCAAGTTAAAAGATATGTCGGCTGAAAATTGCGCAGGCCCAAAATTTTTAACCCTAAAGTATTTGTTAAACTATTTTTGTTTCATAAAGTCATTTATGCATTCAACAATTATATAACAAATTGAAAGTATGCAGAAGGTTATAATTATTGCTCACATATATTTTATTGTACTTTGATTCCATTATATTCCAGACACTTCTTCAATAGTATCAAGACGGCACCGATATTTGGGATGATGAACATCGCCTGAAACACGTCGAGTTTGAAAACGAAGCGATTCCATGAATTCGTACCACATTGAACGATCTGCTGTTGATTGGGAACCCATTGAGAACATACAAAGCGGTATCGAATCTCAAACTTCTGTCGCACATAATTCGATAAGTGTGGTATAATTGCGGCTCTTTTGTGCTCTCGATATCGCTGTCGAGCATTATGATTTTGGCGGTTTTTTCAATTTCCTCTTGCAATTTCGATGGTGGAATGAGCGTGAACAAGACGATGGCGATGTCGGAGAACATTGTGATGATCAGACAGGTGTATGGTAGTGATGGGATTGTGCCGGAAAAGCTAAAAAATGCGGATTTTTTTTGAAAAAGATTCAATGGTATTTTGGACCTTGAAATGTAGATTGCATTGATAATGCCAAAGAAGCCAAAGATCGGCCCAAATTTTCCATAGCTTCCTGAAAACAAAACGATTCGGGAAAGTCGAGAAAAGATTTTTAAAAATATTTTCTTTTGATGAATGCGATCTGAATTGACTTTTGGTGTCCCCCACAATGATGAAGTAATAGAACACAGAGTACAGAGTATAATACATAGTTATTATGAGATGAATCATGTTGGCTCTCAGTGTCGCGAATCCGGTTATCAGCTTCTTTGCCGTGCGGCATTGGTGAGTGAGGACAATTGAGGTTTTTGAGGAAATTTTTTGAGGAAAGGAAGCATTTGCTTGAGAGAGAGAGAGAGCACTTATTGAGAGGTGAACTCCTCAGCCCTTTTAGGCTCGTCTTTCTGACAGTAGTAGGTGTGGTACTGCTCTCTGATGGGACCTTTGATCTAGTGGTACTGCTCTCTGATGGGACCTTTGATCTATTTGTACCTAAGACATATCCAGTCTTGCACAAAGTTCGATTACCGATTCAGTTGCTAGATAAAAAAAACCTCTATCAACTTCTCTTTCCGTTTTTTTTTTCTGGAAGGAAAACAGTAATTTTCGTAAAATCCTGATAGGATGCTCATTGATCGGGCCAGTTATATTAACCAGTTCTACTAGCAAAACCCATGTGCCTTTAACCATACAGTACTCCTTCATTTTTTCGAATTCCTCTATTTCAAGTTCGTTCTTACCAAGGCTGTTGTTCGACGTTTGGACCAGCTCCAGAATTTCATTTGTCTTGAACTGAAAGCAGATAGCACAGCAATATCCTGAATGAATGAAAATTGGAATAAGAACGAAATCAATGAGAACCTTAAGATTATTATCCTTGGATTGTTTTTCAATTTCACAATTCATATACTCCAATTCTCGTGTCAATGCCACATTTCCGACGACGTAGATCGTCAATGTGCACGAGACGATCAGAATCGTATAGAAGGTGAGGATTGGCATTAGCACATACAAATATGGTTTGACAACGTGCCTAAATAATTTGGCTTTGTGTTTTTTGTCGAGCATCACCAGCAATCAATACCCTCCGAGCAGGAATTTCTCCTCGAAGGCCGCATTAATCGAATAGCCGAACACGCAGAAGAAGAGCGGAATTGGCTAGATGAGGCACTTTTTGTGAAGAGCCGAATAATCGCTGAGTTCTGGCTTTGGTGTGTTCTGCAAAAACACTGTCGAATCGTCGGGAATCGTTTTTGATCGATAATACTCTCAATTGGGCAAGCTGTCGGAGGCCATCAACGAGATTCGAAAGAAATTTGTTCTTGGTCCAGCCGAAGAGACAAAACGCGCAAGTGATTCCATGGATTCCCATGAATGCGAACATATTGGATTCAGCCCATGCGAACGAGAGGACCTTCAATTCAACAATGTGTGCACCTTTAAGCAATGCGACCGCTTACAGGCCCCTCTGAGCTGAAAAGGACAATGGTGCGAAAGAATTGAGAGAGGATGACGAGAATCGCGAACGCCGTTATCAGTCGCGACGCGCATTTCTTGGAGCTCGTGACCGCTGAGCAGTCTAAGCCGGTTAATCTGCAATATTGGATAATTTATGGGCGGCGGTCAAATTAATTGGTCGAAACACAATTTTCATTCGAAATTCTGTTTTTTGGGCCATCCATAGAATGTGCCATTTTGTGCAAATAAGCAATGTGTTTTGATGAACTTTCTGGGCAAATACTATAGGCATCGAAAACATGATGGAAACTAGACTACACCTCCCAAGTGATGTTGATTCGTGCCGAGACCTTGGTGAAAGACCCATTCTCGTAAATCTACATAGAGCAGCAATTTAATTTAAAAATAAAAAATTATTTTTCCATTGGTTTTTCTCTAAAAAACAACATTTATTATATTTCAATTAAATTATTTAAAATAATTTTTTTTCAACATTTTCGGGAAAACAGCTTCCAGCAAAACATTTTGTCGAAAAGTGACTAATAAGGCAATGCAGAACAATAAAAAAAATAAAAAAAAAACATTGAAAAAAAGAAGAAATAAAGAAAAATGCGAAGCAAAAAAATAAGATACGCGTGTTTTTGTTGGATTCGCATCGAGACCCATCGTATAAATAAACGGCATGCGTTTTAAAATACCGTATCTCTGGGTCATGCGGTTTTATTGATAGAAATTTTACTTGCTTTTTTTTTAAATGAAATGTTTTCGTTTACGGTAGTTTAAGACGCGTGCCACTTATTTTTTCGATGGGTCTCGATACGAAAACACGCGTATCTTCGATCATTATTATTTTCTTTTTTCTACACCGCATTTTCCTTTTTTTCTTCTTTTCCAATTGTTTTTATTTTTTTTTTCACTGCCCCCCCCCTAAGAAAGAAGAACAATAGGCGGCAATTTGAACAAGGGGTGACACTTTCATGGTCCTTTACACTCTTGATATTACGAATATTGAAGATATTATGTTTCGAAATCCATTGCGACATTAAAAACGCATTAAAATGGTTTTAAAATTTGGTGAGAGAAGACAAATATGACCTATCAATTCTAGAAAAAATGAACAAATAGAACTCACTTGATTATGTAACGATATGGTCCGAGAAGATCGACGGGTTGCGCCTTGTCTGAAAACATCATATCGAATGAACTGGAAGGGCGTTGCGCGGTGGGATTCGGCGGCATGCAACCACCATCATGAATCATGATGATTCAATTTTTCGGTCGGAAATTTGGCGGGCACAAATCACAGAACAAATGACAAATTGCATTGGATTTTACTCACCATCGAAGTTGGCGATTTTCATGATTGAAGAATAGTGAGGGTATCTCGTTTTTTTTTCTTCGTTCGACAAACGCTGATAAGGTTGAACACGATACTGAATGAACGAGTGACCAGCGACAATTGTTATTGGGTGGGTTTGGGACGACGCAAATATTTGGGTTTCGTGGTAGCCTTTTTTGAGGGGGTATTTGTACGAGTACACACGGTTTTGTTATAAATCGAAACGAAACATTTCAGCAAAGAAATGTTTATTTTCATTTTTTTTCGATATTCAAAACCAAAAAAAAATTGCTGACTATTTATTTTCATTTTCGGCGTCTCGCAACTGCAGAAAAATGGCTAAACATTGGTCTTGTCACATAATTAAAAGTGTAGATTTACGGGCCCATGCATACGAGCCCCTGGGACCCCTTTTTAATTTTTTTGTTGAAATTTAGACAATATTCGTCTTTTGAATATTTTTTCATTCCAGTTGGGATATATTTTCTTTAATTTTGCATACAAATATTATTACCAGCGCCCAAAAAATAAAGGCCTTGAATAATTGTGGACCATTGCACTCTTTCGAGGCGGCAATTCAAATTCGAATTTAAACAGTGAGAATTCTTATACCGTATTCTGGATAACATGCGAAGCAAATTCACCGTATAGGGTGCTCATTTTTTTTTTGCAAATCTACTAGAAATTCCATGATATGCCTGGAAAAAATTCGAAAAGTCTCTAAATTGCGGCTCCGTTTTTTTTTCGCAGAGCAATTCTCAACCGACGACTAAAAACCCTTAAATTGCTGGTAATGTTCTGAGAGAATGGACCTTAATAAAAATTGTTTCTGGTTTCTGGGAGTTCATAAAATATTACATATCTAGCTGGTTGCTCTTTAAAGGCACACAAGGCTAAATTTAAAGAATGGCACATAATGGATCCACACTGGAATCGTATAGGTTTCCATCCAGAAGACAACATCATCAATGAAATTCGATACCGTAAACTACACAGAATCCATATACAAAATATGCTACCAACGGACCACCACCCCACCGTGGGACCACAATCAGCTTCAGCCATATTTCTGGGGACATGTACCGCCCAAGATGGGCACACACCTGTGGACATTATTCAATTTTGGTTTCCAATTATTCAATATTAATTTTCTTTCTTCCTTTCTGCATAATTTCTGAGTATTTATTTTTTTTGAAACTGCAGCTTTAAAAAGTTGGAGAGAAAAAATTTGTGCAGATAACTGCGAAAGAAAGAAAAAGAACTAACCCATTAGGTCCTGCCGTTGAGATTGTTCGTTCATTTCTGAAAGTTTGAAGTATGATTATAAAAAAAATGATGAAGCAAATAGTGGAACAAATGTATATTTGCACAGACGGACGGGGGGAATCTTGAATCAATCTCATCAAAATGATAGATATTGATATAAATCAACATAAATCACAGTCACAAATTCATGTTTTGTGTCCGAATTATAATATTAAATTCGATGACTCTTTTACAACCCCCCGCCCACAAAAGAAACCCGTGTGATAAAACATTGAATCATCATTTCTTTTCGAATGATGTTATCTATGTATGGCAACGCACGCGATATCTCTTCTATCTAATCCAATGATTGGTATCGTCAAATTTGTATTTAATGGAAATTTATATGCTGGCAAATAATCTATATGTAAGTTAACCAGATATAAATACAAAAAAACTAACGCGATGCTATATAACTGCACATATTCAGTTGGCGATGATGAATAAAAGGCATGCACCCATCAAGAAATCGTCAGACGAAATGAACTACAAGCCTCAGTTCAAATATATAACGCGCGAATTCAAAGGAAACTGGCCATTTAAAGTACGTTTTCACATGTAGTTAATGCGGATTGGTTTGTATATTTGTTCGATAAGGATAAATGAAAAGTAATCAGAACATGTATCTTTTGCACAAGAGATTTTCCAAACTAAAGAAATAAAAAATAATTATTCAGAAGCATGCATTCCTCGATTTGCGGAATATGAAGATTGTTCAAACAAGTATACAACGAGAGATCGCGCAGTGTCTTAGAAATTTAATTCATATTGTAAGTATAGCCGCGTGACTTTAAAAAAAATAATTTTCTAGATAATGGACTCTCCAACAGCGCACCAAAGCTATTCGATTGCGAAACGCCCCGGTCAACGAATGCAAGAAGGGCTGAAACCAGTCCCTGAGGACGTTATTGACGCTATCAGAGGTAATCATCAAAGAGTCAATACCAAATGGAACCTAATTCAGACTTCATTCTGGAAAGCTACGGATATCCAGTAAAATTGCAATTCCCTGGATATTCAGTAGAAGATCTTCAAAATGAAAATGCGAGGTTAGTATATTAACCATTAATCTTTTATTTTACTTTTTTCAGGTTGGCAGCAAGATTGGGAGACAATAAAGCGGAAATAAGTCAACATTATGAGAAGCTGATTATGGATGTGGCAAATATGGTGGACTTTATTTATTTCAAAGCTCACCGAGTTTTGTAAGTATTTTGTAATGCTTTATATATAGAAATAAGCTATATATATTCAGTAATGATCTTCGGAACAAAAAAATTGTGGAAACCCAAGGTCAAAATGGAGTTGTGCGCAAACGATTCGATTATCTAAAAATAACACAAAGAACGGTAGCCACGCCCACCTACTCACTCAAATTCACGTGATGTTAGCTTATACTACACCGTTTTTGACGATTAGCAAAAGTATACAGAAGCTTCATCACATTGAAAATTTCATAGAAACATTGAGAAAAAGAAGTTTTCAGGAATATTCGTCCAAAAATTCTACGTTCGACGTCCATACGCCATCGTGCTTCTCTTCATCTTCGTCGCTTTTGTCGTCTTCGTCATTCTCGCCGAGACCCATGTACTGGAATGGAAATAATGGCGGTTTTTCTTGTTCATACGGGTACCAACATGAATATTTTTGCATTGAATCCATATTTGGCGGAATAAAATTTTATTTGTTTCAAATCGCCGCATTAGTGACACCGCTACACCAAATTCAGGGTTTTATTGGCATTTGAGGTATATGTTGATATAGAAACCAAAGGTTTAACGGTCAAACAAACTCAACTACAGTTTTCAATTTATTTTAATTAATCGGTTCATCAAACATTCGTTTTCGTCTTCATCGGCGGCAAGAAGGAGGAGGCGACGGCGCTTTTTTTTTCGAATCAAACTTTGTTCGCGACAACAATTGCTGATGCTCAAATATTTCGTTCAATCATTCGTCGAGCTATGAGGTTGATTTTGATAGTCTCGGCTATTTTTGGGCTATGCGCCGCACAAAATCCCATTTTCAACTTTATGGGCGGTCTTGTGAGCCCCGAGCCGAATCCCTCAAGACTTCAGCTCACCGAAGAATTGTGTTCGGCTGATGAATGCCTCATCGAGAAGCATTGGAGCGAAGAAGACGTTTGCGCTTATGTGAGATGTAATAAAGACGCCTGTGAAGGTGGTGGCTACCTTCAATGGTCCGCTTATGTCAAATGCGAATATCGAGATGGATTGAGGGTATTCAAATTTTCAGCATTTTCTATATCCATTGTTTTTTTGAATTTAGATTTTCCTTATTATTATCGGCATCCTTTATCTTCTGTTCCTCTTTATTATCATGACTTATGTTGCCGATGACTTCTTCTCGCCGGCGATTGCTGGAATTGTTAAGCATCTCCGAATGAGTGAATCCATCGCGGTAGGTCTTGCCTACAAGAACGCCTATATTTTGTTTTATTATTTTTCCATTCAGGGTGTTACGTTCTTAGCTTTTGGAAATGGCGCGCCTGATGTATTCGGATCAATTGCTTCAGTAATTGCTAGTCCGAAACCAAAAGCCGATCTTGCGATTGGAGACATTCTAGGTTGGTTTCTACAAATGATTTTTCATTGTTAAAAAATTATATATTAGGCGGCGGCATTTTTGTCACTACGGTAGTTTTGTCCGCAATCATCTTCACGAAATCCTTCAGAATTGCGGTTAGCCGAGTTGCACAATTTTTCCCTAGATTGCAGATATTTCTCTTGCAGGCTCTCGCCACCACACGTGACATCGTCTTTTTTTTGATCGCTGATATTTTCATTGCGATCTGCTTCATTTGTTACGATCATGTCTACACATGGATGCCGCTTAGTAAGTATTTAATTAACTGGTTTCTGAAATAATTAAATGTAATCACAGCATTTCTTGGAATTTACGCTTTATACGTGATATCGGTGATATTGATGAGACTCAACTCAATGAGGAGGAAACGATTAAGGGCATTGAGGAAAATTCAAGAAGTCGAGGAGGGTTCAAGCACATCTGGAACAATCCACCATCATACGCATAAAATCTCAACGGTTATCAATTTCTTTATGGACTATGCGCATGTTATCAAAATGCTACATATGCATAAATGTAAATTAATTTTTTCATCATTTAATTATAAAAAATTTTTAGTTTCCACTAATACTAAATTCGCTATTCCAACGGCCCATAAATGTAAGATGAACCGTATTTTTAAATTGTATTATCTTCAATTTTTTTTTAGCAAGTGATTCGGAATCACTATTTGACTGGGATGGCGATGATGAAGGTGAAGAAGCCGAATTTGTCATTGCACATCGACACGTCTACACTTCATACGATCAAGCCAGCTTAGCATTATCTGATATGGAGGAGATTCATCCAACCAGCTGGAAGTCATGGGATTGGGTTCGCGACTTGTTGCACCATATCAGGCCGTACCCGACACAAGAGGATCTCAGTGAGCTCAATTATTTCTCGAAGGTGGTTAGAGTGATTGCTGTAAGTTATTGTTTTGAGAATTCCGAACTAAAAACCAAATTCATCTAGACTCTTCCGCTGTTCTTCATGAAAATAACAATACCATCGAATGAGATGTCATATTGCAAACCTCTTCTCATACTTCATTGTTTCGCTTCAGTGCAATTTGCTTTATTCGCAATTCAATGTTTGCTCCAATTTTAGTAATCGCTTAATATTCGAATTTTAGTATCCCAAAAATCGCCGTTCCATGGAAGTCCTGGACTTTGGCTATATGGTTTGGCAGTTTCAGCAGTGTTGTCAATACTGGCACTCATCTTCACACCGCTGTCAAGAGAGCAGAAATATTATAAGGTTGATCCGATTCGTTTTGCTCATCGCTGATTTTCTCTAGGAAATTTACTCCTATCTTGGATTCTTAATGTCAATTTGTTGGATTTACGTCACATCTTCTGAAATCATAAATGTTATCACAATGATTGGCGTAGCGACTGGAGTCTCCCAGGAAGTAAGGCGATTGGGGATCCTCAAACAATAAGGCTAATTATTCAGCTTCTCGGTTTAACTATTATGGCGTGGAGTAATTGTATCGGAGATGTTGTTGCCGACATTGCCGTAGTCAAACAAGGGTACCCGAAAATGGCGATGGCTGCTGCCATTGGTGGCCCTTTATTCAGTAAGCTCTCGCATTAAGACACCTATTACAAGCGATTCTCAGACCTTCTCATCGGATTCGGACTTCCCTTCACAATCGCTTGCCTTCAAGGAAAAGATATCGAACTCCAAATCACTCCGGTTTACAAACTCCTTATGCTATTTTTAGCAATTTCTCTAATTACAAGCCTTATAGGTGAGGTTTGGTTAAGATTTTTAGGCAATTAACCTCACATCTTGCAGCCATATTTGTGCAAAAGTTCAAGGTTCACTGGCAACATGCTGTCGTCCTTCTCATAGTATTCGTCGCTTTCCTCATCTTTATCATCCTCACAGAAACCAATGTATTGGTTTGGAACTAATCGGCTATACATACAACTCAACACAATCTTCTCTTCATGTATTATTAGAACAATTACGGGGTGTTTATACAAAGTATTTTGTTATATATATATAAAGCGTTGACATTTCTCATCACGTCGAGACTATTGTGGAGACTCGCGTCGTGCGCTTCTTCGATGATCCAGCCCATTTGTCGCGAAGTTTTGACGATTTGAAGATTGGCACGCATGCCCAAAGTTCCATGAAGGCAAGACGATACTCAGAGGATCGCCAAAGAATGACGTAGAACGATTGAGAATAGCAGAGAAGAGCGAAGAATACCTGCAAATTATATGATTCGCTATTTTCTAGTTTGATTCCTTGATGAATTGCGCGTTTGATCTACATATACATACAATTGAAGGCAATTACGACTATTCTAGGATTTCTTACCATATTGCTTTGAAGGAATGCTAATGAATTGCCACTGAGGCCAATCGTCACAAAAAAATCGACTCCTAGAATGCACGTGTACCATGAAATGAGAAAAATGAAGACGGTGACTTTCGGACGTTTAATAAGCCATCGGGTATTTTTCTTCTGATTCATGCCTGAAAAAAAAAAAACAACGCCAATGTTAATTTGGGTTTTATATCGAAAATTATTAAAATTGCAAAAAAACGAGCAACCCGTATCAATAGCAGGAATGTCCAAATAGCGGCTTTGGTTTTTGAATTGCTAACAACCGAAATTTCATTGTAAACATCTGCGGACAATTTCCGAGCTGTGCCCAATTGTATGTTTGTTGTTTTTAGAGGTGGCGGCAATTCAAACACAGGCCCTTCGCCAGCCGTACTTATTTTTTTTTGGATAACGCTACTGTCTAAATTTTGATTCGCAAGTTCTCCAGAGTACGGTATCCGAATTCCCAGCGATTAAATCTAAATTTGAATTGCCGCTTCGAAAAGGTGCGATGGTCCACAATTTCTCAAAGTGCTCGCTTTTTTTGGCGATAGTAATAATGTTTAATCTGTTGCTAAAAATCAGGCGCGTTACGGTTCGCGGTGACATATTTTTTGGATTTTTTCTAACGTATTATAAATTAAAAAGACGATACTCTACACTCTGCTGTACACTCTGGTGCGAGCTTCAACCAACTTATGATTCAACAGACTTCATTTATTGTCGATGTCAAACAATTGAATCAAAGCGGGGCCTTCAACTTCTCGAAATCAGTGTCGATTTAAATTTGTCATTGACTGAATATTAAATGCGCGTAGGCTATAATGCAATGTACTCAATCTTGCGTACTTCTCGCTGCCTAGATACGCATATAGCAGCTATTAATTTTTTTTTTTAAATTTCGTTCAGTCGTTTGACTCCGACAATTCTACATCCAAAGATATTTTTTGAAATTTCCAAAACTTTCCCCCAAAAGGAACCCCATTGAGATTTTTCGTTCAATTTAAATTATTTTCATTTTTTGATATAAAAATATAAATAAATATTTAGAAATTTCAATGAAATCTAACAATAAGAAAGCAGATAATGCCATATTCGGACCCGTCTTTCTGCAAAAAATTGAAATGCTGAGTATTGTGGCGATTCATTATGGTAGCCGTATTTTAGAAAGAAATTGCAAATATTCGCACCTTTGTAGTGAAAAATGACGATAATCACCATAAAAAGTGCAAGAACTGTTGTGTTGATAACGACGTTCGATAGGGACCAAAATCGGCTGGCGGTTGGATGTAGGGCTGGAATTTCTAGATTTGCAAAATTTTGACAAATTCTCAGCACCTAAAGGTGGATTGCAGAATAGAAGCAGCTGATCGTCAATTTTCAAGAAGCCGTAGATTAAAACAAAACTTGAGTAGATCAGAGGCGGCGTCAGAAAGAGCATGACATATTGAAAATTATCCATAGTACGGTATCTGAGAGTCGCTATTTTATTTTAAAGGGGAACTACGAGATCAATTTTACATTTTTGGGAGGAATATTATAGCATATAAATCTATAACAAGCATTAGCATAAGCATTGCTTGAGTGCATATGAAGAATATATATAGGGAGATTGCTGGATAGCAGAAGCTTCTCGAGACCTTCAAGCCAGTGATTAGTAAGAAAGCATTTGGGAGCTCGAACAGCAGGCAGATTATATGGGAGAAGCTCAAGCAGCATTGGAGGAACGCTGAAAATGAACTGGCTGTTTAGAATCACAAGAAAATACCAAAACGACCCACATGATTTATTGTGTAACGATGGTTTTTTGAAGGTTAAAACAAGCAAATTAATATTGCCGAATAAGCCGACCAAATTGAAAATGATGATCTCGATGGCGACGAATAACTGATTCATCGTCTCGAAAAAACTAGACTCCATTCGAAATGCAAAATAATTGATAATATTTTATTATATAGGCCCACATTAAAATGCATTCAATTCGATTACTATTCATGCGACAAAAAAATGGCGTAGGGGGGGGGGTGGCTTTATTGGTTTTCGTCCTATTTAGATAACTAATCAGTGGGTAATTGTCGTTTTCAAATATTGGCAGTCGACTTCCGGGGGAGGCGGTGCTCAAAACTTCTTTTTCGGCCCAATATTAATCATCTGCAAAAACTACATATACAGGGTGTCATTTAAGTTCCCGCACAAAAGTTTGACGCCATGAAGAGCTTGGCTGTCGCACTTTTCGTGCACCAATACAATTTATTTTTGTTAAATAAGGTATATTTTACTTACTTTCCAAGTTTCACCTCTTTCGGATGTGTTTCCGAGAAATGGCGAAGGCTAACATCCATCGCGCTTCCATTATCGAAGTTCATAAGCAAAATGTGAGCCCGAGAGACATCATTGAACGCCTCGCTGTGCCTCGTAGAACGGTTTGCGACACCATCAAACGTTTCAAGGAGCTAAATACGACCAGTGACCGTCCCAGACAAGGAAGACTCGTCTCAGTAACCACTCCTCAGAAGATAAACGCCGTCAAATCGAGGATCAGGCGAAACCCCCACAGGAGCATGAGAAAGATGGCGTCAGACGTGGGAATGAGCATCTTCGCTATGGAACAAATCGTCAAAACGAAGCTTGGACTGACCCCATATCGTGTCCAAAAAGCGGCAATTCTATCGGCCGTCAACAAGCAGAGACGCTTCGAAAAAGCAAAACAACTTCTTGCTCGCACGCAGTCTGGAGAACATCTCGTCACTGTCTTCTCCGACGAGAAGCTATTCACTGTGGAGACGGCATTCAACTCACAAAACCATCGAGTACTTGCCCAGACATCCCAGCAAGCTTCTGAGAAAAGCAGAACAATACATCGAGCCTCACATCCTGCCAGTATGATGGTTTTCGGTGCCATCTGCTCAACCGGGAAGCGCCCCTGGTTTTTGCAGATCAGGGGATGAAAATGAACAAAGAAGTCTACGTTCGGGACTTTTTAGAGGAGCATGTGATGCCCTGGACCCAAACGCATTTCGTTGGGCAGAAATGGGTCTTTCAACAGGACGGAGCACCCGCCCACACTGCCAAAACTACTCAGGAGTGGTGCCAGACCCATTTTCCCGACTTCATCAAGTCATCCGAATGGCCTGATTGGTCCCCAGACCTGAACCCGCTTGACTTCTCCGTGTGGGGTCTTCCAGGAGAAGGTCAACGCAAAACCCCACTCAAGTGTAGAGACTCTGAAGAAGACATTACTGGCGGAATGGCACAATCTTTCCATCGAATACCTGCGTACCACAGTCGCATCCTACCCGAAGCGTCTCTGTGAAGTCATAGCTCCGAAAGGAGGCCGAATCGAAAAGAGTTAATAGATAAATATTTGTTATACTATAGATAAAAAATATTTCGAGTCTCGTTTGATTTGGACCTTTAGTTTCAGAAATATACGTCTTCAAAGTTGTGCGGGAACTTAAATGACACCCTGTATTAAAGGCACGTGCAAAAATGATTTTTTGTTTTTTTTTTGTCGCCCCGATAATTGAACTTTAAATTGACCTAAATGAATTGAATTTCCGACAATTTGGAGAAATGCCGGGTGTTTTGAAAAGTCGGACTCGTTACGTAGAATGATCTTTATTTGGGTTTATTGGGTTAACTCCTATATTAAGAAAGTGGAAATAAACGTAAATCCAATTATTTGGTCAGAAGCTGCAATATTCTAATAATGGCTCCAGATGAGATTTCAGATGAGATTTTTTTTTTTTTCAGATGAGATTTTTTTTTTTCTGGTATCTCAAAATCTGACAATATTCGGCACCGTAATTGGTCGCGTTCGATTTTTTTCAATTCTTACCAGTTGAATCGGGTTGATTCCCGAGCTGGTCGGATCCGATTGGAATTTGAATCTATAAGATTCTTCCAGCCGGAACCTTGATGATGATTTCAGCGTGCAATCAGTTTTTGAATAGATTAAGCACAATAAATAATCTAGCAAAAATAATGACGCCAATAAAAAATTTGAAGAAAAAAACTTCAAATACCGATTAAAAAATCTCAAATATTGCAAAAAACGAGTTTTTTTCGAGTTTTCTTCTCAAAATCTTCTGAATGTCCAGCTTGAAATAGTAGTTCAATTCAGCAGTACATTTGAGCAGGTTTTGTTCGTCGCGCGATTCTCCAAATCTTGAGAAATTCGGAACGATATTCGATTGAACTCCAGATGATCACGTAGAATGATTGACAATAGGATGGGAGCACGAGAAGGACCTGAACAGAAATTATTGTCAATGCTCTTGAAATATCGGCAATTTCCCAAAAAAAAGGAATTTTCGAAAATTTCCGTTTTCGGAAGCGCTATTCCAATATTAAATTGATTTTCCGTTGCCAATATTGTAGGCGTCCGGTAGATTTACGGGGATGCGCCTTCTCTTGGTCTCGCACGGACTAACAGGTTGTTTCAAATTTCATGGACAGGTCCGATAATTTTTTAATGGAATGTCGTTGGAAATTCAAGGGAATTCCAAACTCATCAAGAAAAAAAAATAAATAAGCGTTCACTCGTGGCGAGACCTTTTCAAGGCGCATGCGCGTAAATCTACCCGCGTACAGCACTGGCCGGATGTCCATTATTATACAATTTTTTGAGACTCGCTTTTTTTAAACTCTCTACACCCTATTTTATAGAATTTTTACATACATATGATAGAGAATTTTTTTGCGGTTTAAATCTCATTCTACGAAAACGGTAGAAAAAAAACCAATTAAATATATTGATAATATGCTCTTTCATATAAGTGGTTACTAACCATGTTAGCAATAATCATATCCATACTAGCCTGACTTAATTCGAGTAGCGTGACAATATAGACACCCAGCATGCATAGATACCAAGTTGTTGTGTAAATAACCACTTGGACTTTTAAGCATCGAATTAGCTGACTGGTATGTTGACTCTTCAGATGACCTAAATAATTTATTTTTGAATTTTTCACTCTAGGAAATTCTTTCCATTGATTTTTATGGAAAATATCAAAATTATCAAGAGCACGATTTGAGAAGTGTTCAGAAAAAGGAATAGCGTTGAGTAGTAGCATTTGGCAATCGGAGGAAGAGCTGAAACTGTTGGAATTCGAATTGAGGCCAAGGGGAAACCTGAAGGTGGATTGCAGAACGCCAATGTGACATCATTCATATCTAGATAGCCCCATATGAGGACTGAAATAGCAATTGCTATTGGGAATAGGGAAAGGGTGAAAATATAGAAGGCGGTTTTTGCATTTCTATACCTGAATTTAGGAGTAATTCCAATTAAACTGACTGGAATGCCCTTACCAGGTTGGGATATACACAATAATATACAAATCGACTACTAGCATTAGCATTAGAGCACCCTGGAAGCAATTCGAGAAAATATAGATCAATAGTATGAAAAAGCATTGACGTCTTTTCAGCCGAACATCTGGAACACATCATTCATTTTTTCTTGCTTATATTGTCTAGAATAAAACCGTTTACGAGGAATATTGCGTTAGGCACCTCGAATAACAGACAAACCATTTGGAAGAGGCCGAGAAGTGCTTTAAGGTAGGCTGAAAATCAGATGATATTTGAATTGTTCTTTTTTTTCTTCATATCATGAGAATTTTACACGATTTATTTCGAAGATTTCGACATTTGCATAATATGAGAATCAGGTTGATATGACCGAAATCGCCGATCAAATTCGCGACGATGATGCCCAATGAGATGACAATTTTGTTTTCGCGTGATAGGCAATCGTCGGTGCTCATCGTCGAATCTCGAATTATCTGATTTTATTTATTTAATCACCGGAATGAAGAATGAACGTAACCAAAGTAAATAATAGAGAGACGTGAGAGATAAGAGGGAGAGATTAGAAGAGATGTGGTAAATGCCAGGGACCATAACAAATTTATAGAATGCCAAAAATTTACTATACGAGCGGCATGGATGCCAAGGGGTGAGGCTGTGATAGGCGTAAAATTGGCGCTGTATGAAGTAGTAAGACTATTAGAACCGAAATGGTCGACATGAGGAACTTATGGGAAGCTATAGGCATGACCCAAATGTGGGACCATTGATAAATAAGAGTGGGATTCTAAGATCATCAGCAAAAGCAAGGTTGGTAACGATATTGTTAGAGAGGTTCAAAATGTCATTAATAAAATTATGGGGCCGCTGGCGGTACCTTGGAGAACACTAAAAGGCACAGGTGAAGAAGAAGAAGCAGAAATACCATTTCTCACACGAATCTTAAAATAATGGTTGTTAAGGAAAAGCTTGAACCATTTTTAAGTGAGCTAAGGCCAAATTTGGAATTTTTGGATAAAAGGAGGCTGACGACGTCGAAATAAACAACGAGCTTTGAATTGTTTTTTAATAATTCTGCTAGCCAAATTCAATAGGGCACGTTTACAACCATGTCGATAAAGAAAACAATGTTGATTGGGAGAAAATCTATGAAAATATCGACCTTTAATGAAGTCAACAATATACTTTCTTTTTTTTATTTATTGGAATGAATGATGGTGGAACAAATGTTCTCAAAGGTCGGAAAATAATTTAATTATCCTTTTCAGTTCGAAGAGTCTTTGCGATTCCCCCCTAGGTGATTGTTTTCACCTGTTTTCAATATTTTGTTATGAAAAGCCAGTCTTTTAGCAGAGCTGTGTGGCGACCAAATTTATTCGGCAATTTTCCGAATAACAGCCTTTTATTAAGTGATAAGTAAGTTTTTATTTAATTAAACAATTCTCCTCATCTAATATGTAGAATGAATACACACACAATTTTTTGTTTGATTATTCAAAATGATCGCGCATTTGTTGCCATCGATTGAATGACGATCGTCGAAACCATCGGTTTGTTTTTGAGTTTGCGGAATGTTGGAATAAAATCCCACATTTTGAAGAATGCGTGCCTAAATTCGAATGATCGCCACATTGTCACGTAAAATGATTGACTATAGGATATAAGGGCGAATATGACCTGAAAAAAATCAAATTACATCATTTTGGGCATTTTTAAAGGGGGGAGGGCAATTGAAGATATCTTCCCGATTTGGCTTTTGAATTTAAATACCTCCAAGGTTTCAATGAAATTTATTTTCAGGAACACTTTTAGCCGACTCCTTTTGACCTTCATGAGCTTCTTCAATTTTTCGGTTGTCATCTCAAAAACAGCAAAAGATACTCCGTCAATCAACTGACAATGTGAGTTTAAGCTTAGTATGAAAGCTACGAGTCTATTTTCACGAGCAATATCTGTACAGCTGCTTAGACCCTTAAATGGAATCCTGCGAAAAATCTATTAGTATACGTTTGATCACAATTTTTTTCCGTGGGATTCCTTTGCAGAAAAGTCTACAAAAGTCCATAATCGTTAGAAGGAAATAATGGAAGTAAATGATCATATCAGTAAGATGTCTTCAATTTCCCAAAAACATTTAATTTTTGAATGTAGATGAATAGAAAACTAACAATATTTCCGCCCATAATGCTGGCTCCAACATCGCTCAAATGAAAAAACCCAATGGAGAACATTCCGAGCATACACGCGTACCAGGAGCCGGTGAACACTATCACAGACACTTTCAGACGTTTGATCAATTTTCTCGTTTGCGATTTTTCAATTTCAACTGAAAATCGGTGTCATTGAATTTCTCGAATCAACTCCAATACGATACTTTTCATGTAAAATAGTAGAATTAATATAATAAATAGAATGAGATTAATAGTATTTGAGACCAACAACGAGGAGAACCAGAATTCGCTAACAGTTGGCGCTAATGCTGCAAAAAAAATCGTAGTCTTGAAACATTTTGAGATGTTCGAATACCCATTGGAGGATTGCAGAATAACAGGATCTCATCATTCATTTCCAAATAGCCCCATGTGACGACGAACGTGCCATGAAGGCACGGGAATATCGAGATTATACAAACGTACGTCCAGGTTTTCGTTGTGTGATATCTGTAATCGATGCGATCGTGGAGAAAAAAGAAAGTCCTGCGAGGGACACACAGATTCAGGGTAAAACTAGTTTCGCCTACTGTAGAATTCTACAGATAAGCACACATACAGTGTTCTACAGCATCTACAGTATCCTCTACAGTAGCAAGGGAGCAGCAAAAGGCAATTTTGAACATATTGGTCGCCACAAGACCCAACTTAATTTTTATAGTTATGCGCCTTTAATCGATTAATTAATAAATTTGTTCGATTGAGTTGACTTTGCCCACGCTTTTCATTCAAATTTCTTGACCATTAAAAGGATCCATGAGTCTCGCAGCGAATGTTTTTGGGGGCCACCAATTTATCAAAGACGTATGTCGGATTTGTTCGCATTTGTATGTCGGGTCTTGGCGCGCATTTTCATCTTTAAAGAAAATTGTGATAATTACATTGTCGGCAGATAGACAATTATGTAGATGTCGATGACAAGCATGAGCATGAAGACGCCTTGAAAACAGTTGGCGAAAATGTAGACGGCGAGTAGCGGGAAGCACACATTTCGGCGGAGTTGAACACCTTGAATGGAAATTGTATGAATCTCTCGAAATTTGGGAATTTTGATTCACCTGTTAGTAAGAAACTCGCATTTGGCAATTCGAACAGCAGGCAAATGATTTGTGAGAAGCATAGAACGCATTGAAGACACGCTGAAAATTGGCGACATTCTCGATTACAGGCCGCTCAAAAAAATGGCTACTCGATTTGCTGCGAAGCGATGGATAATTGCAATAGAGCAGAATGCCGAAATGGCCGATGACATTGAACACGATGATCTCGGAAGCGATGAAGATGGCGTTGGCGTACTGCGCCGGCGTCGCGTTCATTCTGCAACGACTCGATTTCAGCATTGAATTTCAACGACGAGAAAATAGTGTTTGATTGTTTTCCATCGTTTTTTTTTCTTGTTTTCTCAAGACGGCAAATTTCCGAGAAAATTACTAGATAATGGGTTCATGCCAAAATATTTCTAGGTTGGGGTTGGGGGGGATTGAATAAATGAATAATCGATATGAAACGCGGAACGGTGTTGGCCGTCCAAAATTATAGACAATAATTTCGGGTGTGGTGTCGAGCAAAAAACAAGACCAGCAACCTATTCATTTGTCGAATCGCTGTGAGACCAAACAATGGGCGAATGGAGAATTGTCTTGGAAAACGACGAATGAAAGTAATAATAATAAAATAGTGCACCGCCCAACTCGATTAGCTCAACACCATGTGGGTGTTGAATAATGAAGAACTCGAATGTGGTGCTAGCAAATTGGTTTTTTTTTCTCGAAAAATCGTGGCGAAACCCAAAACATGAAAAATCCAATTCAGTATTTTGGGTGAAAATTCAATATGGTTGGGATTTTCAGTCACACGAATGGTACTGTAGCGTTCTGGAATTTGAGCGAAAATTTCAAACTTCGCCATTTGCATTAGCAAAATTTAAATAATTCGGTTTGAAGCTTTTTAAGATGCTAACATAAAAATTGATACAAATAGGTTATTTTTCACGCTGAACACGATTTTAACAATGGTTGGTCACAAAATATCGAAATTATTGTGCGGTGCTCAAATTCGGGGATGGCCTTAAATTTCTGCAATCATCTGTATTATCATTAACATATTTTTAAAAAATTTTCACGTAAATCGGTTACAGAGCCCACCGTGGTCCACCCAAGGCAAAGATCGAAAAGCTTGGAGTTCGGTGAATCGCGATTCAAAATGCGAAGAACGAGACTACGTGACTGTAAGTTTAGCGAAGTGGCACAAAAAAGGCCAAAAAAAGGAATTAGATGTAGCTCGATCGAATGGAATTAGATGTAACTCGATTTTCAGAACTTTTTAAAAAAAATTTAAATTCAAACAAAAAAGCATTTAGGGTTCGAATCATACTAATTTGTATATGCACTTTATGATTAGCTTAAAATAACGCAACAAAATTGCTTTGAAGGGGGTTTTGTTTGAGCTTATCCACCCAGGCAATTATACGCATTTGGCCTACTGAAAATCACGAACATACCTTTTTAAACCTGAATTTTTGCTTATTCAAACGCACTGCAGCAATTGAGTTTTTGGTTTTTTTTTTTCAGAATAGATTTTTTCTTTTTTTCCTCAGTCCAAAAATCGAGAGAATTCGAGAAATATTCACGCTTCTTTTGGTTTTTTGCATGAAAAAATAATTAAAATAAAATAATGACGAAAAACAAATTTTTTTCTGTTTGATGAAAATGTTTTCCCACATGTACCTTGAAACATCTACAATACCTCTGGTGACTCAAATCTAATCGAAATATCGAATTTTGTCGGACCCGATTGATTTTGAGTTTCTTCGCTTTGAAAAAAAGCGACCATTTTTCGAGAAACTTCCCAGCGGGGAAATTAATGATCAACAAACTTGGGCCGAATTCGTTAGATTTCCCCGAACAGTCGGAAACAGAAAATCGAGAAATTCCGCGATCCGTAGGCTTCTGAAGCGTCGACGAATCGACTGTGGAACTAAATAAGTAAGTTCTATCAAGTGACTATTAAGAAAGTTTAAGTTATTTTTCTGATTCAGTTTTCCTTATTGGGTTAGGCCGATTCTGATAATTCAAATCCATGAGCCCTGCGCAATGGAAAATGGATGAAAAGGGCATTCGATGAGGAATCAATCTGGAAATTCTGTGGAAAATGGTATTATGCACATTTGGCAAAAAAAACTTAACAAACCACGAAAATTATATGAAGATTGCTTAAAAAAACAGTTTTTCTTTTGCGTTTTTTTTTATCCAAAATCTGCATGATGCTATTGATGCAGTATTCATGCAATGAAAAAAATTAACTAAATCAATTTTTTTTTCATTTGAATGCACGAACGTTGAAAATTACAAGAAATTGACGCGATATGTCGTATTGTCGGCGTCAAACGATTGAATCAAAGCGGCGCCTTCAACTTCTCGAAATCAGCGTAGATTTGAATTTGTCGTTGACTGAATATTAAATGCGCGTAGACTATAGTGCAATGTACACAATAGCGCGTACTTCTCGAGACGCATTGGCCCATATCCAATAGATTTTTTTTTAATTTCATCAAGTCGTTTGACTTCGACAATAATTCTCCGCTATTTATTTTCAACGCGAAAAGTTTCCCGGATGATGTCGCGATGTTGGTACTGTAATTTTTTTAATGTCTGTTTTTTTCCGAATTTTTTTTATTCTTTTTGTTTAATCAATACTAATGTTCATCAGAAGAGCGAAGTATGCATCAAATTAACACAAATATCACAATTTTTCATAGTAATTTATATCTAAATGACGACAAATAAACTTATATTGTCGAATTACGTAGGTTTAATTATACCAATAATTTGTTTTTTTTTTTACCTCGTTCTTCAATCCGTTACTCATTTCCTCTTGAAATTTTTTAGAAAATACGAAAAAATAGCACACAAAATGAAAAATAAAAAATTACAGTACCGACTTCACGACGTGACCCGCGCAACTTTTTGCCTGCGCCTTTGAAAATAAATAGCGGGAATTACGATATATCGCGTCAATTTTTTGAAATTTTCGACGTGCGTGCATAGGGAATTCAAATGAAAAAAAAATGATTTTTAAAATATTTTTTTCATTGTATGAATAGGTCCATAATATTCTATGATTGTGGGATCTGATTGGTAACTTTTGTGTGTAAAATTTGATAGAAGAGAATACGATTTTTTATCTAGAAAATTAGGATCACCAGAACACGTTCTAAAAAAAATTTATTATGAAGAAAAATAATTGTTGTTAAAATTACAATTTTGAATGGATTGTTGAGACGACAGTTGTCGTGGTTGTGGAGAATTTGTCAGCGCAACGCCACATCTCGACGAACATATTGCGATATTCCGACGATTTCCAAACGATCGAATAGAAGGATTGCGAATAGCAGATGAGCACAAAAAAGACCATGTTGCTCTGCAAGAATGCTAGTAGATCGCCTTGAAGGCCGATGGCCTTGAACACGTGGCCGCCGAGTTCGGCGATGAACCAGCTGAACACGAAGATGATGATGGAGAGTTTGAGGCGTTGCGCGAGGCGGCGGGATGTTCGATTCGCGCGTCTTCCTAATCGCGTAGATCAAAATGATGTCGGAATCGAAATCGAGTCAAACCTTTGGCTCGAAAGATCAGAACGAGGGCAATGAAGAGGATGAGAACGATGAAGTTGATAAGAACATTGCAGATTAGCCAGACTGATTGGACGTCGGGATGCATTGCTGAAATTGCAAGTCAATTGGAATGGCATTGTTGGCTGAAAGAGCGCACACAGCGGTGGATTGCAGAATAAGACGTATTGATCGTCAGCCTTCACATATCCATATATGACGATGAATGTTGAATATGCGATGGGGAACACGAGCGAAAATGAGATGTACTTTTTGGTTTCCACATTTCGATACCTATAAATGGGAAATGGAATCGGAAATTTTGAATCGAATTTCACATTGTGATGTTTAGAAGCATTATATAGAGATCGATGACCAGAATGAGCATCATTGCGGCTTGTGCGGAAATAAAAAAAATTGTAGACAAAAATCAAGGTGAAGCATTGACGACGTCGCAATTGAATTCCTGCGGGTCATTTTGATTAATCCGATTTTCGATCTGCGGACAATTTACCGGTAAACAAGAGGGCCGAATTGGGTAGCTCGAACAATAGACAAATGATATGGCTGAAGCATTGAATGCATTGTAGAATTGCTGAAAATCGAGAGAGATTGAGAATTGTAGGAGGAGTGATTCGAGCAACTCACACGATTTGCTGCGCAATTGCGGCTTGAAATATGTGAGCAATATCAAATTCACATTTCCAAAAAGGCCGAAAATATTGAAAAATATGATCTCACTTGCCACAATCACTTGATTGATTAATTGGAATCGCGAGAGTTGCGCCATTTTGCGACACAATTCAAAAAAAGTAGAGTGTTTATAAGCATTTTCCATATTTGGAAGCATTTTTTTTGGAATGAATAGGCGAATTAAGAAAGTGACGTTTGATCTGACGTAAATAAAATTTTAAAACGGTTTTGTACAATTTCGGTCTTGAGCGGGCTCTGAGAAACATTTTCGCGTCGAGACCCTTCGGAAAAAAACTGTACTCATGTTTCAGCAATTAAAGAAATAGTAAATGACAGGTAAATTAAATAAATGGGTTGTAATACCCATCAATATTTTGAAAAAAAATTTGCTCCAAAAATTTTTAGGTAAGAAATTTTCGACAAGAATGTTTCGGAAAAAAGAGACGAACAAAAAAATTCTTAAAATATTACACAAAATTTTTGAAATAATTTATTTTTTCGCTGCTCCGATATGCAAATTTAACTCATCGAAAAAAATTTCGAGACTCGATGGTTAAAAAAAAAAACTTCAAACGCGCGCGTCCCATATTTATTTATTATTGTCTGCCTACACGAAGACGCAATTTTGCACACATTTCATATTCCATTTATACAATCCTAATCGTTCACATAATTGAACAATTTTCGATTTTTGAAGTTCACATTTCAAGCAACAAATTTGAAGCCTTGAATCCAATTACATACTTGTCGATTTCTTTAAAAAGGCATCGTGTCAAGACCATCAACTATGCGCTAACTATTCGAACTGCGCACTAGGCGATTTCCGTTCGTCTGCGTTTCCACCGGTTTCGCTGACCTAGATAATGACGGAATTTGGGAGGGGTTGTTTTGCGAATTGTCCCCCTCGTTCTCCTCTATTTCCATTCCTTCGATTTTACCCCTCAATTCACAATTTCACAGTAATCATTTTTTCGTATTCATATCGATGCCGATTGACGAGAAGGATCGCGCGGCGATCAATGAGCTTCGTGAAGCTGTCAAGGAGCACGTGAGTTGGCTCTTCCGTTAGCACGAGTCGTTGGTGAATTCCAGTTGACGCCCTACTACGACACCGATTTCAATTTGTTGCGATGGCTCAAAGGCCACGATTATAATTTGTCGGTGATCAAACCCAAATTGATCAACCATTTGCTTTTCCGCAAATCCGATTGGGATCTCGATGGTCTCGCCGCGAAACCGCGAAATCATCCGGTGCACAATCATTGGAAGGTTTGACTGCCCAATGATTGCCTCCATCCGATTAATATGTTGCAGTCTGGATTGACCGGCGAGTCTGGAATCATTCCGAACACCATTGTGAATATTGAGCAGACTGGAGCCAATGACTATTGGGGAATGTTGAGCTCGTATCCGACCAATGAGATTTTGAGGTAATTCCCTAACAATTACTCAAATCATGATCTTAATTGATGAGGCTTTCAGGGCCCGAGTTCATGATCTTGAGAGTATGCTGAAGGCAGTCATGGATCTTGAGAAGAAGACAAGTAAGCCAATTCCATTTGACGAACACTTATGAGCTTCTGATCGTTCAGATGAGCAGTGCTCTGTGGTTTACATTATGGATTTAACGGGCATCAAAATGGACCGAAAATTGACGACACTGCTTTCGGGTATCATCGATTATCTTCAATTTTTTTGAAACTTTGATTTCAGGTGGTCTCGCCGCGATCTCGGCATTCATGGCCGAACACTATGTCGAACTTGTGCACAGTTTTGTGCTCGTCAATGTGCCGGCGTTCATCTCGGCGATTTGGACGATCGCCAAACCGCTTCTACCCGAGCGCACTCGCAACAAAATCAATATAATGGATTCGAATTGGAAGACGGATGTTCTGAAGCTCGCCGAAGGCCGATGCCTTCCGTCGTACTGGAACGACGAAGGAAGCGACGGAGTAGAAGCGATTGGAATCGCTCGTGTTTCAAATCAGAAATTTTTCAGCCATTCAAAGCGCCCATTGAAAAGTGTGTGCCGTTTCCTGAAGAGAATTACTATAAGAGCGGAATCCCGCAAGAGGCTCAGGTTTTGAGCATCGCCGCTGGAAAGACCGGATTTGTGGACATGAGAGTTGAGAAGGCGAGTCAATTAATAGAGAAAACGCTGAAATTTTGAAATTTATAAAAAATGCAACAAAAATATTGAATATTTATGTTCATGTGGTCTTTTTTTTTTTCAATTAACAAAATAAATGGTAGCGCGCGAAAATGTGTGCAAACACCGCGACGCAAATCTCACAGAAGACCAAAAAACCAAAAAACCTCTCCACTGACTTAATTTTTGCTCACTACTTCCATACTACTTACAATTCAAATAATTAATTAATGCCTTATAAGCCGTTCTTTTAATTGGCGACATTTCGAATTTGAGTGGGGTTTCTTTAAAGGCGCATATGGATCTGTTGCAGGGTCAAAAACTCTCATGGGAGATCCACGCCAATGGCCATTTCGCGTTTGCGATCTATGAGTTGCCGGAGAACTTCGACAACGACACCATCGAGCATCTGCCAAGAGTTTATCCATTGTTCAGTGTCAGTCGCGAATATCAATGATTTCGATGAGTCGAACGTTTTGCAGAAGATCCCTGGCCCGACATTGGTTCCATGCTTCGACAATATCACATGCAAATCATCAGGTTCGCGCCGAATTTCCCAATTTTTTTGTTGAGCGTCGGAAAATAATACATCGATTTCAGGAATCTATCGGGTGTGGTTTGGCAATCAGCACGCATGGTTCCACACGCTCAAAATTAATCATGTGCTCAAAATCGAATAATAACAATGTGCTAATAAAAGGGTTCAAAAAGGTCACGCCCACATTCATAATTGAATCTTTATAAGAACGTGTTGACGTCGATTAAATATACATACATAATTTTATAATAATTGTATATACAGAGTTTTTGTACAATTGAAACAGATGGGAAAGGCTTGACACTGAATATCGAATTGGGAGGGAACCCGTCAAATTGAATACGTTGTCCGATTGGTGTTTGCTTCTACTCGACCGGCGTCACCGGCGATTTGCTCAATCGCGGTTGTTGCGAGGCGTCGACGACGGCGTGCGGAGCTGATGGCAGCTCGGGAAAATTGTGAATTTGACTATAGCTTGGCGGCGGCGGGTACGGCGGCGGCGCGGCGAGACCCGGAAGACCCTGAGCATCACACAACTTCCAGTTTTCTTGCATTTTCATCATTCTCACCTGGAATTGCCTCGGGTCTCGAAGCGACATCATCGGCGATGTGTATTGCGGCACATGAATCGGATACGAGTCATTCGGACGAACATCGGAATAATAGCTAGGCGGATTGACGTTGGCGACGCGCGACGTCGCCGGTTGACTCATCGGCGTCGGAGCTCGTGACGACACGTTGCAACCGAGCTCCACCGACGAATCGGTCATTGATATCGTGCCCATCGATCGCAATCCGCCATGCCGCATCGGTAGTCGGCTGGTGGTTTTCTGACTGAAATCATTTTGTGAATATCGAGCTGCCGACAATCCAGCGGACCGACCTCATTAGATAAATCGATCGGAACAATAAAATGGCCATGAAGAATAGGGCGAAGACGGCGAGCGGTGCGATGACGAGCACATGCGACGATTCCATTACAGCATCGAGAGAATGTTCGGCGCCGCCTTGTTGGGGGGGAATTGACGGAGGGGGAATAGGAAAAAGAGCTCTGCAATCAATAACACGTCTAGCGCAATATAATGAAGCCTTAATAAGAGGAGAAGCCTCCCGGATGGATAATGAAGGAAAATGGGAAGAATTGTGGGGGGCACTTTTTCCAGAATTATGAGCAGCCAATTAGGACGATGAGCTCAAATTCGACACTTCTCTTCTCATATTTGATCGGTTAGATAGTTGAACGAATGACGAATTCCTCTTTTTTCTATTTATGGTTATTTTTTACATAAGGAAGTTCATAGGGAAAAAAGAAATGGAAAATCGCTGTAGGACCTATTTTGAAATGTCGATCGCCTCGAGTTCGAAGAATTTGCATTTTGTTTTAAACAAAAATGAAATCAACTAGGAATTCCTTCTGAGTACACCTGTACCCTCTTAATTATACCTACTATTTCGCCGAAAATAAAGTAGCGAAATGTCCGCAGATGATTAATGTCAATTCAGTTGGATAGCGCAAAAAAAAAAACAAACGTCGGAAAAGAAAATGATAAAATAAATAAGAATGCGTTGTGAGAAATTGCGTCATTCTTGATGCAGAAAAAAAAACAAGCCCAACTACGAATATCCATAAATGGAAATGAATAGTGTGCGAAAAAAAATTAACACGTGCACACACCTGAATTTGAGAATTGATTGGTTACCTTGAATGCGATTTTCTACATCATTCTATGTTTTTTTGTTGGCGAACAAGAATCACCTGGACGATGAATCGCGTGACACCAGGAATTATCAAGAAGCTTCTCTCAACAGGACCCGCGAAAAGAATAAATGCGAACGAAACAATTTTGAGGCATTTCGATTCGGCGGGCTTCGTTGAATATTTTTTTTCGTTGGTTAAATTATTTTTAGACATAATTATGTGAAATGCACATGGTGCATGGCGGTACCATTGAATAATAATTTTTTTTCTTCTCTGAGCTTCCATCAATTGTCACAAAAACTGAAATGCTAACAAAAGAAGGTCGTTTGGGTCGCGATTGGCTCATAAAATCTGCGGATCTAGAAGTCTGAAAAATCCGAAAATTTTTGGTAGATCATTTTTTTCAGCAAAATATGTAAGCTAGTGTGATTCCAAAAAGGGACCACTAACATTTTCGGAAATTTTGGGTGCTCCCAATATGATAAGACTCGCGTTTTTTTTTCCCAGAAGCGCAATGGAAATTACATATATTTATATCAGCTGGAAATTGTCCGCAGATGGTATTCTAGAACTATATAAAATTGACGGAGGAAAATTTCACAAAATTATATGCATATAATTGAGCATTATTTTGGCGGTTTTGAGGCACAAAAAAATGAAATACGTCTTGTGAATCAATCAGTTGGCTGATAAAGGCGGGTTGTCACGGAAACTTGCAGGCAATGCGCCTGGCGACAGATTCAATTGTTTGTCACACATGCGCAAATGCTCGCGCCGAGCCGCCAACAAATACATGTATATTAAACGACGAGGAAAAAAAATGGTTTTTTTCTTTCATCAAGAGCAAAATTGTTTTGGCAGCCGTGTATTCCCATCGGTGGAAATTGTCCGCAGATGGGGTCTTTTCGATGATGTGCATGGTTTGCCGAAAATTCTAGGCTTGCCATCAGAATTGGCCAAAGAACGAAGATAGAAAACAAAGATTTTACCACAAAATTTTCAAAAAAGGACAATCTGCGGACAATTTTGAGAAGGAAATTGTCCGCAGATGCATTCGATGAAGTACTTAAAAATTACAACACGCGCACACTACATAATTGTTGCGATAATTTTCGTTTATTGAATTTGGCGTGAATTTTCGCGAACGATAAAAAATGAAAGAGAATTAATTCCGAAAAATCCACTCGTAAAAAATCGCTGACGTAAAAGAAAAGAAAGCAAAAGAAGCACAAAATAACAATATTACCCAAAAATGCGCGATTTGTGTGTTTTCGGACTAGCGATTTTTTTTCGGCGCGGTAATTCAAATTTCCAAAAATTGGAATTATGGGGGTAATGCGGAAGAAAAAAAAACAATTTTAAACTTTTTTTTAATCTTCAGCATTTTCTCATTTGTGTATCGTAGTGATTAATGAAAACTGAAGGTTCGTTGAGCTTATGAGTAATTCCTAAAAAAATTTTTTTGACAAACACATAATTATACGATTAAGAAATGCGAGATTCGTGAATTATTTTAAGATTTGCCTGAAGTTCAGCGGCTAGATTTTGAAGGGCTTCTCGCACGTACGCGAAGTCTTGAATTCGAAACGTCTTAAACATCGAGCGACTCACAAATTGGCGAATTCCCACAAATATTTGAGCACCTACCGTAATCTGTTAGAGCAGATGAATAAAGTGGTTGGATTACCAGGAAAATTTAAACATATCTACCGTACCCTGAGTACTGTAGCTGCGAATTTTATTAAGTGCAATTTAATTCATTCAAAAACTCTATGAAATCAATAATATCGAAATATGGACCTGGTCTACACTGAATTACTGTAGCTACCGTAACCTAGAAAAATTAGATTTGTTTGAAGGAATACAAACAATGATTTATCATTGCCTAATTAGGGTTAATTGGGTTTGCGTTGAGGGATTATGGGATAATTCGAATGATCAACAAGTTTTTTTTTCAATTAATTTTGATTGTTCAAATAAAATTGAATCGCGTTTTGAGCATCTATTTGAGCACATTGAAGGGCGATAAATTTCCAAAAGAAAATTGGAAGAAACGAGGCATTGAAATAATTGGAGTGGAATTGAGCTGCTTCTGAGGCGGAAGAGAGAGCGAGAGAGAGAGAAGCTCAATCTTCACAATCATTTTCCAAACCAATAAGATGTTTTTTTTTTTGTGAATTTCTGCGTTGGGTCTCGAATGGAAAATTTGTGTTGCTCAATTTCAATATCACAATGAGCAATAATCTCGGTTCTATTTTTAAGTGTCAAATATCGGAGCATGAGCCCATTTTATTTTACGGGACCAATTAATTGGCAGTCCGCGAAATTCAAATTTTTCTTTTTTTATTGATCGATACCAGATTCCTAAAAATGTGGTCTAGACCTTCCAATTCCAAAAAATCCTATCCACCGTTGACGACTATACGATATAGTATATTGTCGGTGTCCAATGACTACTGTAGGCGGGTAGATTTACGGTGATGCGCCTTTCGCTATGGTCTCACGCGGACTAGCTGGTTGTTGTGAATTTTAAGATTCTGTTTAATACCAAACTAATAAAAATGTCAACAGATCACGTGAAAACAACGACTGAAGCGTGGTGAGACCATTTCGAAAGGTGCACCACGTAAATCAACACGCGTACCTTACAAGGGAGGTGGTTTTACTTAGTGGTTTGGAATTTTTTCTAATTTTGCACACAAACAGATTGTGAAATTCCCTATCGAGTGTTGTTAGTCGCTGGACGCTGATTATATAGATCTATAATATTAATATAGTATAGATCAATTCCACTTAATTACCACAAGATCAATACACCAAATAGAGGTTGTTGGAACAAGGTCTATTATACAGAGAGGGTTATTAAAAATTTCTAGAAGCTATTCAAAACCGCAGTACGCATAATCACCATACTCCCACTTACTTTCAGAGATGGGCGGAATTCCGCATTTCGCATTCCTCGTTTTCAAATTAATATGAGTTCCGCCTAATTCGGCTCACTAACAATATAAATTAGTATGAATAGAAATCGTTCACGTTATCAAGTGGAAAAGTGATTGAGGTCTCAATTGTAGTATGCACAGATTTGAACAATATCAAAGTATGAGAGACTCAACAAAAAAGGAAGATTGAGCATGTCCGAAACAGAGGGACCCCATTTTTTCGGTACATTGCGATTATTCCATGGAAGAACCAAAAAGTTAATCCCACGATTAGAGTCAGCTACCAACTACGGATTTATGTAAGTGTCCAACAGCCGTGTTTTTTTTGGCTAGAATTGATAAAGAAACACTACTAGAATAAATTCGAATCGAAGAAAAATCATTCGAATGCCCATCCCGTTTATCTATCATTTTCAGTCTTTTGCAATTCTCACAAAAAGCTCTTCACTGAGCTTAACCTGCTTCTTCACCTGTTTGCACTCGATGTCGGAATCGAGACTTCCTGCACTTTGCTAGTCTCCTACCCGACTAAATTCCCAGCATTTTTTTCGAGGCAATTGAACAAAATAGAGGAAATGCTCGATTGTTTTGATCTACCTAAACCCAACGACAAAATTTTAGCACAAAGCTAGTTCAATTTCATGGCGATTGGACCGCAAGTACACCGCACGCAAAAGTGCACAAAGCGATTGTAAAGAATAATTGCAATTTGATTTTTGCATAATTTTTTGGTGCATTTCACAGCGTTCTCAATAGAATTCCATTTTTTTTGCTTCAAGGCACAACTCTTCGTAGTCGATGACAAAGAAAATTAAGCTTGAGAAAAAAACAAAGATTTTTGATTTGTTACATTATTTTGCCCATAATTAGTAGAAGCCACGCCCACTTGTTAGACATTTTCACAAGTCACATACTCGAATAAATTCATTTAAGCGCATAGGGGAAACATTCGAACCCGTAAATAATCAAAAACCAAAATATTAATATAAATACCTACAATTAAAAATAATAGTGGTGGGGCAGAATGTCTGACTGGGAGAGTGATGAATTGAAACCCGACATAGTAGATCAAAAAAATATATATATATATTACATATCCCGATGATAGACAATTGGGTCCAATGGTGGTGGTCCCTTTTCGAGGCCTGGGTATGGTGGTGGTGGTTCGGTTGGCGGACAAATGAAATTTGGCGGATAGCATTCGTCGAGCACTTGAAAATCGTAATAGCGAGAAAGTTCGGGCTCTAGAAAAATTTGGAAATTCCCAATTTTTTTTTCGAATTTCAACAAATTACCAGTGATGGCGAATATACTCTCCGTCCTACAGGTGACGGCTTCGATATAAGGCGGCGCCGCCTCGTTCGACGGCGCCACTGGAACGGGACCATCATCCATTGGCGGATAGGGGTACCCAATTTCGAAATGCATTCGATGTCGACGCTTACTGAAACATTTCACGAATCGCTTATGAGTTGAATGTTGACCGACTTACAACACGTAGAAGATGTAGATCAACAGGCTGAACGACATACATGGAAGCGCGATGTAGAGCATGACATGTTCGAGGAGCATCTGAAAGAACGGGAATTGGAAAAAAAAAGAATGTCGTCAAAATTTCGAGGCGGAAGGATGTCGTCGCACAAATGGAATGGTGTGCAAATGGGCACAATTGAGTTTCGCCGAAAAATCCGCGCCAAAAAAAAATATTGGAGGGTCCGAAATTGGTCGGCGAGAAACAATGACGAGCAACTGAATTTCGTCTTGTGCACAATTTGGCTCGACAATGTGAAAATCGATCGGCACCAAAGCGCCCCATTTTAAAGGCGCACACGAATTCAAAAAATAATGAGAAATGAGTGAGGCATTTTTTTTCGAGGAGGAGGAAGGAGTTCCCATATGAATAGAAAAAATTGTGGGAAAATCAAGAAAAATGAAATTTCTTGGAATTTTTTCCTCTGGATAAAATAGCTATTCTTGGCGGGCTGAAACGAATTCCGCTCGCGAGTCGACTGTAGGCTTTTGGGGGGAAGCGCACACAGAAAACGTGTGCTACAGTAATGTTCGCATTGCTCTTATGAATACAAACCAAATTAGGAGATTCAAAAGTGCGTTGGGCGTTTCCAAGCCAGATACGCAACTCACTTGAGTCATCTGCGGACAAGCTACCAGGCCATGAGTATTCTAGAGTATTCTATGAACTCATCAATTATTAATTATTCTAAAGAACTAATTAATTGGGAACAAAAAAAAACAGAAAACACAGATAACTTATCATTATTATTCAAACATACATCTATGTATATAGTAAAAAGGAAAAAATGCGGTCTAGTCATATTAAGAAGAAGTGCGTGTAGTGGAAGTTGCGTGCGAATTGCTGATCATGGATTGAAGGTGGCTCGAGGAGCTGGACGAGGAACGAATGCACTTTTTTCGAGGAAGAGGGGGGGGGCAGATCGGAGCTTATTCAGAAAGGGTAACCTCATTTCTATGGGGGTCCTTTGATCGAGGTCAAATTCCAAAAAAAAAGACTCTCACCGAATTCAAAAGGAAATTTTTGTTTTTTTTTTTTGAATGAAATACAAAACTCAAAAAATTTCGAGGCGCGGATGTTCGAAATATCCGTCTCGCCGACTAATGAAGCCATACGAGCGTTGCTCTTTTTTCTCTTCGACGAGCATCTCAAGCGAGCCGACCGCGCTGAAAACAAAAGCTGCGCGAAACAAATGCTCTAATATCCGGGTGCGGGTGGAAAATCGAATATTATGCTCTAAAGCATAGTTTAGAAAAAATAGGTATATAAGCGAATGATGTGATTTCCGCGCAAAAATCAGCCGTTTCCAAAACACCTAGTTTCTATTTTTAAGCGTCCGATTCACACGAAAATTTCCAATAATAGACATTTCTGGTGTGCAAATGATTCGCATTGGGAAATTTGTTGAAAAATTTTTCTTTTTTAAAGAAAAAAAAATCATTCGAGGCTTTTCAAAGAAATCGCCAACAATTTTCTTTCAACTGTCTGAAATATAATTTTTTAACTGCGTAAATGCATAGAAATGAAATTACTGAAAATTCAGATATTCTTGTCTTTTCTTCTGATTTAAAGCACTTATAGTCGGGTAGATTTACGTGAATACGCCTTCGCTATGGTCTCGCCCGGACTAGCTTATTGTTTTGAATTTTAGATTCCAATTAGCTTAAGTCTCAGTGATATTATTAATTCAAGGAAATTATATACTCAATAAAACAGTTCACGTGAAAATTTCGATATATGGCGTGGCGAGACCAATTCGAAAGGCGCAACCCGTAAATCTACCCGCGTTCATTAGTTGGGGGGTATTGAAGCGAATTTATATGAGACGACGAATGAACTGAAGTTTCAACGAATTTTTTGAATCGTGACAATTTCAATTTAATGTTTAATCACATTCAGAACAAAAAAACGAGAACTTTTTTTTTCGATTGTTCGAACTTTGAATTCGGCATTTTCAGATATGAGAATGAAAACTGCTGAAAATAAGAAAAAATGTTATTGTCATTATAATGGATTTCTTGATTTTTATACACTAAAAGTTCGCGAAATTCCTTTATAGAGTGAATTATGACATTTTCAGCAAAACAAATATTTAAAAATTATCCAAAATACTGTTGAGTCAGATTTGAGCAATGGTTTTTTTTTTTTAATTTCCTATGAGCCAATGCGACCCTCAATCTAATGAAATTTAATCGTCCAGACCAAAATGAATGAAAGATCTTATTTGTCTGAAAATTAATTCAACTTAAATTCAAAAATGGTATTTTCGATTGAACAAAATTGCATTGCATTAAGCAATTTTTAGTTGCATCTTTAACACATTTTCTTCTGAATTATACGCTCAAATGCTCAAATCAGCTTCAAATTTTTCAATATTTTTTTTTATACGGCAATAAATGTTGACAAAAATGATTTGATGATCTCGTCTTTGCAAAAGAGACCTTCTGGAATTGAAGGTCTCGTTGGGAAGCATTCAAATCTGCGATGTGAGAGATGCCTAAGGCAGCGATTTCCTTCCAACAATTATATCATATTACTCGGCAAATTTTTGGACAGTTTGCTTGAAGGTAAGGGACCAATGGTCCTTCTGGGTGAGTCGCCCAATGTCAAGCATCAACTTAAGGGCAAAGAAGGGCAAAAAAACGGAAAACGTAATTTCGAAACAAAATTTCGATTTTTTTTTTCAATTTTTCCAAAAACAGCATAGAACACTCGACAGGAAATTTCGAAGATTGATTAGGCGGAAAAATTAGAAAAAAATTTTTTTTATATCGTTCGCTGCGAGATTCAGTTTAAAAAAAACTGCATGCGCCTTTAATTATGATGCTCAATTAGGTTTTTTGTAAACTTCTTAGCACGCAAAAATTCAGATTTCGGGAGTTTTGATTAAAACTCTTATTAAAATTTTGAATGAATCCAATTCAATCGCGAAATTAAAATAAATACAAAAATTGATTAAAGGCGCGTAATACTGGGTCTTGTAGCGATAGCCATCATTTCTTGGGAAGTCACAAAATTTATAAAATTTATATATTAGGTGACTATTGTTACAGTAAATGTTTCTATTTGAAGTCGCAGCGCATCTTCATTATTCGTAAACTACAGTAAGACAAAAAAATTTTTCCCCAACGAGACCTCTGGGCGGGAACTTTGATCATATCATAATATTTGCGCATGCACCAAAAAACAAAACATGATATATTTTATTGCGTAGCACTTACACATTAGCAGTTATTGGATTGTACTTATCCTACTGAATTATTCAATCAGACCCCCCCCCTTGAAGGAATCAAATACTAATCAATGATCATTTGATAGGCCACTTTTTTTTAGTCAGACCATATTTGAGCAATCGACGTGTGCGGAAATAAAAATGAATCGAAAAATATTTGGATATTGTTCACATATTCAAAGCGTATAATTAAATGAGAATGCGATTTTGACGAAGCCATATTTGGTTATTGTTGTGATCGAAAAACGAGGCCGAAAAACACATTCTTGTTAGGAATTGAATGATGGCATTTTCTTGCGAATATGATAAACGTAATCGATTAATTGAGTCTTACACGGAAACAAAAATTGATAGAATTATGAATAATACAAATAATTTTTTAATGCTCAAAAATGTTCCTTCTTTCACCTGCTTCTTGTTCGCGGTTTCTTCAATTTTCTCACATAATTTTCTGGTGTAGATTTACGCGTTGACTGAGTATTAAATGCACTTCAATCGTTTGAATACGACATCACAATTTTTGAATTCAAAAAAAAAAACCAAAAAAGATTCTTTTACTAGTGGAAAAGTGAACGCGACCAAATTTGGAGTTGATCGCAACGAATTATGGGTGAATATTACAACATGCTTACACAATATTGCAGGCAATTTCAAATTATATGTCAACAATTTATTTTTTTGGATTTTTTATGTTCTAATTTATCGAATTTTTATTCTATAATGAGAAATTATTTTTCCATTGTTGCCCGAATTTTGTTTAAAAATGGATTTTTTGGGAGGTTTTCAATACAAAAATCTTGTTTTTTTTTAGTTGTTCACAGAAATTAAAAAAATCGTTGCAAGACCAATGTTATCACCCGGGGGGGGGGCGGCCGCCAGAAAATTACCCGAAAAAAATAGGAAAAAAATTCAACCGAAATTACTGTTTAAAAAATGCACCCCTAACATACACTAAAATCTCCAGAAGTTTTAAGACGCGAAGAATAGTCTTTAAAATTTATAGAAACAATTTTCTTCCACTGATTCAAGCCACGCCCACAAAATCGCGCGGCACCCCAGATTTTTTTACTTCAAATTTTGGAATTTCTAAATTGAAAACGCTGTGAATAGTTTTCACCGAAATTCTGCAATGAAGCTTCAAATCAGGTCGGTAAACTGATTTTAATACAAGAAAATTGCAAAAAAGCGCGTTTTTTGAAAAATTGGGGATCGTAATTTTAGGTGAAGAGCTTGCTCAAAATGAATGGGCTTTTCGTTATTATTTTAGTGGAAAAAAAAAACTAATTGAAACTTCTAGAAACAAAATTAATTTTTTGACCATGAAGAATGTTTTGCCGAAAAATTCCCGACGCGTCTTTCCCGCGCTCGTGCTTAAAAACATTTCGGGTTGGTTTTTGCAAAAAAAATGGACTCATTTAAAGGCACATCGAGGCAAGACCCCATCCAAAACAATTGTTTGATATGGGAAAAAAATTGATAATTTCTGAAATCCCTTTCGTGAAATTTGTAAGATGACTAAACAATTTATTGTTTGACGTCACCGACTTACCATATTCTTGATGAGAAATGCGTTGTGGGTTTCAATCATTACGGAATAACGAATAAAATCTGATGAACAAGAGTGGAAAAAAAAAGTAAAAACGATAGGGAGGAGGATTTAATTAAATTTTTTGTGGCGCTTACCTCATCATCCGTCGTCGATTTTTGATTAAGCGGATATTTTCGGAAAAATCCGGGATTCCAAACACCGAGCATCGCGTCGTTGTTCTCTACAATTAATTGGAATTGTCGTGGCGCAGAGAAAAGCTTGAAAATAAGCGAGCAAAACAAAACACAACAATTCTTGGAATATAATGAATTTGACGACACACAATGGCACTTCAGTGTTATTGTGCACGTTCGAATTTCTTCTTTTCCGTTTCTTCTTCTTCCCGATTCAGATTCTGTTGATTACAGATTGTTAACCGATGAGGATAGGCGGTCTCGAAGTGAAGATGAATTTTCAACAAGGTTGGAGAATTCAAGGAAAATGAATATAGTGTTGGGATACAATCCCAATCGTTTGGCAGCTGCTGGCCGAGTTAGGCGTGGCCGTGGCCGAGTCGCGCCGGCGAAAAAAGTATATCCGACTATAATTATAGTCTGTTTCTTATCAAAATCATGTCGCCACGAGACCCAATTCATTTTCCCCGCTGTGAACTTTTAATCAATTATTTTTTTCTAACTTAGCATTTAAATTATGTTAATTCAAATTTCTAAACATTCAAATATCAAAATACATTTATAACTTTTAATTAAGCTCAATTGGAGTTTCCTTTTTTCTCTTATATGGTTATTAAGTCTCGCAGTGATCGATAAGGGTGGCTTCTAAAAGTATCCTAAAATCGTTTTATATTTAATTTATGCTAATTGCGCGCACATCTATTTCGTCATACACACTTCACTTTTGATAATAACCAATTTATTTAAAATTCGCAACTTTGCCCTTTCACGTTATGATTGCTCGAACATTCAAAATGAACTTATAAGATTTTTTTTCCCCCAAGTGAGACCCAAGAGGAAATTCAAATGATGAATCAATCTACCACAAATTTCTAGTCGAATTCTAGAAATTGTTAAGTTTCTAATTCCTAAAAACAAAAGAAATACCATAATTTTAGAATATTATATTTTTAAATCTAAAATTGACTTTTTATTTTTATCGATGACCGATAAAAATTAAATTTTTAATTTTTTGTTTTTCAAGGCTGTGATTCGGTGGAATGTCTATATGAGGAAGTATAAATCTCAAATTATATTATTGCTATTATGCCCCCATTATGAAAGAAATGCGAAACGCTGAAACAAACAAACAAACAGAAAACATAATATTTGATATTTTGAAAACACATCGGATGAAAGAGAATGATTCAAAATAAATAGGACGAAGATTAAAACGACGGAAACTTGATGCTTATACTTTTCCTTTAAATGGAAACGCTCTTATTTGTATTTCCTTTTTAGGCAAAATTGTATTTCCTAGTAGGCTTGATCGAAATAATGAGAAATATAAAACAAAAAATAAGAATCAGTTGAATTTGATAATTTTCTCGGACTAAAAAAAAGTTTTGTGAGGAAAAAATCCCGTCAATTATATATATTTCATGACATTTGAAATTGATTTGAAAAGAGCGCGATTTTTGGGGTTTGATAATAAGACAAAACTGAGGAAAACAATTTCAGAAATAAATGCAACCTTCAATTTTCAGCGGGGTGAATTGAGTGGAAGGCTGACCTAAAAGGGAGTGTGTTCTCCAAGGGGAAAAAAACTAATTATTCGCGACAAAACAAAAGAGAAATAATAGGTTTTTATGAGCTTTTCCTTCCTTGTGTCGTTGTTTCATGTTGAATACAAAAAAAGGTCAAAAGAAGAGATAAAAATTAACCGGAATAGGGCAAAAACGCTAGAAAATAAAAAAATGGAAAAACCATATATGTTAATGGACTTGGTGTTCACAATTAGGCAATTTCGGCTTTTCCCGGCGAGAAGCTGCGCAATATTGCAAGTGGTAATGAGGAAAATACGAATATTCATCATTTTATTTTTTATTCGCTATTTTATAATAGGGTCCCCACTTCATTAGTTATACGTTCGCATATTTAATCGGTTCTTCTTGTTGAGAAAAATTTATAGTTTGAATTTATATCGAATAATAAACGTCTTTTTTGACGTATACTAACGATTATTTTTGGTTTTAACCATAATTTTAGGTTAGTTTTGACAATTATATAGTCGTCGTTGAACGAATTCGAAAATTTTGAAAATTGCGCGAGATGCCAATTAATCGTTCTCACAAAATAATATGTTCTCTTGGTTATGATGGTTAAATTCAACCAAATTAGCTCTAAAGCGTGTTTTCCATACAAGACCTTATTCGGCAATTCAAATGATAAAAGGGAAATGCAGAAAAAATTAAAATAATGATTATTTTTGTTTTTTTTTTTTCAATGAAATTTTCTCATTTTCTTTCTGAATTGTCCTTTAAATAAAAAGCACCCAAGATTCATTAGTCCTTTACTATATTATTGTCATCGCAAAAAAAAACGAGCACCCTGACCTTGACCTTGACCTAGGTCACACAAGCTTGTGTGTATCTTCCCATATATGGACATACAATTTTTGTGGATTATTGTTTTATTGATTTTTTGGTACTAACTTTTTTTGCTCTAACATCAAATCCCGGAACGCTAATTCAATTTTTATACGTGTACCAGGGCTGTGCGGCAATCGGAAATTTCGGCAATTCGGCAAGTTGCCGATCGAACGTTCTCTTCGGCAATTTCGGCAATCGGCAATTCCATTGCCGCACAGCCCTGACGTGTACCGTTCGAATGATTCATAAAACTCACTTAAAATGATAAAAATTACAGGGGCTCATTGTTTAAAAGTATGTCTAAATTCCACTCAACCAATTCATTTAAGTTATAAAACAAAAAACGCGTGCGTCATATTTCAATACAATTTCGACAAATATCGTAGCCTGAGAAAATTGAAAAATAATATTAGTTGGAGACGTCTTCAGTATCCCTCAAAAAAAATTTTTTTTGACTATTATTCTTATAATCTTGCATGACGTCGTTCGAATCCCAACGTAATTCGACGCCGGATTAGCAAGCATTTTCCATCGAAGAACACAAATCAAATGAATTATACATACTTTTTTAAAATGAGATTCGTTTATATTTTAGGCAATTGATTAAATTCATCCGTTTCCTTGTTCCGCTTCGCGATCGATCACGAAAAATAATTATCCATCTCTCCGAAAAACAGCTCTTTGGCGAACTTTGAGAAACCAATGTCATGAAAGAAGTCGGCGATCCAGACGGCCTCCTTCGATTCGCACGCCATTTTCGACATGGCGGTTCCCATCAGAATCAATCGACTGAACCTGTAACTTGTTAGATAAGCGAATTCGAAAAGAAATTTCTCGTCCGATTGATTCGATTTGTGTAAAACCGACAAAAAAAGAGAGGTTGTTTGATGAATTGTCAGCAATCGATTATTGTGTATCAATCGTAAATGGGAGGGGGTTCAAAAATCGAAACGTCCGGGACGGAACACGGTTTACCATAATTGGACATACCTCTCAATTCCCTTATCGATTCCATCCTTGTTCACCATATAATTATAAAGCTGCTTGGTGATTTTCACCCGCTCATCATTCACCTCTTTCTTCGCTTCCAATGTGATATCTGAATCTGAACTCCAATATTCGATGTCAAGCCAATTCGAAAATGAGAATCTCACCTGGATTCAAAAATGTGATCGCTTTGAAAGCGGCGAATTCCGTCAAATCCACTTCAATTTTTCGCATCGGTTTCAAGACCAAGTCAAGCATTTGGTATTTTTTCCTATTGAGACCGGCTGGCCTGCAACGATTGAACAAAACTCTGAGCCCTCATTGAATTGCGCTAGTCGCTAATTCGAATTGGCGCGTAAAACGCTTACCGAGTTGGCTCATGCGTTCGATCAAAATATGCGCCATCGGGAAAAACGATCGTATCCGGTCCATAGTCCGGCGAATTGTAGACTTGCACAAGAACCGGAACAGTGATGCCGGCGTGTCGAATGAGCTCAACCTGAAAAACAAAGAAATATCCGATTCAAAAGACAACTCAATCAATGCGAGCTCACTTTGTCATAATAGCACAATCCTTGGAAAATTTCAAATGTCTTGGCGTATTCTGTCAAAAGAAACCAATCCCGCTCGTGCCAATAATGGTAATCGATTTGCTTAATAAATCGAAGCTCCTCGAATGTGTGTTTTGGACTCTACAATTCGCTGTGTCGAATAATGGACAAAAACAAATCAAATATTCATACCGGAACCCCATACTTATGCATAAAAATTGGATCGTTTAATAGACATTTTGAGTTGATGGACTCTCTGAGACTTCTAATAGGTAGGTAGTCGGATAATCGAAGATCGTTCGCGCTGAAATTCAAAATTTCTTTATTAAAAATTTGGATTTTTAGTTTACCTCTTCTCTCTGTGGACTAGAACACTGAGGTAATTTGAAGACTGAATATTTTTCGATGTCTGAATTTCAATAATCCATTATTTCTATAAATTCAAGCTTTAATTTTCTTACGCTATCTGCGCTGACTTTACTAACAATGGAACATTTTCGAACCGTGCTGTACTCAATCTAAATTAGAAATTTTTTGTAATAAAAATTCGAAATTTGAATATACCGACGGTAGATCGCGTTCTGGCGTGCTCGCGCCATCCTCACAACCCGAATCATTATCTTTGCTCTTATTGCGCTTCGTGCGCTTCGTGTATCCAATCGGGTCCCGATTTTGCTGAAGAGCTGAAACTCGATCAGGTTTAGCCGATAAAAAAATCGGACAATATATCGCTACCATTTCTGTCCATTCCGACTTGCAAGCATTTCTCGAAGCGACAAAATCGACACGCGCATCGAATGCCTAAATGCCGAAAGGTATGTATGTTGTGTAATAGAGAATAGAAAAAATTGGCGCTCACTCTTATCAACCGGACAGTTGTTGTCATATTGGCAGATGTACTTTTGTTTTTTCATAATTGTTCGTCGGAAGAATGTTTTGCTGCAAATGAATCAATAACAAATCGAGTTGGTGCCCGAAATATACCATCCGTTGCACGACGGCACACCATAGTGGTAGCCAGTGGAAGCGTCCTGACAGACGAGACATAGGTCCTCGCGCGAGAATCCGGCCTTGGGCACCATTCTGCAATAATCTACTATGGATGGATCATCTGACGTTGCGTTGCAAATGAGTGTACAAAATTGGCGCATGGATATCCAGCGAGAAAATCGATATGAATCGGGTTAGTGGTCGAAATATAGAATCAATGAGACACCGATGATGGACGGCGACATCAAATTGTGATCGCTGATCATATGTTGGTCACCCTACGCCTTTTGGGAAGTGTTGGGCCTATCGCCAAGTTTTATTATGTTAATTTTAATGCTAATAAATTTTTGTTCGTTTTTTTTCGCGTAAATTCGTGTCTGATTCAATTCTCTTAATAATTCCGCGTGTTTTTTTCGGTTGGTTGGGCTCGATGCCGATAATCGGCACCGATTCGATGCCCCGAAGTTATCGCGCCCGTCGAGCGCCTTTTATGGCATCGGCGCTGGCCACGCCCATCACTCTCCACTCCGATGAACTATGTACCTTTGCGGAGAAAGAATGATGGAACAACGCGTCGAAAAGTGGCATGATTTTCTATATACAAATGTATCACCGACCAGTGCCTGATATTGGCTAGGGTTTGTAGTCGAATGTTTCACACGGAGAATTCGATAAGGACGATTGGGTGCAATTGAAAGAACAAACACGAGGCGATTGATAAGCGATTAATTGGAAATTTGTATTTCAGAGATATGGAATTCGATCGAAAGATTGCAATGGTCGATACGTCAATGTGAATCGTGGAATCCACGTGTTAACGATAAAATCAATAAACCTGTTCGAACGCGTTGCACAACGATATGAGATTGAAAACGCACTTCGTGCAAGTTTGAAACGTTGAGAGAAAATCTATTGGCCGGCAGACAACAATTGTCGCCAGCGAAAATGATGATAAAATGAGTAGAACAACAGTGGCCACGTGTAGGCCAAAATGAACTTGAATTTTCGCGAATTTGGCAATTTTCCGAGACATTGACTAATAAGTTTGCAGAAGAGAAACCTTAATGGTGATTTTTGATATTTTTTTAGCTAATGAAAAGTGGAAAATGAAGTGATAAATTCCTTAACAACTTTACAAAAAACTGTACAGGAATTATCACGTAGGCATTATTGAAAATAAAATGTCCTCAATTATCGAGATAATTTCGTTATCGTCAAATTTGCTTAAATTATACGTATTTATGAAGGTGATAATGATATTGAAGTTTGAAATGGTTTAAAATCTGTTTCGAGTTTTTATTAACTAACATAGAAATCGTGGGAAAAAATTAATTAAAAATTAAAAACTGAAATACTGAATGTATGTATACGTGCGTATCGGTGATTACACATTTCTTGAAAGTACAGTAATCTTAGCACTTTTTTTTGGATTTTTCTCTGATTCTGAAGAAAATCAGACAAAACGTTCACACGAGATAAAAATCAACCTGTTATTTTTGTGGTTCATCATTTATTTTTGTTCTCATCGGCATTTTAGCACTCTTCATTTTTTCGAACCAATTTTTTGAGTTCTTTTTTTTAATGAGCAGCTGGCAAAGTTTAAAGTAAAACAATTTATTAATAGAAAATACGAGATTCTTTAAACAAAAGATATTTTGATGTATACGCGGAAATATGTTAATTTTTGATTTGCATAGAATTTTGCGATAAGACTGACAGTCAGGTGAAAGAACAATTAGGATTTTCAGAAAAAAATATTTGACAAAATCCATAAATGAATATCGAAGATGTGTTGTTAATCATTGAATCTAATCGATTTCTCGAATTGTTATGTATATAGTTACAGTAATAATTTCAAGGTTACGGTAGCAATAGTTGCCCACTGCATTATCGTATTCAAACATATCCGATTCCAAAAATTGCATAGAACACCCAATAGTTGTGTACTTTTTAGTGCAATTTTTATTATTTTAATATTTCATTTTAAAGAAAAATTGTTAAATTTAAAAACTGAAATTAAAAGTTGATGAAAGGCTCATAGCACTGGTTTCTGTGTCGGTTTCTGTGATATTTCTTTGAAAAAAGACTATTAAAAATTAAAGCTCAAAATCTATTAAAATTTATACTTGGAAACATAATATTTCAGAATTTTTAAAGCTTTTCATAATCGTTTTAAAATTTTGATAATTAGATTTTCTATTCATAAGGTTTCTTTTAATGTATCAAATTTTTATTTTTGAAAATTTCATTAGAAAAAAAACCATAGTCCTTTTTAGTCATATTTCGTTGCATGATATCATTGTGACATATGAGCCCATAACATGTGATAACTCCAACAAAACAATGGCGAGATAAAAAAATTATAAGCGAAGAACCAATATTTGCGAACAAAAATAAAAGAAGGCGGATTAATTCGCGACAGGAGAAGTATCCTTGGAATGTAAATAAACACACGAATTATTATGCGTACCTATGTCAATTTTTGCTTAGATTTACATTTTTTCGAATAAAGCGTCATCATTTTAAAATTTTTGTCAGTTTTCTCACGCGCCTTTAAGGGTATGTAATAAGAAGTCCATACATTTGATTTAAGTTTTACTTACTTAGTCACTTAGTGGGTTCGTCCTTCGCCTGTTGAGGCGCGAACCACAGCTTTCCAAGCTTTTCGGTCCTTGGCTTGGGTGGACCACGGGGTGATAACGGCTCCTTCAGCTGTTCTTGTAGTGATCTCCTTCCGAAGCGAGTCCGACCATCTCATGGAAAAAAATTTTTTTTGTTAAATTTGTTGTCAGTTTTCGCACGCGCCTTTAAGGGTGTGTAATAAGAAGTCCATAAATTTAATTTAAGTTTTGCACCTTTAAAATCTGAATAATCAATGATTTCGTAAATCGACATTTACGACGATCCCAACAATAATCGCTTCGAGACTCCTTTGAATTTTTAATGATGGGCTTTTTAAACAAGTATGTGAAAAAACAACTGTATAATCTCGTTGCTGATTTGCATACATTCATTTTTTTCTTGCTTCGATTTTTTTTGAATATTTTCTTGTGAAAATTACACCTTTTCGTCGGTGTCGTAGACGAATTTTGATGGATTCCTATGGTGTTTTTTTAATGGCCAGATGTTATCGCATTCTTCGCTTCACCAATTCCTCCCGATCATATTTCATCATCATTTTTGCCCTCTTTTTTCAAGTATCAAAACTTGTCATTGTTGTGATATGGAGCTGCGGACAATTTTGAAACTTTCGAAACATTCAAAAAAAAAGCTTTCGAGATGTCTGCAGATAATCTGAACCTGTTTTACGTGATCATTTTGGCTAGATTTTGAATGACAAAATTAAAAAAAGGATGCTATATTGGGCTTTCCACATACATCATTTATTTGGGATACGGTATGCTCCTTGAAGAACTATTTTGAATGCGCCTTGAAGTTCAAACGTGAGAAACCAAATGGAGCCCGAATAGAACGTCCACTTGACTCCAGCCAGGTAGAAAAAAAAAAGACTTGAAACCAATCGCGCGAGCACGTTGCACATTTCTTTCCCCCAAAGAGCACAAACAAATCGAAAGAAGAAACATGAGCGAGAGATGGGGGGCATACAAGTAGGATAAAAAAAACAATGAAACAGTGGCAACGGAAAAAATGCGTCGAGAAAATTGTTTGCCAGGCTTTTGATTCGTGTCTAGCGCTTTTCATCGAACTATTTTGGATTTTTTCAATTTAAAATTGAGTCTTCAAATTTCATTAGAATTGCTCTCCAAATTTTGATAGGGTATTGTTTTTTTTTAAATCCCCTTAATTAAAATTTCGACGGACCGCCCGCACGGATCACCATTGCTGGTAGCTCTCGGAACCCGACGCTGCACAAAATTGTTGATGCCCAATTCCCCACCGCGCGGATCCCGCGTCAATTTTACCGAGCCGCTACTCGACCGACCACGCCGAGTGTTTATCTCATTTTTCTATCATCTGGCCTACAACATTTGAAATATGAAGTGCCATTAGTTCTCTCGTTGCTCACAGCTTTCAGAAATGCGTTTTAACTTTTGTCATAATAACGAAAATTTTTTTTAAATCGTCAACTCTAAAAAAGTTCATGCACGCACACGCAAAATTGCACACATTATGTAATTTTTTAATTTCTAATGCAGTTCTCAAAAAAAAAAAAGCGGCTGTCTGAATTTTTCGCTGAAAGACCTTGAATGTTGGCTTTGATGCGGTGCGGTTCATGTATAGAATTTCGAGCGCAAACCGCAACGCGACTGACGACATAGATTTAAAATTAACGGTTTGAGAAATAGACTATAGCAGATTTTTTTTGCAAAAAAAATTTGCAAATTTTTAATCCGAAAAAAAAAATCCAAAGATCCAAAAAAATCTCATTTCATTTTCAATAAATTCTGGCGTCTCTCAAACGCCGTAAATTTTTCTATAAATCATGTGGAGAAGGAGATTCTAGACGAGATCTGCAATTTTCGATTTGCGCCCAAAACCAATTCCGGAATGGCGCTCCTCAATTTTTTTTTGGGAGAATTCTTCTAAATTATTTTTTTTACATATTTTAATTAATTTTGTCAATTTTTTTTTTAATTTTTAAAGTTGAAAGCTGACAAGAAAGAACAGCAAAAAATATGACTATCCTCCGAATGTTCAATTTTTCAGCTAGAATCCAATTTCAGTTATTCACTTCTTTTTTCAGAGTCCTCCTCAAAACACCCCATAAATTACATCTTTTTAAAATGCAATCTAGTTTTCAAAGAAACAAAAAAAAACATATTACACTTTGCATGACGACTTATGAAAAAGGTGAAGGGGCGGATAGAAGAGGAACAAGATGAAGCCCGTTGGAGCAGTTGTGCTCTGTTAAGCCGCCCAACCATTTTATTGGTTTTTTCTTCTCGTCTAATTTATTTCCGCCGTTCTTCAGCTTTTCATACAAACACCAATTTCATATTTATACATGGTCGTGCTCCTGCCTGCCGACGACGAAGAGCTCTTATCAGTGCTTGATTGATAAGTTCACCAACTAATAATATATTACATATTATAAATATTCATGCTAAAAAAGGTGATGCTTTTTCTCCCGTTGGCTCCAAATTCAATTTCCGGCAACGGACCAATATAATAGTGGGGGGGGGGGGGCTCGACCAATTTCCAACCCGCTATTTTTATTATATCATTCCTACTACATACAGGGTGCGGCAAAATTACGGGTGCATAACTTTGGCGCAAGCTCATAGTGCACTGTCGCATTTTTTGTGCAGTTTTATGTTTTTATTTTATTTTCTATGACCTTTTAATCATTTTCTGAAAGTTTCATGAAAATCCGTTTCGTATAACAAAAATGACAGCTGATTCTATTCATCGTGCGGCCATCATCGACTTGAAAAAAAGGGAACGTCATTCAAGATGATTTCTAAAATCCTTGGAGTTCACCACAACACCGTACAAACAACTTGGAAATGGAACTTGGAATTAATTTGTGATTGTTATGTGTTGAATAAATTTTGCTATTAATTTGAAAGAGTTTTGTTGATTTTTTAAAAATTATTTCGTTTTATTGATGCACCCGTAATTTTGCCGCACCCTGTATATATTATGTGTATTTTATAAAACATTCATAAGTGCTTGTTTATTTTAGATGGATTGTCTCAATCTTCTATTATTGGCCTTCGCATTCCTCTTCGGACTAGGTATTTGAATTGAATATTAAAGGCGCATGCGCTCATCCTAAATTCAGGAGATTGCCGTTGTGAATGCCTCAATAAGATTGTACTTCTTCATAGCCTCGAGGATTTCCGAATTATTGCGTCGCCGGAATACCCAAGGTTCTCGCACGACATTTTTTTTTCTTTCCATTTTTGATTGTTTGACTTTTCCAACTGTTGATGATACACATTCCAACCAAATATGGAGGGAATGATTAATGATAAAATTGTAGACCGTATTGCGCCAATGCTGATTGTTTTTGGAGAATTGTTGCACCGGACAACTCGTCGAAGGTATGGAAGGGGATTCAAATTTCGTAAAAAATTTTAATGAAATTAAAAATGTAATGGAAAATATTAAAAAAAAACAGGACAAAAATTGTACATTATTTTTATTAATTTTATCCAGTAAAAAAAATGTTTATTTTATATGTTGTATTGTCGTCAAATAAAGTGTTAAAGTCCGCAATATGATTTGTGTTTTATTTTACACTTTTGAATTTTTAAATGCTAAATTTTTAAGATAAATAATACTATTGAAAAACTTCTTTTTTTTTCAATTGTCTTGAAATTAATTTTGAATTCTCTAGGTCTACTTCTACGCCGACAATTTAGATTTGCGTGATGCGGATGATCAAATCATTTTCTACGACAAAAAGCATAATTCGATAGCTGATAATGAGACTGAGTCGCATATGTAAGTTGAATCAACTTCTCGAGATTCATCTCTTCCGTTTCCAGCTGCACTGGCGATGAGCTTTGTCGTTTCGCGAGCACTGGACAGTACATGACCATTCGGTACATCATCCTTTTTTAGAATATTTTAAAACGTTTGTATTTCCGGTTTAAAACTGCTCCGGGCTTCATCCAGAACTACGGTTTTCAAGGAATTGTTTCAGCCAAGGATAAACCAATATTCGGTAGGACTTATTTTCATTATAAATAGCATATTTGACAGATTTTCAAGATTTCGATTCTCAAAATAATTCGAATTGTAAGTCAATCATTCCTTGTAAAATTGTAATATGTTCGATTTATTCCAAAAATCTATAGCTTTGCTCCTATCGCCCTCTTTCTGTCTCATTTTTTTCAACGAAAATCAACGAGAACATTTTGCAGCTCTTCTGACGACGCTCAAAACCTACTGCGTTCCGATTCTCGTGCTCACTCTCATTCTGCTCGGCGTCTTTGTCTCAATTGTGTGCTGCAAAAAGAACAAACCGAACCACTCGTATTTCCAGCGGCAGCAGCTCGGCATGACCGGCGCCGGCAAGGATGAGTCCGATGTGCTCACGTACTCGCATTAATTGAATTCATTCAACACATCGTGTGCCTTTATTGATGTTTGTATTGTATACACTAGTGGCCTCTCAATTCGTACTATTCTTTTTTCTTTTTCTTCTACCATTTTTTCCTTCTTCTTCTCTTCGTCTTCAAGTTTTCAATTTTAGAAAACTCGTCATATTGCAGACACGAAATCGACATCGACGTCGAAAGCCGCCTCCCGTTGTCAGGCAATCTATTTGAGATATAATTGTATATATTTAGAATATATCTTGCCTCTCGCAATAAATTTCCATAAAACCAAAAAAAATGTGTTCAATTTGATTCATTCATCGTTAGGTCTTATTTCCAAAGTGGGCGGAACCACTGGATATGGTCCATTGTTTTTTATAGGTGGGGATTCTACACTGATGGAGAACGGATGGAAAATAGGAAAAAAATGAAATTCATGAAGTCTGGGCGATAAGTCGACGAGAAATCAATGAAATGAAAGTATTTGAAAAAAGACTGGCCGAAAATGGATGAGGATCTGCCACCATTTTTTTTCTCACCTCTTTTCATCCATTTTTCGACCAACAATGTGCTTTCATCATCAGATCTCCTGGCAAGTTTATTGAAAATTGAAATCCCTCCTCGCCTTATTTAATTTTAATTTACTTTAAGAGAAACGTCCAGCGAGTACTGTACGCGGGGAATTTTATGAAATTTTCACGTGACCTATTCTTTTTCTTGATGAATTTGGTATTTTCTTGAATTTCTGGTTGAAATCAACAATTAACCAGATTTACTTTCTTTTTTTCTTTCGTTGGTCTGATGCTTTCTTTTGTTGGTCCGCTATATTCAAAACTTGATAGATAATTACAGTATCAAGTTGGGAGTAACTGCTGAGGTCACGGGAACAGTTTAATCCGCCAGCTCCGTCCTCCCACTGTAATCTTTCTGTTGTCGGCACAATGATAAAAGCGTTTGATATTGTTGTATTTAAAAATTGGGATATTATCACAACAGGTGTGGATTAACTAGATTTTTCTTAAGACAAAATAAAGTACTCAGCGATTCGAAAAGGGGTTAGTTTTAATTTCAGCATAGGGGTTCCGCGGTTTCTTCTAAAACTTTTTATGTACTACCTACCAGTACGACACTCCAATTACACATCGCCCTCAATATAGCGGGTCGGGCTAAACCGCGGACGACTTTTGTTTCGAAAAATTGAATTTTTTCAATTGGAAAAAAGTTATCCAAAACCAAAAAAATTTCGCCCCGATAAGATCATTGAGTAATTTTTAAGTGGCAAATACTTAAAATTTAGGCTCAGATAAAACCGGCAATTTCAATCGGCTGTTTTTTTTTTTTCAAAAAATTCACTTGGCTCAGCACAACTCGTAAGCTGAACCCCGTGAGTAAAGCGACGGACGGACAGCCGGTATTGGAAAATTGGCAAAATGCTAGCTGCTAGGCTTATTAGGAAATGTACTGTTGTGAAAAATTGTTTTAATCACTACTGCTTTGTGGGATCGCGAACAGTATTCGGCGTTAGTCAAATTTTTTGTTTTGCATATTCGTAAGTGTCAAAATATGTGCCAAAGTGCAAGTTGCGTTGGAGGAATTATACCCAACAGCTATCGTGGAGCAAAAGTCGCAAAAGACAGATGGCTGGTATAGTCTGCTGTACGCGGGTAGATTTACGCGCATGCGCCTTGAAAAGGTCTCGCCACGCGTGAACGCTTATTTTGCTGTTTTCACGTGAACGGTAAATTTTTCTTGATGAGTTTGGCTTTTCATGGAATTTCTAGCATCATTCGATTTCAAAATTATCGAACCTACTCATAAAATTTGAAATAACTAGTTAGTCCGTGCGAGACCAAGAGAAAAGAGCATGCCCGTAAATCTACCCGCGTACAACAGTCGGCTTACGCCGACCGACTATATACATATATATCGCGAACAAACAGCGAACTTTTTTGGCATAATTCCAAAAAATAACTGGCAGTCGCGCAACGTCAACCATACAAGTTCCATTCTTAAAGATCCAAATTTTCTAACTTCACGAAAGAACAAAAATCAGTAACCCATCAGGAAAGAGAACTTTTGAAAAGAATTTCCCATTATCAGTAAGAAAAAAAGCTTACCTGCTTATGCCAAGCACTAAAACGCCAAGAAGCAACAAAAATAAAAAAAAAACAGAAAAAAAAAATCAAAAAAGCAAATAATCATCGAAATTCCAAGCTGATTCCTGTCCAGAAGCAATAGAGAAAACCGAGTTGAAGCGCATTTCTTTCTGAGAACGGTCGCGTTGTTCCCTAAATTTTTTGTGTTTAAATCATATATTTTGATATGATCGTGGTCTGGGTTTCCTTTCGATAAATTGAAAAATACTATTTAAATATTAACATCGTAGAAAAATGAGGGCCTTGCATAATTGTGGACCATCGCACTTTATCGAGGCGGTAATTCAAACTCAAATTTAAACCGTGGGAATTCGGCTACCGTACTCTGATTAACCTGCGAATCAAACTCACCGTAAAGCGGCGGAGGGCGCTCGTTTTTTTTTGCGAATGTAATAGTGTATCGATATTTTAAAATTAAAATGATTTTTTTAAATACAAAATGGTATTAATTAAATGCCGAATTTTAATTTTTTCAAAATTCAGCTCAAAATGTGGCTTAAAATTTATACAATAACTTTGACTTCTCTTTTTTAAAATAAATAAACGTACTAATAAAATGACGCATATCAGAACTAATTCAGCTTTCAAACATTTTGGAACACGAGCAGATTGTCAGTTGTTGCAGGTCTGGAATCTGCAACAGAGGCTGGATCTGGAAATTATTTTTTTTAATGACATCGATTAAAATTTGCAAACTCTACAGCAGAACCAACAACCAAGGATCAGCGTGTGTGTGATTTCCGACCTAAAATTAAATTTTTGATATTGGAATCGGAAGGACAATCACTGTTCGGAAAGCAACTTTTCAAATTAGCCCCACTGCAAATCGTCGCACAAGCTTGCCCAGACCTTCTTTGTTCTCTTGGTATTCATCCTCCAGGCTCCATGAAATAAATGAAAAATAATTAACTTTGTTTTTTATCAATTTTTATCAAATGTTGTAATTTTATCAAAATGTTTCATCAAATTTTGTAATATTTCAAATTTATTGTTCCGCATTCATTAAAAAATGTTTGCCAATTTGGCAGTCCCACCATCGAAATGGTCCGACGCCACTCCCCCGTGTGCGCCTAGACTTCCCCAGGCATTTCCCTCCTGGGTCGGACCCTTTGGGTCACCGAAGCGAGGCGTTCGCCCGCGTCTCGTGGCACGAGAAGCGCGGCGCCCGTGCGGGCTCTCTCAGATCCGACTCAACGAATATTCTCGAGACACGCTCACGAAGGTTCGGAACATTCGATTTAGGGACAATGAGAAAGCGTAAGCAAAAAAAATCCTTGATTTTATAGACAAAAGTGATTAAATCGAATTAAAAATACTGGATTTTTAATAAAAACTTTATAACGTTTAAAAAAAAACCCAGCTACGTTGTAAATTTGACGAAAAACTTACATAAAACTTCTAAAACTTTCTTCGCGTCGTAGCTTTTCACGATCTTTTGGCGAGAAAAAATGAGCACGCCAACAAAATAACAGAAAACTTGATAATGAAAAAAAACAGAAGTAAGATGATGTAAATGGATCACGTTGGGCGATAAATGAACTATTCACGTGAGAAAATTGTTAATGTTGAAAAAATAAAAGAATTCGTTCGTACTAGTTTTTCAAATGATAGAAACTGAAAGGTAATAAAATAATAAATAATCGCTGACAGAACAAGTTTTTGGATGCAATTTAATGATTAAAATATATAGAATTAATGCACAGACGCATGTAAACTTTATGGAAACTCTGAAATTTCATATATCGATGTCAAGAGTGGAATTTCGTTTTCGCATTTTCGTCGTCAATGAGAAGTCAACTCGATTATTCCATTGTAAATAGTTGAAAACAATATTCCATTGAAAAAACTAATATTCCATGAATTAGTCGTCATATCAAACGCTTTCTGCAAACACGCGCGCGCAATTTTGCGGATGTCTTCATGTTCCAATCGAATTTCAATTTTTTTAAAATTTTCTTTATTCTATTTCCATTCATTCCGTCGCAATTTTTGAAAATACGCGATTATTGCATGATGGCACATTGCACGTCATAACTAACTTGTTGCATATTCATGAAAACGGCGTTTTTTTTTTTTGCAATAATAGCTCAGTTTCTTTCATCAGTTTCAACACTTTTCAAAACCGATGGCGTTCCCGCTATTCCGCACCGTTCCGAAGCCGAAACCAACCGATGTCAACGCGAATGAGGATGCATTCTTTCCAGGTTCGTTTCGTTTATGTTTCATCGCAAATAAGCAAATAATGCCGGCCGCATACGCGAAAAATCAATAACCAATGCGTTCCTCAAACGTGCTTGTGTGTATTTTTTTCATTTCTATTTTTTTTGCAAAAAACCATATAGGTCTATCGGCGGTCTTTCATGAGAAATGGGCTGTCAGCCATGTAGGCCACAAGTGCTTGACGAACCGCCGTCACAAACCGTTGCTTCTAGTAATCCTTTTGATATTCAGAGCTCGCTGAATCCGTTTGAAGGTTAGTGTTTAAATTGTATGAAATCTTGTTTTTTTCTTAAGGTCTAAACCTTAGAAATAAACCTTAGAATGCCCCACAAAATATGTGATTTCAAAATCTATTCTGTAGGAGAATTAAAATAAACCACAGCAAAATTATTGAAAAAAATAATAGTCTTTTCATCGATTTTTATGACGGATAATTCAATTCGCATATTGTAGCAGCCATGAATATGCGTTTGATGGGAACAATCCAAACAAAACAAAAAAAAATCAATAAAACATAAATATATTTCAGAATTTATTTGATCTAGTTTGAAATTTTTATATCATTTCGATACAATTCGAATATTAAAAAAAATCATAAATATTTAAGAACAAATTTCAGATATTTTTGAACAAAAATTATTCTAAACAGTGCGTCCCTTTATAGTCAAAATTTTCAACAAAATATTGAAACCACAATTTTCAATTTCTGCTAAATTTCTTCAAACAATCGTTCTGCATATGTTATTCGATATTCAGTGTTTATTTTTTGGTGTCAATGATATATGATACTATGGGACACTTTTTTATTGACTCTATCAATGGCATGTTTTATCAAACCCAAGTGTGATATGATGACGACAATCTTCAATGCTTAGTGTTCTGCATGAATATTCTTGTACTTATTGCTCTTTGCGTTTGATTTCTCTTCCTCTTCTCGATCAGGAAATATCCAAATTATTAATAAATAACACTTTTATTTGTTATAAAAAAAATTTGCAATTATATACCAACATCCGGCGGAGGCAATCGAACTAATGGAAAATTTTGTAACATTTATTGATGATTCATTATAAGATTGTGCGGAAATGGCAATTCTGTTACTTTGCTCCAAAAAAGTTTCTTGAAGGTTTTAATGTAAAAAATCTTTTAAACAGATTTTTTCATCGAGTCCTTACTATTGTATTTACTTTTGTATATAACTATGTAGCGAAGTACTCTTGAACAATCAGAGCTCAGACATATACTAGATCGTAGATCGCAGCCCCCTCTCGTTTTTAAATGTTCTACAGGAGAAGTATTCAGCAAAATTTTTTTGCTATTGTGACATCATCCCGATTCTATTCTATTTTTAAACAATTACTCGATGATTCATGTTGGATTTTTCTTTCAAATTGTTTTGAAGAAACCAAAAAAGGAATCTGTTCGATTTTTTCATTTGGAAGAGATTCTTGAATCTCTATTGATTCTTCGGCCTTTTTGGCCCTGACTTGTGAATGCTTGAGCCTCCTGAAACAAATCCCAATTTCCCAATTTTCGTCGATTCGTTTCATGTTTTGCTGGAGCGACATGATAAGGCGAATGGACCGCCTCTTCGCATTCGGTCAGACAGACGACAAAAAAACTCTGTCCTCGTCCGCACATTGCACATTTTCCGTTGGTTGCTCTCCATCCCGCTCGGTGCCCTCCTTACTGCAATACAGAATTGTCATCGCATTTTTCGTCGGATCGTATTCGTCTGCTCTATCGCCTTCAAATGAGTGAGTCATGCGTTGATGAAGCGACCCCAGTCGTCGTCGATCCTCCAATCAGTTTGCACACGACTGCCGACGGAGAGCGCCCGTCTTCGGAAAACTCTCTCAGGGTACGTTTCTATTAGTAGTTTTTTTTTTTTTTTGAATTTTGACTATATCTCATTTCAGAAGGCTTCCGACGACGAGAGCTTCGATAAGCTGAACTCAGCGCGATCGAGCTCATCGACGAACTTCGAAAAAGTTGGAAGCGAGCAGATCACAACATCTGCTTCTTCCGCTTCCTCGTTCGAGAAAATGGGCAAAAAATTGAGCGCGTCTGCCAAATCGATTGATAAGCTCGAGACGGTGGCGAAAACCGAAGAGAAGCCCATTGAGGCTCCCGAGCAAACCGATAAAATGCCAGATCCGCCGGTGAGATTTCGCCGAATGTCGTCGATTTCTGTTCGAAAATCGATGACACTTCCAGTGCCTCCGAGACGTGAATCGAAGCTCTCATTCCCTCGTCTTAAGCCGGTCAAAGGTAACAAGCATTTCGTAATAGTTTTGTAATCGACAAGTAGTGAGTCATTGATGTCAACGTCTCTTGTGGTCTGTCAAATGTTTAGCTTCCGAAATTAACGTTTCGAGCAATTTTCTTTAGCATATGGTTTTAATCAGGCATTTTTTTTCATAAGTAGGACAACTGGGAGATTTCTAAAGGCGCAACGAATCAGGGGGTTTTCCTGATTACTATGAATTATCGGTCGGACTTTAAAGAAAATAAAAAATTATTTAGATAGTGACTGGTTAAAACAGAAATATTAAAACCATTTTTGGTGAAAATAGAAATTCTGTAATTTTTCCACCAAAGCTGATCATTCCTTGGCTGATTGAAGCCCCAACACACATCATTTCTAAACGATCATTGGCCGAAATGCGGTCAACTCGTAGAATCGGCAATAAAACAGACCACCAAAACACGTTAATTCGCCAATAATCCTGTTTGTAAAATAACGACTCGACTGGTATTGTTCTTAGTCTTGAAATTCGCATGATTCATAGTTCATGATCATTTAACTGATTTTTTTTCCAAAATTCCTGCAAAACTGATCAATAGACTGATAAAAGGTGTCAATTTCCATGGCTCCACTGATAGCGTCGTTCGCCATTCAAGCGTTTGCCTATCGAGAAATTCCCCTATTTTTTTTTTGTCTTTAAATGGACCAGTCTTGGGGGGTGTAGTGAATTTTTTCAGAAAAGTCCGCTACGGCTTTATCACCCACACTGATCATTGTTATCCCCAAATAATTTTTTTTAGAATTTTTATTTTTGGATTTGAATTTCTAACAACGACTTTGAAAAATAATCGAAGAAGTTCGAACAGTTTCGAGATTATCTAATATATATATATAAGCATTCGATTTGCTTCTCGAATAATGGGTATAAAAAAAAACTGCCGGGTTCAGCAGGTGAAGGTTCGGAAGCTCCATCTCCGCAATAAGCTCCTGCTCCATTACATCGCAGGAGATGGTAGAGTGTAGAATGGTATCTTTCTCTCTCTCTCTCTCTCTCTCTCTCTCTCTCTCTCTCTCTCTTTATAAATAAATAAATAGAGAGAGAGAGAGAGAGAAATAGTTCGCCTATAGGTGCCCGCGTAGGTTTTGCACCCGACTCTTTTGCAACTTATGCTAACAAATAGAAGAAAGAAAAACTGTCTGCCGACTGTGTTTCTGTCACTGCACCGACTCGTGCACTTGTATTTTTGTGACGCAAAACACTCTGCAATTGGTTTTCGGCGAATTTTTTTTAGAGTGAATTTATTTCAAATATGAAAGGTAATTTTTTTGGAATTGTGCACCTGTTTGAAACTTCTCGCTAATTCCACCGAAAAATTATGATCTCGAAGCGAATTGACGATTTTCTCTTTAATCAATCGTATAACGAGCATTTAATCGATGAAAAAAACCTAATGTTCCACACTATCTGCAATTTTTTTTTCATTTCGAACTAATACGTTTAATGCCGATGATATCAATCATTCGCATTGCTAGAGAACTTGGCGTTTTCTCGCGATACTGTTTCCTTCTCTCATGGATTTTATTCATGAAATGAATTATTTTATTTTTTTATGCAAAGAAATGGATTAAATGTGCACTTTTACATACCCACCTTGCAAAATGCAGAGATTATTTTCACAAATTTTTATTGTATGAATATAAGCGCAAAATATGTATATTCTGTAATAGGAATATTTTCGGCTTTTGAGACCCAACTCATTTTCTTCTTTATGATAATTTTATCGGTAATTTGATTTATGTGAAAGTCGCGATTGAATCATGAATTACAATTTTCATTGAAATTTACTTATGTAGTTTGGGCAAAAACAGTTTTTTTAGCTTTTCGAGATTTTTTTCCACAGTCTGCTTAGCCCCATTATTAAAAAAAAATTAAGAGCAAATATAAATTGTTGTTTCTTATCAACAATGTTCTGGCTAGTATCGAATTCGCTGCAATGTGAGCCATAAATATCAAAAGCAAAAAATAGTGGCGAGCAGCAAGCGAAAGAGAGAGGAAGAGAAAGTGAAACTGAGTCGATGGGACAGTTGGTGCTCATTCTTGCCCCGACTGCGTTCGGTAGAGTTCATTCATTCAATGCTTGACTCTCGATTGGTTTATATTCGCCGATTTTCGCGCTGCTTTTACCCCCAACGTTTTCTGTATGTATATCAACGGTTTGTGGAGGGGTTCGATTTCCTCGAAATGCATTGTATATTATATCGAAGTGTCTGCGCGCTCCGAGAGACGCGCGCTTCATCAAAGTGAGGGGGGAGGGGGGGGGGGGTCAAAATCGGGGAGGCGCGCGCGCGCGAGGCGGAGTGGACAAAACACGATTTGATTCGACCCCAACATGATTTCGTTTGGGTCTTGTCTCGTCTCTTGTCTATGTGGATGTGTGTGTGTTTTTTTTTTCTTGTCCGATAAATGTCGACGTTGTCGTATATCCCACAACGACGATGATTTAAAATCGATACGAGACCTTGCCCTTTATACGTCTTGTTTTTTGTTGTTGTTCTTAATCGGGGTGCATTCCGTCAATGAGTGCCCATAACCATGCGCCTGGTTGCTCTAACCGTCTGCGAATCGCCGCCCAAGCCTGATGACTCATAGGCGTGTTTCGCAATTTTGAAGCCCACCCCCCTTTCCATTTTTTTTGCCTTTTTTCTCTAACCATTCACATACTTATTTCTATATATATATATTTAGCTTTCTTGAAAGAATCATTTTATTGTTTTCAAAAGATGATTTCGTCATTTCAGAACTTTTTTTATTTTATTCTTTTTTTCAGAGGAAGTACGCAAAGGAAAAATTAAAAGCATGTTTAGCTGGCTTGGTGGTGATTCTTCGAAGAAGAAGAACAAGGAGGTTTGGTGATTGATCTTTGATTTAGAAGATGATTGAATAGACGAAATTGATTTTTTTTAATTGGACCTTTAATCTTTAGTTTTTCTTCTAGAATGAATTCAATTTAATTCCAAATATTTCCTTTTTTAGGTCCTTGAAAGCGTCAGCGATGGCCTCCGCAAGATCTACAAGCAGAAGCTTTACCCACTCGAAGAGTACCACAAATTTCATGACTTCCATAGTCCGGCACTCGACGATCCAGACTTTGATGCGAAACCGATGATTCTTCTCGTCGGACAGTATTCGACGGGAAAAACGACGTTCATTCGATACCTTTTAGAATCGGTAAAGATTTTTTCGAATTTTGTTTGATTATGAAATTTCGTTTTCGTTTTCAGGACTTCCCCGGAATCCGAATTGGTCCTGAGCCGACGACCGATCGCTTCATCGCGGTTATGCATGGCGAAGAGGAAGGAATCGTACCAGGAAATGCGCTCGTCGTTGATGCGAAAAAACAGTTTCGCGCGCTTTCCGGGTAAGAATTTCGTTATCCCGTCGGCAATTTTCATCAATTTGAAACGATTTTTAGATTCGGAAATGCGTTTTTGAATCGTTTCCAATGTTCAACACTCAACAATCAGGTGCTCGAGAGTGTCACCATTGTTGATACACCTGGAATTTTGTCGGGAGAAAAGCAAAGGTTGGTGATTCAATTGATGAGAAAAAAAAACAATAGAGAACGTCATTGCTATTGAATTTTGGCATTTTTGATTGAAAAAAAAAACCATTTAAAATGACAATAAATTTTTGCAGAATTGATCGTGGCTACGACTTCACTGGCGTTTTAGAGTGGTTCGCTGAACGCGTCGATCGCATCATTTTGTTGTTCGATGCTCACAAACTCGATATCTCTGATGAGTTCAAGAGATGCATTGAAGCCCTGTCCGGTACGAATTTTCCAAAAGGAATGGCTTTTTTTTGAATAAACGCAGTTTCAGGAAATGAGGATAAGATTCGAATTGTTCTCAACAAATCCGACATGGTCGATCATCAGCAACTCATGCGTGTCTACGGTGCTCTGATGTGGTCGCTTGGAAAGGTTTTCAAGACTCCGGAAGTGTCGCGAGTCTATCTAGGATCGTTCTGGGATCACCCGTTGCACTATGACATCAACAGGTTTTTGAGTCAATGTTGACGTAACACACATATTTCAATTTCACAATTGTAGACGCTTGTTCCAAGACGAGCAGCACGATCTGTTCCAGGATCTTCAGGCTCTTCCGCGTAACGCCGCTCTTCGCAAACTCAATGATTTGATCAAGCGCGCGCGACTCGCGAAAGTTCACGCCTACATCATGGCGGAACTTCGCAAGCAGATGCCGGCGATGATTGGAAAAGACAAGAAGAAGAAGGAGCTGATTCAGAATCTTGACAAAATTTATGAGCAACTTCAACGCGAGCACAACATCTCGCCGGGTGATTTCCCCGACGTCAACAAGATGCGCGAGAAGCTCCAGAATCAGGACTTCACCAAGTTCAATCCGATCAAACCGAAGCTTTTGGAGGTTGTCGATGGAATGCTCGCCACTGATATCGGTAAAAAATTTAGCTTCTCATTGGAATTAAACAATAAATTCAATTTTCAGCTAGGTTGATGGCTCAGATTCCGAAGGAGGAGGCTGCTGCTGCTCCAAGCAACGGAGCCAACGGACACGATCCGACGGTCCGCGGTGGAGCGTTCAGTCAGACGACTGAAGCCGAGACGCCATTCGGTTTTGGAAGGGTGAGTCATTCAGATTTTGGCAACTATTTTAGATTCCTTCTATTTTATAGTATAGCGCACAATGGGTATGTTGTTCGATAGGTGACGGGTGTGTCTGTAGTAAAAAAAGCTTTCTTTTTTCTTTTACCTAATATGCTTTTTTTTGAATTTCCACTCGTAACCGTCTGTTTGTGTCTATCAGCTGTTTCGATTTTATTTTATCGAGAGTTTTGTACCAACCAAACCAGCCAACCATTTTCCAAACAATTCCTTTGAAATTTGCCATTATGCTCCTTTAAATTGATTTGTTTTCAGGGCGAAGGATTCGATAAGGGAGCTGACGAGAGCGAATGGATTGTTAATCGCGAGCGAACTAGCGCCGACGCGACATTCGCCAGTCTCGGTCCGGTCAATGGTTTTCTTAGCGGTTGGTTTTTTTTTCGATTTGAATCACTCGCCGCTGATTTGATATGATTTTAGGGCGTGCCGCCAAAGAACATATGGTCAAATCGAAATTGCCAAATTCGGTTCTTGGCAAAATTTGGAAATTGGCTGACATTGATAAAGATGGACAACTTGATGAGGATGAGTTCGCACTTGCCAATTATTTGATCAATTTGAAGCTTGAAGGTGAGTGGTTTTATTTCCCACGAATTTGTTTACTTTTCAACCATAAAAGGGGAACATTGATTTTTTTATTGATTTTGAAATGCGGAATATTCTCGAAGAGGTTCGAAAGCGTCGAATTTTCAGGACATGAGCTTCCACTCGAGCTCCCGAAGCACTTGATTCCTCCATCGAAGCGCGAGAAGCAGGATGCGGTATACCCGACGTTGGGAGACGACGAATAGTTCGAATTTGGTCGATCGATGGTTATCAATCGCATTCAAAAAAATTGCAATTCTAGTTGTCCAATTTTCTATAATCTTCTTTTTTTGCACCTTTCACTTACCGCCAAAGCATGTTTAATCGATATTCACCAACCGCCCAACTAGTTTCCATTTTTTTCGCATAATTACACATATTTATTGAATTGATTGTGATTGACAACGCTTGTGCATGATTTCCGAGTTGATTATCGATTTATTTATTGTTCGTGTTCCTAGAATGCCTTTTATAGTATTTGCCCCCCCCCCCTCCCCGGCTCTACCAAAAATGTTATTTAAAGTGCTGTCCAAAGTGAAGTTTTTTTGCATTTTGATGAAACAACTTTATTCTTGTTTGCTGCTATATCTAAACTCGATATTAAACTTGTAGATGATGGCGATTAACAGTGAGAATGTGAGAGCGATTAGCACGTTCTGAACAATGTTTCGTGGCTCGAGACAATGAACCGCGCCGGTTTTTGTGTAGAGTTCTCGCTGAAAATTTGAGGTTTTGTCCGAATTTCAAAGTAAAAATAATATTTTTCTACCGTTTCATGGATCTCGACGACTTCTTGCGAGCTCATATTGATTTGAAATGAGAATAGCAAAATATTTCACGTAATGATTGTTCCAACAATTTCAAAAAGAAAATTTTCTTGACATTTTTTTTACATTTTGCATTTCCAACTTCACAAATGACCCATAATTGGTTTTTTTTTTTTTGAGAATATTTAATTTGAGACTCCGATTTTTGAAAATTTCATTTTTTTCCAACCTGAAATTTCTTTAGTAATTCCAAAATTCAACTACAGCCAAAAAATTACAAATGTTGAAAATATCTTTGCGTTCAAATTAATTGAAATATTATATATTTAAAAAATTTAAATAAAATCAGCTTATTCTGGGCTACGTGGCATTTCTGTCGATATTTACGTCATTTTGTTAATGGGCTTGTAATAAAAAAAGCAGTTATTCATACAGCATTTGCTAAGATATTCATTACGACTCGTTCAACATATGATGATCAACCTCAGAAAACTTTAATGGGACGGACCACGACTGCTGGACCAACAGAATGACTGAGTGGTGTCCGTGGGGAAAAAACGAGAAGTAAAGGGCATCTGAATGAAAGATGGTCGGGATTTTTCACCGCCTCCTTGAAGCAATTTATCCACACCAAAGCAGTTCAAGGAAACATTGGTAAATATCTAAGAAGGCTAGGAATGGTCTAGGCTCAAATCTACTGGCTGAGTCAACAACTCTAGCGTGACGCTTGAATGGAAACAGCATGAAAGAATGTTGTAATATTTCCAATCGACTCATGTGGGTCCCAACTTGCGCAAACTTTTATGTGGTTATCGAGATATGGACCATCCAAGTTTGCCCCCCCCCCCACCCCCTCTCTGAATTTCACGTGCAATGGATTGGTTGGCAAACTATTGTGATTGTTTTGGTTTTTGCTTGAATTTATTATTTCTACCTAATTTTCTCATGACAGATGTTTGAATGAGCATAACGCCATAGAAGTCTCAGAAAACGATCGATGTAGGATGCAGGTGGTTCGAATCGTCAACAGACCTCAATAAAAAATTTCTATCGGCATTTCATGACGCGTTCGCCTTTTTTTCCGTGCATGAGACACTTTCTGCCTAATGATAACTCGGTAAATATTATTCCATTCGTCTTTAAAGATGTAAAAAGGAGATTTCTAGATTTTTCAATTTAACCACATTCATTTTCTATTTTTCTTCAAAATTTTCAATTTTTGAAAAGATGGGAATCCGATTTCAACTAATTTTTGGCACCGTAATTCTGATGTCCAAAATAAAAATTCGAGAGATGCTAATAAACCAAATAAAATAAAATAGTTGTCTTGAAATGAGTATTATTGAAGAGTTTGGATGAATATAGTTTGGAAATGCATTGTTACAGTAATATTTTCAAGGTTACGGTAGCAATAATTGCCCACTGCTTTATCGTCTTCAAGCACTTCCTATTTCGAAAGTTTCGTAGTTTCAATTTTTGATTAAGAAATATCACAATAAAAATTTTTTTAATCATCCAGAATTTCCAAGAATTAGAAATGCTTTCAAATTTCCGCCAAAACAGTGGACGGACTAGTAATATTTTTTGGATTTTCTCGGAAATATATTTCTATTATTATTATTACATTAATCTTGATTATTTCCAATAATCATTTTTCCATAGATTGCTGGGTTCTGTCGCTGAAAAACGAAAACCAGCCGATCAAAAATTGATTGTGCAGTTTGAACCAAACACACTCATAAACTGTCATTTTTTGGGTGCATTTTGAACCATCAGACCACTTCAATTGACACATTTCAAGAAGCAAATTCGAATTATTGTTTCGTTTGCACATTTATATATAAACAAAATGCGGAAAGAGCGAAAAAAAAAGCAAAAAGAATATTTTCATAGAAAACGTTTTCTTTTTTCCTAGCGATCGGGTTAATTAATTAATTAATGATTATACATTGATATAAGCGTATGTACACGTAGTTAAAGCCTAGCGATGAGCACCTCGAATCTCATACACAATTGTCTAGAAAGCTGGAAGGGAATGATGTAAAACTCTTTGGAAATTGCTATTATGGCTGAGACCAATTCAAATATTTCAAAAGCTGATGAAGTTTGATGATGAGTATACATGAATATCAAAATGGGGAGGGGAGAAGATGTGAAAAAATTATTTATTGGGCCCGAATTTTGGCGGTTCGCACGTGGTGCTCGAGTTGGAACAGATGGTCGTCTTGATCATTCGGGAACAATTTTCGCACATTTTCAGCCAATTTCAGCACATACCTGGAAACACAAAAATTGGCGGTTGAAATTTTGGATGAAGCAACTCACTCGCAATTGGGTCCGGCGCAACCGCGCGCAATCGCAATCTCGCGAGCCATTTTGCTGACGTCGTCGGGACCAAGATAGAGTTGATTCTGCTCATCGGCGACGCACGTCAAAGCCATAACGATGATCGGCCGTCGCGACGACGGGCTGCTCATCTGAACCGGCACCATTCGGAAGACGTAGCCGTTGTCGATCTAGAATCGCACGATGCGAATGGCTCATTCAGGTGTTTGTATTATACCTCTCTCTCTTTCAAATAATTCAAAACTTTGCTGATTTCCGATTTTCCATCCACTCGAAACGCCACTCCATTCGTGTACGACGTCTCGTCTTCAATCAGCGTTGCGACACGACCCGGCTGAAAGAAGCCAAACAAATAGATGTTTGATATTTGGGGATATTTGATTTGGTTCGGGGGAATCCCTCCACCGCAGCCACCACTACCAAAGACCCTCTAATCTCTGTGCACTATCTCGCAACGAGTCACGTGAACTCGGCGAGCTCGTTCTTCTTTAAAGAAACGAGACGAAAAGAGCGTGTGGGCTTTGCGGCTCAGCTCAAGAGCAACAAAAAGATGAAGCAAAAATCGTACTATAGTGGAAAAAAAGCAACTCTCTCTCTCAAAAAAAAAAATAGTAAAAACCAACCAATTTCTCATCGCCTCGATGATATGTGTTTCCTTGATAGAGCCTACGAACCCATCCGATCGCGTATCCTTTGCGACTCGTCGAGTATTCGAATCCCGGATTCCAGATAAGACTACCATAGCCGAAAATCCACAAGGATTGCTTGAAAGCGCTGCTACTAGTTGATACAAAATCCATGTCTAGTATTGACTGAAAAAAAAACACGAAAGAATATTATAAAGAGTGGCGATTTTCAAAGATCACTATGCGAAGGGGTTGGGGGGGGAGCAACATAAGAGACAATGTGGTGTTGCAGTGGGACAAGAGGTGGTGACGAGAGGGCGCAGAGACCGCCGACAAGTATTCGACAAATCCAGTCGGGGTAGAAAAAAAACAAATAAAAAAATTGTGGAACACTTTCGATGAATGTGCTTGAACGTGGTTATGCTTCGTACATTTATATGGAGGGCGACGATATGGGCTGGCCGCGGGTTGGCGGAGGGAGGCGGGGACGTTTTCACACGAGGATGATAGGCAGAGAACACGGCATTGCGTCAGAAAATTTCGGGCCGGGCGAGAGGTGCAAAACAGATGATCGAGACGGCCGCTTTTTGAACTTGGCGCCGACCACACAAAGATCGTTCTATCATTTTTTTTGAGCTGCCCGAACTTGATTGGAAATTATCACATGACCCGCTTGGGTTTGAAAAAAAAATAAAATGAGAAGACCGCGTTTTTTTTCGCGTCGGAATGCCATAAAGATAGCGAAATTTAATGGCATTTTTAATTCCGCAAACACGGTTTGAAGGACACTTAAAGAAATTGAAGAAATTCAACTCTGAAAAAAAATTAAATGTAAAATTGAATATTCATTTTCCCGTTTCACAAATTTAATAAATTGATTTCAATGAATGTGAGCCATTCAAAATGCTTTGTGCGAGGTATTTATGATAATTTGCTCTCCTATAAAATGCCTAAGATGGATCTGACCGACGTCGGCATGGCAGCCTGTAAGATGCTGTCGCGAGCGCACCAGCTCGTCACCAGCAAACAACCAGGACGGCATCCACTTTAGAATGTGTGTCCTATGCTCACCAAAACGCACTATTCTTAAAATCCCACAATTTCCGGATTGTCTAGTCAAAATACAAGTCAATATAATTTCAAGCAACAATTGTCGAATACGCTCGGATTTTGTGCAAGTTGGCGTGCGGTGAACCTGCGGACTTCAATAAGGTCACTCAAAAATTTTTATTAAATTGTTAGAAACGATATGTTTTCCATCAATTCTCGTAATTTACTCGAACTATTCTCAAAAATCGTTTCGGTTTTCGTATTTGTTGAATATTTTGATAAGATTCGCGTAAAATGTTGATGGAAATTCGCCTCAAACAATTTTCGTTTTTTCTTTGTTATCGAAAATATTTCATATTCTTCGAAAACAATCATATTTTCCATTCAATTATCACAAAAACTAATTAAGCACCTTCGCATTGCAAAACAATTCTCGAGTTCGTCGAGCGTTCACTAGAATACTCGTTTGAATGCTCCAAACCCAAACATGGAGCCAGCATTTTTCAAAAACCGTATCAATATTGTTATAAGCGTCTTAAACTCAAATAATCTCTATTGTGTGTGTGTGTATTATTTTATTACTATGTATTTGCGTTCCCCGAGATGAGCTGTTGCACTCATATGAAAAAAAATGGAAAGAGAAAGTGAAATTTGAAGAGAAGTATCATCACTTCGAGAATGTAATATATTGCGTCAGCCAATTAAAAAAATAGTAGAAATGAATTCGAAACAAAAAAATCAAAAGTCGAGAAATTTGCTAAAAATAGCTACGAAAATTTTTCGGATCAAAATTTTAATTTTTTCCAAAAACTTCAACAACAAGATGGCCTTACGAATTAGTGTTAGAAGCCTACATTGGAATGCTAGGACATATATACCATGCGCCTTTGAATGGATCTCTAGGAATTGGGTTCTGCTCCATTTAAAATTGTATCAGAATGAATCGACTGAATTATGATGCGACGCGCCTTCAAATTGGTCCTATCACGAAGATGAGTTTTTGGGATTTTTTAGGAGGGGGGTGGCACGATGAGTTGTTTGGGACTTCTGGTTACAAAAAAAATTTCGCTAGAAAATTTTATTAATCAATACTCGCGAAAATGTTTGATTTCTAAGCTGCTCACGAACATAACGAGCCTTTTCCAAAATCAAAGTTCAAAGGCCACCCTGATTTATGGCCTCATAAATTATGCGCCGAATGTGCGAACAGAAATTATTGCAAATTGGATCAAAATGAAAACTTAACGAACTGATCGCGTATCGCCATATCGGACGCAAACTCCTCGCGCACATTCTAGACGGTTTTTCGAAATAATCGCCGCGCGTTTATGCCTCAATTATCATTATACGTGAATAAATCATTCATTGTTATCATTCGCAGTCGACAACGTCGTCATCTAGAAGGTTCTCATGATTCGATATCTGCTATATCATCTCAATTAATAATTGCCCCCCAAAATAAGTGGGGGGGGTCCATAATTAGGTCAAAATCGATTTCAGATATATTAAAGCCTCCTTACGAATTATGCAATTAGCTTGCATCAGCCGCTTCTCAATTAATTAGCTAATTAGATTACCCTTTGTTTAAAGTAGATCATAGAACGTAAATAAACAGAGGCAATGATGAAAATGGGAAAAAAACAGGAATAAAATGTTGTTTTGCTAATTTATCATATGGTGACGTCTATTATTGAAAATAGTTGTGTTTTGTGGTTGCTGGAGCTCCAAATGAATCTAGAAAGTTTTTAATCTGAAAATTTTGGAAAACGTACGTTTTAAGAACATTTTATTTTTTTGGCTAGGGAAAAAAAAGGTTTTTATTGATTTCTTACAAAAACTTTAAAAAAGAAATAAAACTGAAAATGATTAGATTTAACTCTGTGTGGTCAAAAAAGTATATTTCAATTTTTCGCTATTTTCTTTCAAGAATTACACATTTTAATTATTTTAAATGAATGATTAATATTTTTTAATTGAAAGCATGTTGTTTAAAAATGAATTTTGAATAGCTGACTCAATTCCGCAAAAAGCTCTTCATTTGAACTCGTAGAAATGAAAATTGAAAACCAAATAAATTATTGAAAGACAAATGACTCAATTTCGTGTTTCTCGATGTACCAATAGAAATATCCAATTAAATTGATGCCAATCGCCGAGAAAATGAAGAAGAGCGTGAAAACGATGAGGAAACATCGCTCCAAAACCGCCGCCACCCAATCCCATTCGAGTTCGGCGATATTGCGGGTAGCGAATGGCGAGATTTGAACTAGAAACAACTTTTTTTTTCAATTTTCTCATCAAATTTTCAAACCTTCAACAGGCTTCATCTCGCTGTGTATACTTTGACTACTTTCCGAGTGAATCAGTCGCTTCGGATGAAGAAAATCGGCATTGCACGAGGTTTCCTGGGTTGCCGTCAGACTCTCAATCGTTATCGATTCTTCCATGTGTGCAGCGCTCAGAGATCGATCGGCTTTCGAGTTTTCCGAATATAGCGAGACGCTCAATGTTGGCTGACTATCTCGAGATTGCATCTGAAAAGTTTGGTTTCAAAATTTTTTAAGCATCAATTTTTTGAATATATGATCCTTTCCGAATTTCGCACACATTCTTGTAGAGCATTTAGTTCAATAGAGCGCAATTGCATACCAATTTCTGTTTCATCGAGCTATCTTTAGCCAATTTGTACACTTTCGTCCACATACTTTCCTTTCTCATTCCTCTCTTTCTCAATTTTTCTTCCTGAATTTCGAATACATAGATTTTCCCTGAATATTATAATCTACCATGGCTCTCTTCGCATAAGCTTGCTTCATGACTAATGGCATCTGAATCCAGACGAACGGCGCTATCCTATGCGTCCATTTCATCGTTTTCGGTGTTGGCGAAGTCCCGACACATCCCAATTATTGAATGAATATCACCGATGAAGCGGCAAGGGTTCCGAATGAAATGATAGCGATCATAAGAGTATAAAATACACCTTAAAAGACCGTAAATTTAAGTTTTCGTTTGAAATTGAATGGATCACCAATTAAGGGCACGCAAGTTGAAGTAGAAGGCATTTTGTCGGAAACCTTAAATATCATAATCGACATTGATAGAAGGGTCGTGATTCCAAGGGTGATTTTCTCTTGGCGCAGATCGTGGACCGACGAGGATCTGAAAAATATCCGAATGTTTAATGTTAAAAATTTAGTTGCGTATCGTCAAATCTAACTACAAGTCAATTTACAAGTCAAACATCTAATCGGGAATTATGCAAAAAATACATACTATACAGCTACCCACAATAAAAAATGTACCAGCATCCAATGGTCATTTAAAAAAATTATTAGCGATCTAATTCATACAAAAAATTCTAAAAAGACATTGACAAATACGGAGTACAAAACGCACAAAATATGGACGGACGTGAACGGATTCACTGACGTGAAAAATCCGACGATTGAGATGAACGTAATGACGGCAGTTGGCGCTATAAGATTCAGCACATAATACAATGGTTTCCTTTGAATTATTAGATCATAATTGAGAAGAGTGTAATTATTAGGGCAGCATGTGTATTTTTTGGTTTCACGAATCACTAAAACATTCAATTAATTGTTTTTTTTTATTGAAAATGAAAAACGTTACCGTTGGTTATTAAAACAGACCATCCATCATTTTCCAGGAAATTTGAGAGCCCAATTGCGCTGTCGTCGACCAATGGATAATAGTCGATGAGTTGATTGTCATGAGACCAGCTTCCAAATGTGAGACGACATTTCTGCAATTTCAAATTAGAAATGAAATTTATGAAAAAAAAATTGCGGATTACACGGCGTTCACACTAGTGGGATTTACCTGAAATGAAAACTCAAACTGTGTCAGTGGTCGATTGTTGGCGTCTTTGACGCGCAGACGAATTTTTTAAAAATCGCCAGGTTTTGGCTCATTTTTCAAGTTTTTTGAATTTTTCTCAAATTTTAACAAAAAAGTGCACCGACCACGTTTTTCGCAAGGCTTTTTTCTATCGAAAAAGCTTTACTATAATTCAATCGGATAAGTATTCGGAGGTCCGTAGTTTTTTAAAGATTGAACTGTAAAAATATTCACATTTCTTTTCTCTGTTTTTTCACTCTCTCATTTGTTAATATCATTTATTATTATATTATATGGTTTGAGTTATACGGTTATGTTTGGTAACACTTGGAAAAACATTTCATAGTTGTTTATTTTTAATTTTTTTGCAAATTTTAAATGTAAATAGTGTGTCATTTCGGCGGAGAAGTTGCAAGAGATTCTCTATAATTTTTTGTTTTTTTTTTTTTTTAATTTCGTTAGTTCTTACGTTAATTTACCTTTTTCAGCTTCTTTTTCGTTATTTATCTCTCTCGCGTCTTTATCTACTCGCATTGAATTCATTTATTGAATTCAGATAAGCACTCCATCTCGAAAATCAAAAGCTGGCGGAATGATGAAACGATATCACGGACAATTCGCTTTTCGAGATTTTTTTTTAACTTCCGAATTACTCCAAAAGACCAATGGAAAGACGTTCTCAACTCAAAGATGTATTTTTTTTTAGTCATTTGTGTTGTATAACATCAAATTGTTCTTTTCAAGCTGCCTAATGGAATCGGTAAAGAGAATCTTGTTAAATGTATTTGTTGATTGTCCATTTGTTTCCAAATTGATAAGTGTATTTTTTCCCTATTAGTTTTGCAATTTTCCAAATGTCCTTATATCCTCTTTTTCCGAATTCAATCTCTTTCGCGTCTTTATCTACACGCATTGAATTCATCTGCTACACATCATCAATTTTTATATCATAATTCAATTGTGTAGTATTTTTTTCGTTTAATTGATGGTTTTATCATTTAAAAATGTTATGTATATGTTCAAAAAAAAAAAGATCCGATATAAATTTAAATAACTTATTTAATTTATAACTAAATAGACCATAAATTGCGGTGAATCTGATCCACCCGAAGAAATATAAAAACTAATCGTTCTTATTGAAAAAACGAATCATTTTGAGAATGTTTCTAATTTATTTCACAAATTTAATTTGTTGAATTTATGCACCGGAATAGCGCTAAGCTGCAAGTGCGCTCCATTGAGAAAAATCTTTTTTTCATGTAAATCCCACTAGTGTGAACGCCGTGATTACTAAATTTCTAGTGTGGCCGCTGAATACGCGGCCACACATTTTTTCGGCCACATAATTAAAGGGACAATGCATTGAGATAATTACCTGCATATCAAACGGAAAATATCTCAAATTCAATTGGCAGCTGATTTTATAAATGGTTGGATACAAAAGCTCCACAATCGCTCCTTCGTGTTTCCCGCGCGACGTCAGTTTGACATGCATCAATTTTCTAGTGGCGGTCTCATCCATTTCCAGACTTTAAAAAACGCTCCGATTATACATTGCGAGTAATTATCAAATAATTACGAGTTATAGAGTGTAGTATCAGGAAGCCAAATGTCGTCATGTCTTACGAGAATTTCGGTCTCGTTTTCAAAGTCTTCCGGATTCCATCCCAACATTTGATCGGTCCATTTCTAGAATTATTTATTTATGGGCATTTGAGGACATAATTAGTTTAGGAACCTCAACAACCCATGAATTGAGCAAAAGAAACTGCTGGGGCTCATTCTGAACACTCAAATAAGGCATTAATAAAAAAATACGAAAAAAAAGTACGAACCACTTGTATAATTTGGTATAGCTGAAGCGAAAAAGTGACATTGATTGGCTGATTTTTCCGGATTTTCGGTATCAAATTCTTCTGATATCTGCTCAATATATCATTGGCGAGCTCATATTGAATGGGCTCCGTTCGTTGAGCTGCAATGACAAAGATTGATGAAATCATAGATTATCCCTAACCTTTTGCGATGGCCGCAGGCACGATTATCAGAAGGCTCAGAAGGTTCAGCATTCTGCAAAAAGGATGAATGAATGATGTGGAGGCAGGGAATAATAATAATGATGGAAATATCTATTAACTCGTCAATTATGGAGCAGACGACAAAAATTGTCTTTTTTTTCGTGCCAGGACCCAGCGAAAGAAAAAAGGCGAAACGAGACGATTTTCGGTGTAAATTTATGAATGAGTTATGCTATTTATGGGCTGTTTGCAATACAATTCCTCGTCTTTTTTTTTCAATCGACAAGAAAAAAAAATAGAAAATTGTCGTGTTGAAGTGAGCACAAAGCTCTTCCCGGAATAAGGACAGAAATGTGAATAAAAATAATGAATGCTTCGTAATATGTGAGAACGAGGACACGATGTTCCATTTGATTTTAAAAAAAAATTTGGATTAATTTGGCCATTAGAAACAACCAGGAATCAAAAATTTGTGGAAAATATGAACCCTTCAAAGTTTTAAATATATATATATACATATATATGTATATCAGACAGAATTTATTGTTATATTTTTGATTTGAATAAAAGAATACTAGGCTCGAAATTATTAAATTTAAAAAAATAGTTTTTTTTTTAGAAATTTTGATGGCCGCGCTATTAAGAATTTTGTTTTAAAAACTGAAATTTATATATGTATAAAAATTTTTTTTTAAACGAGCATCCACCACCTATTTACGGTGTGTGGTTAATTCGAATATGAATTCTATTCAGTTTTGGATTGTATTAAATTTAAAAAAAATTATAGTATTGAGCAAAACGATTATGGTTTACTTCTTGTGCTGAAATAAACACGCTTTTTGAGGACCCATATTCTTTAGAATTACCATGAATTAAAGAATTTACGAAATTGAAAAAAAATATTCGGTTTGGGATTTTCGCTATAGTAAATCCAGCAAACCAGCAATTCACATTTTGCCAAGCCCCGCCCACACACACACATACAAAGAATTTATCTGCGGACATTCAGTTTGAATGATAAGGCATCAAAAATCGTTTATCGAGCACGAGAGGATAGATAGATGTGTGAGAAATGCGGAATGTTTTGTGGTTAATTGGTCCGTCGAAAAAGCGGGGCCACCAGCCGAGTATCAACGCGATGTCCAACATTTTCCGACGAATTCTCCACTTTTATGATTTGAATTGCGACGCGTCGGCTCACGTCAAGTGATAAAAGTTGAAGAGATCCATTGTTCTTTTTTTTCGTCGCACAACCGATATAAAATATCACATAGTTTTTATGAGGTTCCTTATGGCTCAGGTTGCTCATACGAGACACCTTCAAGGATCAAATATCCGAGAGGTCTGGGCACAAAGCCAATCATATCGCGTCAAGACCTTTTCTTTTGAATTCACTCAACTTTGGGCAGCCGGAAAGTCAAAACCTCATCAAATGATATAAGACACGTTTCAGCTCGCCTGTTGATTCAATGACGATGTGCCTTTAAACTTGGTAGATCACAAAAACGAGAAAAAGAACACAATAGTCGAATGATCATACGAATTCGATCGACAAGAACTCATATAATATACTTTTTGCTACACACAATTGTTATTGGATACGAGAAGCTCTTCGATCGTCGCGATTTTAAAACATGATAGAACGACCATTGTTTTGCTCCTTCAGAAAAAGATGGGAGTTTCAGAAAAATAAAAATTGAGGAAAACTGATTCCGCCCAACAATACCATCTATTATCTTGGTGCGCGCAATATTCGACGGGAAAAAAAAGAAATGAACAAGATGCTCGCTAGACAAACAAGAAATGGGACCAAGTGACAAATGAAAGAAAGTTCGAAAAGGACGAAACTAAATCTTTGGATTAGACGCTTTTTTCAGTCTTTTTTTTACTTTAGAATGAAATTGTCAAAGTTGGGAAGTTGATTGAAAAGCGATTATTTTCGTGAGAAAATTCAAAGACATTTATTTCGCTAGGGGGGAACTTGAACGTATTAATTGCACTTGTGACAAAATGAGAGTAAATATTATGAATAAATCTTTCGTTTCTACCTGTTCTAATAATTCCAGATCCTTGTTGGATGATTCATTTTCTAGCGCATTATTGTTGGCGTTAAATGAGTGAGTCCAATCTTTAGCAAAATCATAAATTTACGAATTGGTAAATTAAAATATTAAATGCGCGTAGGCTAAAATGCAAAGTACGCAGACACACATACGTTTGTCTCTCCGGCACGAGATCCTGTAAATGTTGTTCAGTTTGAAAGTCGGCAATAAAATCGCCGAAAAATTCTCATGGCCTTGTGGCCGGCAAAATTGACGGCCACGTCCACGGCACGTGAAATTAAATTCGGCAAATTAAAAAAAAATTTCGTGGTTGTCCATAGAATGTCTAATAGCGCGCTAATTCAAATTTCCGAATTAAACCAAAAATTTCAAATCATTAAAATCAGTAAGCTAAAAATTCTCGAGGATCTTGGTTCTGCAAATCTTTCCACTGGCAAAATCCATTCTCTGGTTAAATTTTTTCCTAAAAAAAAAACTCCGTAGAAATTTCGTTTTATACGTATTAAACTGCTGAATAAATATTTTCAAAAGAATAAAATAAAAAAAAAACCTTTTGATGACTCAAAGTCAATTTTAAAAAAGAATTGTTATTGAATGACTTAATTTTCTAATTGAAGCTTTAAAGCTTAAATCTGCTACTCGTGTGAATTGAGGCGCTTAACATGTTTAAGAATCAAAATGTGAGGTGTCTAGAATAATTATCTAAATATATAATTTCTGTCTGGTGATATCAGTGGATATGAAAGGGGACCACCAATGACGATGTTTCTAATAATGTATTTAATCAGCAGAGCTGCACGGAATTCCGTTTTCCGTGACATTTTCCTGTTCCGTGTTCCGTTTTCCGTGCTCCGTCAAAAAAAAATTGTTCCGTGTTCCATCTTCCGTTTTTAGAAAATTTAAGTTCCGTGCAGCTCTGATAATCAGTGCTACGAGAATTGCCATCGGACAAGCTTCATCACCATAAGAATCACCATTGCTCATAATAATCCTTTTGAATGAAATCCAACATGTCTATAATGAGGCAAGACCGGACCACACTCCATTTTGTGTCTAATTTCCTTTGGACCTTCAATATCCAATATGTCTCGAGTGTCCGTCATAATTCTCATAAAAATAAGAGCTGGTCCCGTGGCCCCTAGAGCTTCACGTAAAAATGCATCATCTCTCTTGAATTTTTTTTGAAATGAATATATTAATGACCATCCACTAATCAAATTTTTTAACGCCTATCCGCACTTCTTATAAGGTTCATCGTGCAAATATATCGCATAGAAATTTTAGACTATATATTGGACTGCTCATTTGCATCGAATAATTTCAAGGTATCATTCGGACCAATTTCGGTTCATTCATTGTTTTTTTGCGGAAATGACAGACTTAAACAAATGCTACCGTAATCCCATCGATCTTTTTTTTTTCTTTTCAAAGTGAATCAAATAACACGCAATATTTTGACGCCATCTGAATATTTATTAACCGTACTTATTATCAGTTCTTTTTCCAAAAAATTCAGATCATGCTCTCTCAATTTCTGATGAATAATACAAGCTTCATATGCTCAATTTCTAACTTTTCATGTTATTAATAATCTAAACAATAAATTCTCAGCCAATTTTAATATTCTCGAGGCTCAAGTAAATATGGACGATGAGAATATTTCTCCAATTGATCAACGGATTGTCGTGGTGATAATTGTCTTTACGGTTCGCTTATTTGAAAAAAAGACTGAAAATTGGCCATATATGGGTTTAGACAGCTCTCATCGGATTCATCGGAAACTTGATGGTTTTTCTGTTCGCCACCACGCTGAAGTCCCTTCAGAATTCGTTCGGCCGCCTCGCCGCTGCTCAATCGTTTGCCGAGGCGATTCTGTGCGCGGTGTTCGCGTTCTTCTACTCGCCGATGGTCCTATTGTGAGTGCTCAAAATCAATTGCACATTATAATTAATTGTTACAGTAACTTGAAACCATTGAAACAATCATCAGCGTACGTTGGACTCGTGCTTCTTTATTGCTATGATGTGTGCATATTCACGCATCTTGCGATTGCGTTCAATCGATTTGTCGCCATTTCGCGACCAATTGCGTACAACTCGATATTCAGGTGACAAATTGGGTCCTGCAGTGATTTTCCCTAATTTTATTGGTTTTTTATTGACGGTGACCACTAGTTGGCAAATTTTCAGCAACAATTGACCCAGGAATTTGAAATTTTTGACAACAATTCCAATACTATCAGAAGCTTCAGAGCGTCCATTTGATTGAGCTTGTGATTGCTTGTCAACGTTTTCAATGGATATCATTTGAATTGTCGACATGGGTCTCATATCGAAAATTCTTAAGAGCGAGTTTTGACTAATTTTACCATTGTACAATTTTAAGTATTTTGGTTTTTAACAAAAATTTAAAATTCTCAGAGAACGTTTATATTTCGATTTTTTTTTGAACGAGTTCGTCGAAATCCAGATCGTAGCATCAGAAAGATGGCGTCAGAAGTCCATGTGAGTCCGAGATGGTGGGAAGAATTGCCAAAGATGAGCTGAACCTGATACCTTATCGTATCAGAAAGGCCGCCATTCTACTTGAAAAAAATAAAGAAGGTCGAATGAAAAAGTGCAAATCTCTCCTAGCTGGCACGCGGCAAGGAAAACGCCTAAAGACTTTCGTCGTGGATGAGAAGCTGTTTCCGGTAGAAGCTGCTTTCAATCTCCAAAACCACAGAGTGATCGCCAGAAGGTCTGAGGAAGCTATGAACAAAGGCAGAACCATTCATCGTGTTTCCTATCCTCAGCAGATCATGGTATTCGGTGGGATCTGTGCTGACGGCAAGACACCACTGATTTTCGTTGATCCCGGAGTGAAGATTGATCAAAATTACAATCTTAATGAGATCCTGAAGAAGAATTTCCTTCCTTGGTCCCAATCCTATTTCGGAAATCGATCTTGGACTTTTCAACAGTACGGACCGCCTGCACATCGAGCCAAAGTCATTCAAGACTGATGCGGCAGCCATTTTCCACCATTCATCGGGTCAACGGATTGGCCCGCTTCGTCGCCCGACCTGAACCCCATGGGCTATTCTGTCTGGGGAGTCTTGCAAGAGAAGGTGTCAGCTTTCCCACACCCAAATAGGAACTCATTGAAAGCTGTCGTTCTGAAGGAATGGGACAAAATGGACGCCAAATGGCTGCGTGCCACCGTCGACGCTTATCCGAAGCGTCTGAAGGAAGTGATTTAAGAATCGAGACGGAAGAATCGAACAACAATAATTAATTTGTGATTGTTATGTGTTGAATAAATTTTGGTATTAATTTGAAAGAGTTTTGTTGATTTTTAAAAAAGTTATTAAGTTTTATCGATGCACCCGTAATTTTGCCGCACCCTGTAATGTGAATTTTTATGAATTTTCGCAATTTTGGTAATTTTTTAAATTGTCAAATAAGGCAGTATGAGCCCATTTGATGTTACGAGACCAATTAATTGGCAGCCCGCGAAATTCAAATGTTTCAATTTCGTTTATCAGCGACAGTACATGTGAGAATTATTCAATGAAATCGGCAATGCTCACGGCTCACAAATCTAGTGAATTTCAGTTTGAGGAACAATCAAATCGTGATAGTTTTCGCCTACGCAATTCCATGCTTCACCTCAATTTACATGCATTCAGCAAGTAAGATCGAATGCCCATATAAGGTTGAAGTCGATTGTTCAGACAACTGCCTTCTTCCCTACATCGATTTCGGCTGGTATTTCGGTGTGAACCTCTCAAAAGAATGCGACGATATTCGATATTATATCGATTTTTGCAAGGACTTCGGCACCGTTGCCCTCATCGGAATACTGGATATCGCCACAATCGCGATGATTCGAATGACAGCTCCGAGAGTATTCGAAAGACTACCCGCCAATTCGAGCAGATCAAATCAAATTCAGATAATTTCCAACCAAATATCCGAAAGGCGGCGAAAAAGCGAGATCACGTTCGTGAAGCAAGCATTGATTCAAGGAGCCGCCTTCGCCGCCGAACTCGTATTCTTCTTCATCATCGCTGGAATGCAGACAACGCCAGTTCGAATTTTCATTTTTAGCACTTTATCGTGGGTATTGGTGCATTCAATTGACCCGTTAGTCATCAACAATTTCTACTCGAAATATTGCTGAAATTTTCAGATTTATTATTATAATGCTCAACTTTGAATTTCGTGCAATGCTGTTTTCCAATGGAATTTTCAGATGTAAGATTAGATTTTCAATAATTCGCCGGATTAAAAAAAATCAATTTTAAACTGAGCATACATATCCAGTTTGGGTCATAATGACGGTCTGATTTTAAGTCAAAACTAAGGCCGACGATCGATCAGAGGATATTATGAAAAAGCTTCTTGAGAAATTTTACAAAATCAGGAATGGAGATAGGCAAAAATGACGAGAAAAAAAAAGAAATAAATTGATTTTCAATGATCTTGAATTCGAAAATACCATTCTCTTGCCATCCATTTATATGGTTTTCTGAAAATCACTAATATTTGGGGGGCGGGGTGGATCATTTCCAACGAAATTGTGACATGATTTAAAGGCGCATGAGATTGGCGTTTCAAAATTTTACTGATTTAATTCTACTCTATCCATTTTTGTTGTCTCTCGCTCCAGAAAATCCAGGGTTCATCAAACCGTCGTCTCATGATCTCAGGGCTTCCTCGCATATCCACCCAATCATGAAAACCTTGAAATCTTGGAAAGGTAAAGCGTCTCTCTTCATCTGCGGACAATTTTGACAACATTGAAAACTGTCTGGGAAATAAAAATGGGAATTTTCACGTCCAAATGATTTTTTTTCAGCCATCAGTTGCACTAGCGCTTCAAACATCGAGAATAGCACAACAAACGGTCGCAATTTGGCCGGAAACATTTAAAATCGAATTCGGCGATAAATAATATTGTTTCTTGCCGCGACTTATCATCGAATTGATAAGATAGTTTCCACCACAGCTCAACTATTTATTGGCACATTTTCAAGATGAAAAAATAAATTGGTCCCTTAATTTGCATTTAATTCGACGAGTTGCTGGTTGGCGGGTTCACTTGAGCCGGCGCCTGCTCCTCTTGTTGTTGAGTTTCAGCGGCGAGCGCGGCCTCGGCGGCGGCGAGCTCATTACGAAGCTGCTCGACATACTAGGAATGAATTTGATTGGTCGACGACTCAAACTGAAGACTCACATCTTTTGCTTGAACCGTGTCGCGTTGTCGTCGGCATTCCGCCTTGCATTGCTCATAGGCGTTGATGACCTTCAACGTCTTCGGCGGAGTGACTTTCGCCTTTCGTGGGCTCACTGGAGCTTCGACGATCTCCTCTTCCGGCTCGGCGACAGTCTCTTCGACAACTACCGCACTTTTTGGAGCGGCAACTTCAACCACTTCAACTTGCTCTTTAACCTTCTTCATTTTTTGCTCTCTAGAAAGTAAAACAAATAATGACAAAAATTGTGGGGGCCAAACTTGGCAGATTTTTTCTGTCCTTTTCCAACCTTCTTACAATCAATCGAGGAGATCAGAAGAAGCGCGCAAACCGCGAAAACGACGACAGTCATGGTGTTCATCTGAAAATTGAATTTTAAATACGAATTTTCGAAAAAGAAGAGTGTAAATATGAAATAGCGAGCGATAAGACTGAAGGCTTCCATCTTCTTCTTTTTTTTTGATAATGGCGACCCTATTTATACCCAATTTTGGGTTTACTATCAGTTTATTTGACGTAAACGATGCGTTTAGGCAACGTTGCTTTCACAACAATGTTTTCGATTGTGAAAGTCGATTTGTCGATTCCAAAATGGTGCTTCAACGTCTCTGAAATTGTTGGCACATATGGGATCAATGGATTTCTTTAATTCGGAACCGAGGCTAGACAAACAATATCGGAATTCATTTTTGCTTTGAATCAGGGCTGGGCGGCAATGGAATTGTCGATTGCCGAAATTGCCGATTTTTCAAATTGCCGAAGAGAGCGTTCGATCGGCAAATTTGATTTTTCTTTGAATGTTCCACAGATAGAAAATAGTGAATATTATTTTTTTTTTCTCTCTCAAAGGTTCCCATGACTTCAAAGAAGTTCTTCGACCCCGAAGGTCCTAAATCCCATTTATCATATAAATGGTAATCCATCTAATTCCGATAGTATCCCTGACCAATAATATTTCGAAGAAAATAGCAGGGATTTAGACGCTTTTGTTGGCCGCCCCCCCTGATCCAAGGGGGCTTATAAAAGGTGGGCATTTTGCGGGTTTTTTGTTGTTGTGATGTTTCAAAAAAAAATCGGTCCATCTTCTTTTTTTTGTCTCGAGCGCTTTCATTTCATTATTTGGCCGGATGCGAGATCCTAATGATGTTAAACCGGAGGGCAACGAGCACGTCAGCTTGAGCTTACAACTTCGTTTCCTTCGACATTTGCAACTCGAAATTCAATTCTTGTCAAGTTTTGTGCTATCCGATTGATAGCGTTGACGACGCATCCAATTTGCTAGTTTCATCTTGTCATCAATACAATCATATATCTTGTTTGTTAATAGGTGCCGATTGTTTTTTTATGTCCTCGTGTTGCTCTCCATATCTCTCTCTCTCTCTCTCCCTGGCTCGATCGCTTATTGCAAGTTTGTAACACTGGGCGTGGGGTCCGGGCGGGCGCGCCAATTCATTCGAAAATTTTGGAAGCCAAAAAAAAAATTCGCGGGGCACCAGTTGTTGATCGAAGGTCGTCGTACGCACACCTCATTTTTCTTTTTTTTTAATGATGAGCCGCGAGAAGAATTTGGGGGAATTTGTTGCATTCTGGAGCCGCTGAGTTTTTGGCTCAAAAGCGGGAAAAAGTATTTGATGAAAATGCCAGAAAAAAATGGCCTTCTTTTTTGTAATGGGTGGGATCTATTTGGAAATCCAAAGAATCGGAAATAAAAATCAAAGAAGTGCCAATTTTCTGCTCTCAAGATTCTAATAATTCCTAGTCGTTTTTTTTTTCAAAAATCAATTACCAAATATTCATCGAACTTCGAAATTCCAAAAAATTTGAGCACAATTGTCTCAATGTGAGCAACCTCCAAACCTAAGCCACGCCCATTTTCAAACCCTACACAACAACCTACATATTTTCGCGTTACGACACATATCGATATTATATAATGTTTTTTTTTCGAAAAAAAATCGAGTTACGAGATAGAGGTGTTCGTTTTCCGCGTTCTCCTCATCGTTTCGTTTATTTTTTTTTTGTGTGCGCTGCTCAGAAACAAAAATTGTTGGGCTTGTCAAAGTGTAAAATTGGTAGTCATGTCCAACATGCATACGAACACACAACGGGGGCTTTCCAACAATTTCCTCGTCTTGTGATTATTATATTTTTGTGTCTCGCGTGGTCCCACCCAGACCCTCCCTCTCTCGGATAATTTGCGAGGCAATGTCAGGTGTGTGTGCATGCGCCCTTTCGGCCAACAATTGTGCCGCCATCATTCCATTCATCAGTTCATCTCACACTTTCATGATTTATTGATACGAATCGGTTTTCGCCAGTGTCAAAACTTTCTTTATGAATAATTAACCAACGAGTTGTGGGTGGGTTTTGTTTCAGTTTTTCCACGAACATCGCCTTCAATCCTCGACTCCTTTATGTGCTATTATGCGAACGCATAGTTAACTCTCGCCTATTTTTTTTTGGTCTCGAATTTTATTTTCAGGGTGATCTTTTGTTTTTTGAATACACACATGTTTATGTCGTTGAAGAAGAAAAAAAAAACTCTCGTTTCCATTCTCCAATAATCGCTTATTTTCCAGTCTAGTCGGGTTCAAATAATGAGGTTAATCAACATGAAACATTCAAGCTTCTGTCTATTTTTTTTTTGAAAATTTCGGAAATTGAATTTCCAAAATTATCTAGATATCTGAGAAATCGAAAATCCTACTCCCCAATTAATTTGGGTCTTTTTTTCGTATTTTGAAGACCCCTCAAACTTATTGCGCCCATTGGTACAATTGTCCGCAGATGAAAAATTACAAAGCGTCCAACATGATTTTTTGCCTCCGTCCACTTCATTTTCAACTTGTTGCTTTCCTAATTTGTTTGGCCGAAGTCAACCTTCTAAAAAAAAAAGACGGGAATTTGAATTCAGTAAAATCAATCAATTGGTTTTTCTTTAAAATTCTGCAAATTACTCTTTAAGTATTTTGCTAACAAAAAATTATTTCGTAGAAAATATGAAAATCTGCAACAGCTTGAACGAATAATTTTTTATAAGCCTGGATGGACCAAATTGGGAAAGCCAAAAAAATAGACATTTGTCAGTTAAATTGAAATGCAAACGCGCTCCAACGCCAAATTTCGAAAAAAGAGAGAAAAAAAAGAAAACCAATGAGATTATTAAAATTTGATAATTATTGTTTGAATCTTTTTTTCGATTTAATTTCAGAACGAGGAAGGTCTCGAAGTGAGCAATATTCGAAAATAAATTGGCCTCCAAATAACAAAATTTTTTAATGTTTCGTTTTTTTTAAGTGCCGAAACTAATTAGCAATTATCAGACGAGTTGTTTAACGATTCGTTCGGCGGTGTGGTCATTCAACGGCCCATCAAAAAAAAAGCCGCAATGAAACTACTGCCAGGCACGCGGTTGGGTTGTTTTCTTTGTGAAAACGACGACGAAGAAGCAAAATGCATCACAATGAACATCATTTTCAAAATTTCGCATCGATTGCCTTTCATTGATTAAAAATTGATTGGTTAGTTCCTCTTCGCTTCACATCCACCACACACTGACAACACGTTGCCGGCGATGATTTGTTGCAGGAAGAAATAAGATCGATGACCTTTGAATTCGTCGCGAGAATCTCTGTTGCAATTAAATTCCGGAAATTTTGCAAACAAAAAAATGAATTGAAAATGCGCATGATTTCATTCGAATTCCAACCCCCTCTTATTCATATTTCGATTCATTTCCGTAACATTTTATTTAATTGCTAAATATTCATAAAGTTGCATAATTGGAGTCGGTGAAATTAATTGAGTTTGGTGGGCGGGGCTTAATGGAAACGCATTGATGAAGCTTCGGAGGGTAGGGATTCGAATGCTAGGATTTTTGAAAGTCGCTTGTATAATTTATAACCAACTCTAAAAAATAAGAAATTTCCATTAAATAAAAAGACGAGCGTCTTAATTAATTGTGGACCATCGCACCTTTTCGAGGCGGTAATTCAAATTTTGAATTCAATAATTCGTGAACCGTCACCATAAATGGGCGCAGACCGCTCGTTTTTTTTTGGCGATTGTATTATCGCAGCTGCTTGCGCCTTTAATTACCGTATCCAATAAATATAGTAGTTCCTCAAGTGATCTCAAGGCCTCGGGATTTTTGCTCCCAATTTCCAATTATTTTATTTTTTCGATGTTTGAATTTTTTAATGGAATTGCGAATCACAAAAATAGTTAGCTTTGTCTTTTTGAGTAGCCGTTTTTTTTTTTCAAAAAAAACCAACTAGAAGTAATTTTCAAAAATCATTTGACTATTCCAGTCGAGACCATTCTCAATTCATATAAGCCTCAATTCACCTTGAAGCTTAGTAATAGCTTCATTATTTCGGATCATGGCTATCCATTAAAAATCGATTTTTTCAACCAGCTAATTTCTCTCGAATTTGTGAATTCTGAAAGTAATCATGGCGATTCCTTCCAGTCTCCTCCATCCTCGACAATGTTTTTTTTTCTCGAGCTTCTCCCTGCGCATTCATCTGCGTTGATTGCAAAAACCGATAGGCAAATAAAACCAAGCAAAAGCATCATCAGGATTTCCTTATGCGCCATTTTATTTGAACACAAATATTTCTATATTATTTTTTTTTTTTGAGAAATGCTATTAAATGGTGAGTGCACAAAAATAAGGAGAAAAAATGGATTCCAGATGCCAAACATCTTCACAAAACCAAATATTGCAATTATGAAGCTTCTCGTGTATATAAATTTTTCATTTCGACCGATGAGGTCCATTTTTGGGCATTTTAAAGAATCTCATAATCCAAAAATTAAAAAAAAAGATTTTAATGGAAAAGTTTTTTGACTTCTAAAATGAATGTTTTTGACATGAACGACGTTCTTTATTCTATAATAGGATATCCTCAAAATTCGCCGTCTTATCTGTTTGCAGATGCTCATTGAGCTTTTAATTTCCTCAAAATTTCGGCGTTTTGATTTTATTTCAGCGATGTTTCGAATATTCGAACGCCTCAAATGGGGTTACCAAAAGCTGCATATCAGCTCATGGATGCCATTTCTAGCGCTAGTGGCTTATACCGTCTTTGGCGGTTTCGTGTTTCGAGCAATCGAACGCGAGCCCGATATTCAGAGGCGAGAAGATTATAGGAATCGAACGCATTTCGCATTGCAGCAGGTTTGCTCAAACAAAAAAAACTATTCAATTGGTCGTTTTTGTTGAGATGGTTGATAGAATGCTCGAGGTCAAGTGCTATGATCCACTGTCAAAGAATGATATCCGCCTACAGGTTCCATTTTTTGGAGTAACGAAAAAAAAACGAAAATTTGCGAAATTCAGGAGAAACACGCAAAAGAGGCGATTTACTGGTTTTTGGATCATTTGAATTTGACGGTAGTCATCGATGAGAACACCGACGAGACGCCGTGGACGTGGATCGGCGCGATGTTCTATGCCGGCCAGCTGTACACGACCATCGGCTACGGGGTGCCGACGACGAAAACGCGCGGCGGACGAATCGCCACGATTTTCTACATCCTATTCGGAATTCCCATTTTTCTCATAATTTTGAAGGTTAGTGACAACGCGGAGATGAGAGAGCGCCAGACGCGCAAGAAACAAAATTTGAATTTTTTCATTTTAGGACATGGGTCGATTGTTGTCGCGCTCACTTCGCAAATTGTACAAACGGATTCGGAGCTCGAAACGAAAAATTGCTCAGTCCACACCGTTGTATAAAATCACGTTTCCGATGAAGGTTTTCGCGGCGAAGACGAAAAAAAAAGTTCATTTCGATTTTAGGTAAAAAATGAGAAAGATCCTGAGAAATGCCTACCTCCAATGTATACCGGCGAGCAGGATAAGAAAAAAGTGAAAACCAACAATTTTTTCGATTGATTTGAGAGCCATCGATTTTCAGAATCGCGATGAAACCAGTTTTCCAATATCAATTGCATTGACAATTTTAATCTTTTGGATTTTATTCTCCGCCTCATTATTTTGCATTTGGGAGCGCCAGTGGGGTTTTGTCACCTCTGTCTACTTTTTCTTTGTGTCAATTAGGTAAAAAAAATTTTGATCAATTATTTCTGAGAACTTAAACAACATTTTTAGCACGGTTGGGTTAGGGGACATTGTATTTTCGAATCCGGAAATGATGATCTACAACTTTGGATTGATCCTTGTCGGCCTTGCCTTACTATCAATGTGCTTCAATCTAATTCAGGTTGGGCTCATTTGTCATTTTTTGGTTTTGTCGAGTGATGTCACACGATGGCCAACATACAAATTGATATGAATATTTGAAGAATGCGTTGGAGCGAATGCTTGATAGGCTTTTGGACGAGTATATTGAGGAAATTGAGAAGATGGCCGAAATCGTTACAAATGACGACGAAATGCAAGAGGAGGCGATTCCGTTGGAATTCAAACTTTCTGGAAATCTTCTTGCATTGCCAATGAAGCGCGTCGCCAATGATAGCGGATTTTTGGCTGAAGCCAAGGGTTGGATGGCAGGAAGGTTCGCTATCACTCAAAATGCACAAAGAAATCCGGCTACCGAAATTTTTCAATGTCCCCAGGCGTGTGTGTTTACGCTTTATGTTTTTTTAATTGTAAAGAACGTTTATTTAAAGCTTAAATAAAGGTAAAGCGCAACACGTCTACAAGGTCTTGCAGTGAAAAATTCTGGTAGCCGGTTTTTTAGGCGGGAAAATGGAATTTTTGAAAAATGAAAATGAAAGTAACGTACTAAAAATTCCTCAGAATTCATTAATGAGTGGTCTCTCGATTATTTCTATTTTAGCACTAATCAATTAGTAAAATATAAATTTTGAAAATTTTCCGTTCCGATTTGATTTGTCATATTTTGGAAATTTTCGAATTTTGTGTGGTATCTTTAAATTTGAAGAAAAGGTAAATTATACTCAGGGGCTTAAAAAAATTTTTTTAAGACGATGATCAATTAAATATTTTTTAAATAATAATTCAACAATTTTTTTTCATTTTGATGAGAAAATATTTTGAAACCGTTCAAAATTGCATAAGATTTTCTTATTTGCTTTTTACCTTTTTTTAATTATTTAAATTTTACTGAGAGGACCTATGAGCACCTATAGACCAGAATTTCCATCTTCCGTTTTAAGAAAATCTAAGTACCGTAATGTTCTGCCGTGATAAGCCAGTAATTCGCAAATATCGTTGGTCTATATTTTGTTATTTCTTGAAGAATTGCGAATAATTTGATTGCTTCCCGACTTGGGCATACGGCTGACAGCGAATCAGAAAACGACGAGGATGAAGCTGAAAAGAATGAAGAGCAAGACAAGTTCAATGTGGCAACCGTCGATGTTGTCGTGCACGATGCGAGATCATCGCGACGGCAGAGTAAAGTGAGCTGCGCAAGTAAGTCAAAATAAATCAGCTCATTGGCGAATTTTTCATTTTTAGCTTCTGAAAAATCGACGAAAATATCTAGCAAAATTCGCCATAATCGGCCATTATTCAACACAATCAAAACATTGGAGAAAATTCGACCAAAAAATGATAATTTCAAGTTTTCAAATTAGTAATTTATTGGTCATAATTAGTCTATAATTAGATCGGTGATCTTCTCGAAATTCGTCCAATCTGACAAGCTCAATCGATTGATTGATGATGTGATTGTGGAGCCGAAGAAAGTCGCAACGACTTCATGCCAGACGGAGATGTCGATGTGCGCCGAACAGCGGAAATCGAGCAAACGCTATCGACACTTGCGAATGGGCATGATCGTCCATCGCAAATTCAATGAATTCAATGAATTTCAGATTCGAATTCGTCGTTTTCCACAACGTACACCAACTCGATGGTTCCCGATGACGATTCGCTGATGTCAGCCGCATTCTGCGATTTGAAGTTTGACTACGCCACTGAGCCATATTCGCCGATTTCGATTCACAAAAATTCGTCACAATCGATATATAGGGTATGCCGTCAAAACGCCTCCACTGTTATGTTGAATCCATACCCTTCTAGATGGACGATGACGATGTCATGAAGTCGCCAACCAAAGCCAATTTCAATTCAAGGAAGCCTGGACTTCCTCCGCCGCCTGTTCCGCGAAAGCCCGCAGCGGTATCCTCAACCCTATCCACCATATAAGGAATTTCATGATTGTAGGCAACAACCAGCCCCTTGCATAGTGTTCGTGAGCATCATGTCGATGAGGATAGAGAGATTCTGATGACACCTCGACGACTAGCATCAATGACTGATATCGAGTAAGTCGGGTTCGGTTAGAAACCATCAATTGATGTGTCCGTTACAGCCTTCTTCTGTTCTAAGGTAATTTTATCTATACGTGTAATGTTATCAGCTTCCTGCGTTACTCAATGTCTTGATTTCTGATTTCAAAGAGAAACGAATTATGTGGACAACGCAATTAATTTCAGCCCCAAGAAAGTGGCACTCGAAAACAATCCAGAGCTCAAACATGCTCGACAGATTTGCGGACTATTACCGCATGATTTTGATTCGCCTTCACAATCAACGTAAGTCAGGTTTCTTCATAGAATCCACCATACTTCATCTTTCTGATCTTCTTACATTATTGCAACATAATTTGATCTCTAAACGATCAGTTAATTGTTTGTGTGTAGTCTGGCTTTTTTTTGAGTAGTCCCACTTAAGAAACAAGATCAGAAACCATTGCAAAAGTTCAAAAACGCATTAAATGTTTGCACTCGCTTGTCCAATTTTCAGAACGACCTCACAAATGGATTCAGGGTACGAAGCTTCAAGACTGGATAATAATTAATTCCCCCATTATTTCATTTCCTTAATCATCTACGGGTGTTCATTCGTATTCGGGCAGTCAGCTGCCCAACATTTGTCGTGTTCCGTTCACAAATAAAGATGTGAGATGCCGACGTATACGGTTAGAATAACACGAGGCGGGTGGGTGCGCTCATCAGTTGACTTTGCTCATCTCATCAATCACCCCCACCGGACTACCTTAACAGAATATTTGGCGGCGGTCGTGAATTTCGTGAAAATCTCCTTGCGGCTCTATCTGTTTGCCGAGCTACCGTAATGTTTGTGATTGCACAAAAATATATATCTTGTTTCGCGATGCGCCCACACACACACGCACACACACTGGGAAAGGTGCACCCCAAAATTATTACTGTATGTATTTTGTCAGGTCAATAAAGTTCAACGGATTAGGAGGATTTGGTGTGTAATCAGATGATCGGGTTACATGTTAACTTTATCGAAGAACCACGTATATTGAATGACAATATTTGGATAATTGGTGCAATTGAACGTAATATTTGAACTAGCTTCGACTATTTTAGAAATGGCTTGATGAAACGACATTGTGAAGGCGAAAATGGAACAGAAAGAATGGAATATTTAAAAATGGGTGTTATCCACTTATATCAATCCACTTCAAATCAAGTATGTTGCTTCTGATTAGCAAATAAATAGCCGCGACGGGCGCATCAGAAACGCTATGCTTGGCTGTAATGGAATTTTGGAAAACTATATAAATCAATTGAAATTCATTGCTTAAAACAAAGGCGTTGAAAATCAAACTTTTAAAAATTGGAAATAAATTCAAAAAGGGGAAAAAAAAATTTTGAATTTGAAATTGTCTGCATTCACTGAAACGTAAAAAGGAACAGTTTCATTGATTGCGTCCTTTTCAGAAATTATAATGATATGCAGATTTAGAAAAAAAAATTTAACGGTAAAGAACCGTAAAAAAACCCTATGCAGATGTTTTTCGAAGTCTATAGTACCACAGTTTTCTATTAAATCGCTGTAAGAATAATACAAATTTCGTATGTGCGCCTTTAATCGCAATAGAAAAAATAGCAATCGTAATAAAAGAATTTGAATTTAAAAAAATAGTAAAATCGTTACGGTTAAAGGCGCGTATGATGAAATTTCGTGAGTCTTACAGCGATTTAATAAAAACTGTGGTACTGTAGACTTCAAAAAACTTAAACGCTTCTTCCTTTTTTTGCAGTCGACGTAGTGGTTTTTAGAGTTTTTAAGCCGTTTTTTATTTAGTTTTTTTTCCAAATCTGCATATAATCATAAAATATAGGTGAAAGATATAAACGAGTAGGAAATAATTCCTTATATCCATCGATGCAAAATCCTTTGTGTAAAATTTAATTCGTCAAAAAAGGTTGAAGCTCGAAGTCGAAATATCTTTAAACAGTCGGTTTCTGTTTCTCTTCCTGCCTAGACGAAAATGCAAATTTGCACACATTTCAGTTAAAAACTATAAAAATTGAAAGCTTTCATGGCTGAAATGGATGGAAAACAAATGCCATTCGGCACTTTCATAGCATAACAATAAAAAAAAGCAATTTTCAAATTTCAAAAATAAATTTGAGAAATTAAAAACATGCGCACGCAATTTAAACATTTGGAAAAAATAAATTTAAGCGTTCATTTCTTTAATTTTTTCTTTCAAACTTCACGTCTAATTTTCTTGGGTCCCTTTATAATGGACCTATTTAGCGTCAACTAACATAGTCGAAATAACTTATAATTTTTTGGCTCATTTTTCATATTTTACGTATTTGAATAAAACTGAATACCGTTTAATTATTTTAATCAAAATTATTCAATTCATATAAATGTTGGAATCCGGCGACTGCTGTAAGTAGGTATATTTACGTGCCCGCGCCTTCTCTATGGTCTCGCACTGACTAAATGGTTATTTTGCATTTAAAAGGTGATTCCGTTAAATTTTAAATTCGGTGATTTTAAGTATTCAAGGAAATGACATACTCATAAAGAATAATTAAACAGTTCACATAAAATTTTCAAAATAAACATTCACGTGTGGCGAGACCATTTCAAAGGCGCACCCCGTAAATCTACCCGAGTACAGCAGTCGTCGGGCTCCGACAATAACTCAATTTACTCTAAAAATCCCATGTCAAAAAATTATTTTATTTTTAAAAATTCAAATTTGAAAATGTCCATTTGTTATTCCAACATTTTTTTTTTCTCGCCAACACCTCATTGTAGATATTGAGTTTCAAAATTTAATTTGTAGTTTACAAGTGCTATTCATTAATCCTGCAAAACGTATTTATTCAATCTCGCGGAGTGTGCGGAAGAGAGACACATTGAAACTTTATACGCGAAAGAAGCAAGGGTCTCGAGACGCAGACGCGTGGCAACCGACGATTACCGTACCCATCACGGCCTTACAGTGTGCCGATGCTGCTGCTGCTGCTGCTGTCGGGTGGGCGGCGCGATGCAATCAGCACAAGAGTGTCGGTTGTCAATTGCACTCGAGTCTCGAGAGCTGCTCATCTCAACGACGACGACGACGACGCCGGCGATGTTCAACGTGTCGGCATTGGCGACATCGTCGCGATTGCCACGATCGACGACGACAGCGGCGGCTTCTGCTGCTGCCGCTGCTGCGGTGGCCCCCGTCAGCGATGATTCGAACGTCGGCTCAAGCGATGCCGCCGACGCGGCATCGAGTGGCATTGTTGGGCCCGCGCAGCCAGCACTTCATAACAAGTAAGTGTTTTTTCGAAGCAGCTTCAAATTGCGCGCAGTTTCGTCTTGAAGCACAAGATGATCCACTTTATGTGAAGAGATGAGCCACTCATAGATATATTCGATTACAACCTCCTAACACACCTCCTCCTGATTCTTCATTTCACCAAGCCCAACATACTGCGACGACCCATCTTCCATTTTTGTTCTTCTCTTTTCTTTTGAGCAATTATGTGAGCTTCACATCCTTCTTAAAGAACATTCGCTTTTAACTTTCTGAAAATGGTTTTTAGAATTCCGAAAAGGTATAAAATGATCTTTCAATTTTGAAAGCTATATTTCTTTTTCAAATGCCTAGCATTCAAAATTCTATTATGCTTCTAAATACCTTATGCTTTTTTTTTTCAAGCTTAAAGAAGAAAGTCAGAAGCTTAGTTTTATGGGCCTATGTGAATACCTCCAATTCGTTACTCTCATTACTTATGATTTCCAGTTTCACTGTTAGAATAAGAATAATCTAGACGACGTAGTTTTCTAATAAGTAGATCATGAGCTTTCAAAAAAAAATCTATTATAATTTTCCTTTATTTTCAACATTTTTCATAATTAGCAAATTCGATTTTTATTATTTTATTTCTTCAAAACATTGAGAATATATAACTTTTTCCATGATTTCCATGTTTCAGACTTGATTCCAAATGGGACAATTTGACAACCGACACTTCTGGAATTCAGTGCTCACCATGGACAGACCATCTTCCATTACTAGCCGGTAAAATTTTTATTATTCGATTTTTTTCTGTTCTATTATATAAAAGTCTATATAGACATTGTATGTCAAACATAGAATTTCACACTAAACTCGCCGCTGTATCGCATTTCGGAAATGTAATAGGTTGTTAGGTAATACTATACCATAATGTCGTCGATCCGTTTATGGATACTGTATATCCACAGTGTTTCGTCGAAGTCGACGATCTCGTGCTTCATTGTTTGTATTAAGCGATAGAGATGAAGAAGCGGTGGCGGACGCGCAAATACAACATCCCCGTAAAGATAAATGTATTTGCGGGACTCACAACATTTCAAAAAAATGGGGGGGGAAGACGAATGAGCCAAAAAAAAACAATGATGAAATATTTGAAAAACTTTAATTGACTTGCTAATTTTCTGCAGGATACTCATCGAATGCTCCATTCTCATTTGATCAATGCACGTATAATGGATATGATCCTTCGGCGGCTTACTTTGCCTCAAATGGAATTGCAGGTGCGAAAAATAAAAATAAAAAACAAAAAGAATTACATTTTGTTTTGAATTTTTAGGATCCATGTACTCTCTGCCGCCTAGTGATCCATTCCAGAGAACTGAGTCCGATTTAATCGACGCGTCTCAATCGGCAAAGGACGATATTGATAAGAATGGGTATGTTGAAATTCGACGGCATTTGACGTCCATTATGAAACCTTCAGACCAAAAGCCGACGATGAAGATGATGGTGTTGACGACATTGAAGAAGAAGTCGACGATGAGGACGATGGAACGGGAAAACGAAAAAAGAGGAAGCGGCGAGTGTTGTTCACCAAAGCGCAGACATACGAGCTGGAAAGGCGATTCAGAATACAAAAATATTTGAGCGCTCCGGAGCGCGAGCAACTCGCAATGCAGATACGGCTGACGCCGACACAAGTGAAAATTTGGTTTCAGAATCATAGGTAATACCTGGAAATTTGAACATCATTGAACAACCTCAATTTATTTTTAGGTATAAGACGAAGAAAAGTCATCAGGACAAACCGATCAATAATTCAATTCTCTCCAATATGCCAAACGCATTTTCATCGCAATCTGCTTCGACGACATTCTCCACAAGATCGTAAGAAAAATTTTATAGAATATTTTTCGAATAATTGCATTTTTAAGAATGCCCATTCAAATGCTCGTACGGGATACCAAGTCCGATGCTACAACGCCTTATCAAGCTGCCGCTGCTGTGGCATTCGGCAACGCAAATCCGAGCTACCTTCCAACGCCGTCGTCATATCATCCATCAACGTCGGGATATTTCCCCAATGGACCATCGAATACTTCATACATGACCAACACGCAATGGTGGCCTTCTTAATAATATTGAACAATTATCTACATTTTTATGTTACCTTTGCTCAACTTCCAATTCGTTTCCCCCGCAACTTCCTCGATTGTTATTTTCTGAACGTTTTGTTTTCATCATCAGCCGGTCATGTGTTTCAGTTTGATATTCACTTATTCCCTCTTTCAAAGTGCAGGTGCGTTTTATGCAATTATCCCTACAATTTACATGTATTAGATTAGATCAAATCATTTTATAAATCATTGCTTCCGTTTTTCTTTTTCAAGCGAATTGCACATTAAGCAGGAACAAATTTTGCGTTTCACGTGAACACACCTTTTATAAAAATCTTTTTAAATATTTTCGAATTTCAATGGCAATTTCTTTCAATACACTGAACAATGAGAACTCATTTCACATTGGGTGTGACGAAATGCGTTTTTTTGTGAGAAAATCTAATTTGAACCTAAAAAATATTTTTTGGCTGAAACGACACAAGCAAAAGTTTATGGGAATTTCTTCAAACTGCCAATCTAAAAACTTTCTTTTTTATATTTTCCAGCGCTGATAAATGTAATTAATTTAATATCTAGAAAATTCCATTCAAAAACAAAGAAACACAGAAAGATGTAAAAAAAAAGGAAAAAAAACAAGCATTGGCCTAAAATAAAATACAAAAGCAGTTAAAGGCGCATAATGTGGAAAAGTGTTGGTCTTGAAACGATCCCGTAAAAATTATTTTGAATTGCTGTTTTTCTCACATTTCGCTGTTTTTTTTTTTTTCGTTTTTCCTAATTTAATTAAAATCTTCTGAATCACGCAATTTCAATGATTTTCTTGAGTAAATAACGCTAAATAACGTATTTAGTTTCACATTTGGTCAAAAAGACGGAAATTGGCGCTCCTGAAAATTTGGCGGGTTTTGTTTTCGACAAAGAAAAACAACAACGAGCGTCTCCTTGCCACCGAAGTGTTATAAATTATCGAATTCATTGGGTGGGTCTTGAATGGAAAAAAACGTGATCGAATTCTTAAAACAATCCAATTTGTGGAAGGAACTTAGCAACCAAAAAATTGTTTCAACTTTTCAATTTAAAAAATGTTGACTTTGAAATAAAAAAAATGACAGTTTAAATAAAATTGCCGCTTGACTCCACCCCATTGGTTAAAATATACCGATCATAGTTCTCCCATCAGGAACTCATGGCTCTTCCTAAATAATTCAACAAATGCATACATAATACGAGTAGCTAATCAACTAAAGTAAGCCAATTTTCTATTTTTGGCCGCGCGGGTCATGTGTGCAATTTTTTTTTCATGGAGCTCCTTATCATTCAACACTGACGTCATAGGTATCGATTAGAAAACACCCATCTCACATCATATTTCCTATCAAATCCATTATTTTGCAGAAAATAAATAAAAATAAACAAGGCCATTAAAGGCACAGGCAAAATTTCGATTATCTTTTTCCTACTGTAATGTGAATGCGTTTCCATTATTTTTGCGGCCTCCTGTCGCCATAACATCCGCGCGAGCAAGATTTATGGACCAGTGAGAATTGATTTTCGGCAAAGCGTTTTTTTTTTTCTTCTAATTTCCGCGCTCAACACTTGATGGCCCTTCTAGTACAACTTGAGAGCTAGTGTTCGCTTTTCCAATCATCATACCACATTTCATATATATTATTTTTTTTAATGAGTTTTATTTTTCGATTGTGGGCTGAAAAACAAGCAAGCTCATTAGTATTCGTCAAGTTAGCTGATATCATACATGTTATAAATAATTCCCACATTTCAGGTCAATGAAACAGGTCTAGTTCGACTTAAAGGCGCATCGTTTTCAACTAATATTTCTAACGATTTTCTTATTATTTTTGTTCCTCACAATGTTGAAAATGTTGTTTTCCAATCCGCAATTTTTTTCTAATCTAATTGATTTGTTTCTTTATTCGTGAAGAGGCATAGACAATTGAGAATTGAGTATACAGAATGCTCCTTTAATATTAGAGATGAATTCTCAATTTAAAGGCGCATTAGAAGAGCTTCTCTCTCTTCCTCTCTGAAAACATTGGGTGCGGTTTTTGATCATTACTCACTGCAAGAACAAACCCGCCCAGTTTAAATCCCAAACCCCTCCCATTGGCATGTGTTGTCTTCTATTCCTTCAATGATGGCTCTTTTCCGACCCCTTTTTTTCTTTTATTTAGTTCTTCAGCGAACCTAAAGGGTAGAATAAAAACTGGAAATTTTGAGAACGGTGCAATTTAAAAGGGCAACGTTCTTTTCCTCAAAAAATCGCATTAAAGTGCTAGAAAAGTATGCCTAATTAGATTTTTTACTTTGGAAAACACTCATGCGCCTTTAAAGTAATTCCTCTTTTGAGTTTGTTCGTCGGCATTTTTCGAATGAATTGGGTTCATTAAAAATTGCAGGTGTCCCGCCAGTTCAAGAATTTTGTTTCATGCCGTCGCGCCTCGTCGACGTGTTTTTTTTCCCCTCTCCTCACGAATCAATGCACACCACCAATAGCGAAATAGTTGGTGGAAGCGAGAAATGGTAGAGATGGAGAAAGCGCATTACATTCATCTTCACAGCAGTTTTTCGTCGTCTATGCGTTGCCATCGATTTCAGGAGGCGACGTTGTGGTTGGCAGAAAAAGGAAAAGAAGAGGAAAGGGAGTAGTGCGAGCGCCGACGAAAAAAATGGCCCAACGTTGTCATCGTCGTCTTTGCCTTCACAAAACGTCATTTCCTTAAGCAGGCTCTTTCCTCTCTGCCCTACATATGGATATGTGTGTGTGTGCCTCCACTTGAAATTGAGCGAATTTTCACATCAATACTTTCAATTTTTTTTTGTTGTCAACTCTCATTTTTTTGTCATTTCCTCGCCAATAATCATTTTCGATTTGCCGATTCGCGTTTTGTTTTGCGCGTGCTGAGCCGCTTGATTAGAAAATCCACCCAATTTGCGAAACGAAACTAATTTGGCGCAAGGTTTCGATGATGCATCGTCGGCTCTCCGCGCAAAGTGTGAATCGCATCTTTTTGTTTTTTTTTTTTCTTCTTCCTATTCTGTTGAAGCTCGATGTAATTTCAAGGTTTCTTTTCGTAAAATTCTAAAGAATCAATACAAAAAAGTCTAAAAAGAAAAGAAAAATTTAATGCACAAGTAAAAAATGCCTATTTTTCTTTTTTTCTGCATTGAAATTTTGTCTTTTTTCTGCATTTTTCGAATGCTTTGATTTTTTCTTTGCTGAATTGGGGTTTTCTTGTTTACGGTGCTGGGGTCTTATCGCGAATAATGTCCAAAGATTGAGGCGACTTTTTTTTTCTAAATTAGCTAGAACTAATGGCCGTGGCCGTCCCGAGTTTTTGAGGCCATATCGAATAGCCTATTTACCACCGGACAATTTTCCTTTCCAAAAATTTAAATACTGATCATTTATTCCATTCTATCTCTCACTGTCACTCTCTCTCTCTCTCTCTTTCTCAGTATCAACGTGTGAAAAACGTCATTCTAAGGCGACACATTTTGAATGTGAAAATCCAATTTTATACGCGCCTCGAAAAAAAAGACAATTTCCATCCACTCGCAGTTTCTTCATTTCCGATGCCATTAGGAAACTCTTAATGCGCATGAGCTTCATCATCATATCAAGAACATGCCATCTGAACTTCTTTAAGCAGGTGATGTTTATTTATTTAAAAACAAATATGTTTTTTTTAATTGCGCAGGTGGTAAAATTGCGTGAAACCAGCTGGCCAAATATTAGATTTTAATGATATTCGTGATCATAAAAATTGATCTCATATCTAATTGTTGGCCGAGATATCATAAGAAGTTGTCTAGTCGGACAATCCAATCGGCGTTCCGTTATCATTGACCCGCTTCTATTTACCGCTCGTATATTATATTATAATGCCGTTTTTGGCGCGTTACGAAACTCATTTCCATTGTTTTCAATGTTCGCCTCGTCCCAATTTTTTTCGTTTTTTTCACGCGATGCGTCACTTTCAGAAGAAAAAAAAAAACAATAATATCAGAACGCATTTCGTTCGCCCGCGAGAAAGAGAAAAAAACACCGAATCGCTGACATATATGTTTTGTGCTTCTTTAGATATTGACATTTATTTGTTGGGAAAAAAAAGAGTTAGTTTCGAAAGCAAACACTACATTTTCTTTATTGAGAGAGATGGTTTTTCAATGAACTCGTTTTTTTATTGCCAGTTCCTCGTTGTTGATGGTCCGCAGCTGCCCAAGTATTCATAATTCAAATTCCGCATTTTATTCCCCCTCCAGTTTTGTTTACTCAAAAATGTTTCCCAAAATGGCCCATAAATAATCGTACTAATAACAAATTGTACGATTTCTCATGACAAAAACCGTTTTAGTTTTATCGCGAATTTCAAATACTATCAGTATGACCTTTCGGTGCCCATTTATGTCGCGTGCGTGTGGCTCGATGCAAGCGTGCTCTATTGCAAACATTGGTTTTCTCTTCTTTTTTTCGAAAATGGGCTTGCCTCGGCGTTGGTTTCGTCGTCAACAAACAACTGTTCGTGTTTAAATATCGTTCAAGTTTTCGTTGCATTTTTTTTTGCTTAAAATCATTTACACTAAATATTTGCTTCATTTTTGACGTGAACTTTAGAAAAAAGTGAATTTTTCGACGAAAGTTCGCAATTTTCATTTGTTTTTATGTAGCGATTCCAAAAAAATGTTTTTTTTTTCACAACGAAATTAGACATTTTGGAATTGCTTGGTTTTTTTTTTCGTAATTTTTAGAGTCCGTAAGATGATTTTTTTATTTCGTATCCGATTGTTTTGCCGCCTCAAACTGATTCGTCATCATTCGATGGAACAGTTCAGGGTGTGTCCTCCAGGGTGGTCGCAATGTGTTCAAACGAGATTAGCTATCAGAAACGAATGATTGTATATATATATTGCAAGTCGTGTCGAAGAAATAACGGTGAAAAAATTCTTGCTCAAACTCTTCGCATCGCCGTTTCTTCTACGTCGCGATTTCCTGAGTATAAATATATGTATATACGATTCGAAACCCAATGTGGGGGGACAGGATGAGAGGGAAATACAACAGCGGGTGAGCGCGCGGCCGGGCGAGCGACGGGCCGAAAAAAGAAAATGAATTTTATCGATCGATGATCCTAACCCACCGCCGCCGCCGTCAGTGCGTTCTTTCTCTCCCGCTTTCGTTGCGGTGGTCGCCGCACTCGTATACACACATACACATACACTCGCGCCGGCACACGTTCATACACAAGCGTCGTCGCGTTTTTTTCTCTCTTGATTCGTTTTTCCATCCATTTCGTCGCTTGCCTCCGTCCATCATCCATCAATTGATCATCAAACGTCCTCCTCCCACTCTACCATACATGTGTTTCAATAATTTGCATTCATTTTTTTATTTTCTGTCGCTCCACTTCTCAATATTTTCGAATCATTTAATCAAACACCGCTATTGAGTCATTTCGTTTTGCAGCTTCAAATTCGATTGAAGGAAGATAACTAGCGGGCAAGAAACGACAAAAAGAAGAACGAAAGAAGTTGCCAATAAATTCGTGAATTCAATCTTTCGAAACACAGAGAAATGTCTAGCGATGGCGATCTGAATATTGACAATCTTATAACCCGACTATTAGAAGGTAAGCTTCTGTTTGTAACGCTCATAAAAAATGTTTGGCAATAAGAGATGAATGCGATCAACGTTGTAAAAAGAGATTTTTTTTTAGAAATCACGTCTCTCAATTTTTGATTTATAAAAAAAGTTTGAATAAAACCTATAATTATTCCAAGTAAATTCTATATTAGTTAAAAGGTCGCATATGTCCCATAGAAATTGGCGGGTGGGAATAACAGGTTTTAAATTTAAAGATCAAAGTTTGACACTATCGAAACTATGACGTTCCGTGTTCGAATTAATTGCATTTCAGTTCGAGGATGCCGTCCAGGCAAGCCGGTCACGATGACCGAAAACGAGATTCGCGCTCTCTGCCACAAATCGCGGGAGATTTTCCTATCACAGCCGATACTTCTTGAGCTTGAAGCGCCACTAAAAATTTGCGGTACGTTTTAGGTGTTTTTTTGTCGTGGTTTCGTCATACCGGAAATGCGAATTTCCCATATATGACGATCACCATCATCATCATCGGCATCATCTTCATTCGATTTACAGGTGACATACACGGACAGTATAATGACTTGTTGCGTTTGTTCGAGTACGGCGGATTCCCACCGGAGGCTAATTATCTGTTTCTCGGCGATTATGTGGATCGTGGAAAGCAGAGTCTTGAAGTAGGCGAATTGGAATTTTGATTTTAATCAATAATGATGTTAATTCTTTTTTTTTACAGACAATCTGTTTGTTGCTTGCTTATAAGGTGAAATATCCCGAGAATTTCTTCTTGTTGCGCGGAAATCACGAATGCGCGTCGATCAATCGTATATACGGATTCTACGACGAATGTAAGTGACGAACAATGTTCAATTATCGAATTATTAACAGCCGAAAATTATCTTTTTAATTGCCTAATTAGCGTCGCAAAACTGAAATGAAAATCAATGCGACGTCCGTTTCGAACTCGAATTATCACTTGCATTATATTATTATTTTTCATTATAATTAGTCTCGTTACACGCCAAGAAACCATTAGCATGTTTATATTTTCTGCCGTCTCCGAACGAGGGACCATTGAGACAAACAAGCGGCGTTCTCAAATGAAAAACATATGTTAGGTGTTTGTTGTGAGAAAAAATAAATGCAATAGCCGAAGCCTTTGTGTTATATAAGTGTCGCCTGAAACTAATGATACTGTGTAGATTTTTGAAAAAAAAAGAACCTAAGTTCTCTAAAACCCTATGAAAAATGCAAAAAGAATTGTTTTGGTCCATTTTTTTGGGCTTCTTGTAATATCTGACTAGTGTTAAAAGGCGCATTGCTCCTTTTATGAATGATCTCGTTGAACCTAGATGTTTCTTCCAGGCAAACGTCGGTTCTCCATCAAACTTTGGAAGACATTCACTGACTGTTTCAATTGTCTGCCAATCGCCGCGCTTATCGATGAGAAGATCTTCTGCTGCCACGGCGGTTTGTCGCCGGATTTGCAGAACATGGAACAGATTCGTCGTGTGATGCGTCCCACCGACGTTCCGGACACCGGTTTGTCGAATCGAATTTGTTGAATTTATTATCGCCGATGTCGGCTTCTTTTGCAGGATTGCTCTGCGATCTGTTGTGGTCCGATCCCGACAAGGATGTTACAGGATGGGGAGAGAATGATCGAGGAGTGTCGTTCACGTTCGGACCAGACGTCGTCGCCAAGTTCCTCAATCGGCACGATCTTGACTTGATCTGCAGGGCTCATCAGGTTTGTGATTTTTATTTAATTTTTGGTGTTGTTGATTAGAATTTCGGGAGATCGATTTTATGATTTTTGCTCTAAAAACGATATTATCAGGCGTTATTAATGATAACTAATCCTCTCAATCTTTAGTCATGAATTAGTTATTCGCTGCTGCTAATTTAATGGGAGGGTCGCTGTACACAAAAAAGGGAAGTATTGATAGGTTAACTGGGGGGGGGTCTAGTCACCCAATTTTATTTAAATTGTTGGTTATTCTATAATCAAATTAAGCAATTTCGTTTCAGGTCGTCGAAGATGGTTACGAGTTTTTCGCCAAAAGACAATTGGTCACACTTTTCTCCGCTCCCAATTATTGCGGTGAATTCGACAATGCCGGCGGAATGATGAGCGTTGATGAGACATTGATGTGCAGTTTCCAGGTATGCCTAGTTTCTTCATCTTTTTTCTCTATTTCTCTCTCTTTTATTGGGACGACATCAAACATCACACAGTTTTGTCAAAGTTTCAGTAATTTAATGGAAATAATGAAAAACTAAAGATTGGGGAGGGAAGAGGGGGTGGGGAGCTTGTGACCGACGCAACGCATTCTGTGCGATTCTGTGCTCGTGGGTAAATTTCGCAATGAAACTTGTGGGAAAATTGAATTCATTTGAAGCAATTGATGAAAATTTCAATTTTTTTCATAACGGGATCTTCAATAATGCGCTGCTTTGAGACCAATAATACCATATTTAATATTTAAAATATATATAATGGAGTTTTGTGGGAATTTTTTAACGTTTGGCCTGAAACTTCAAATATTATTGTTTGTTTTTGTTTGAAAAAAAAAGAAGTTCTCAAATTGCATTCGTGTCGTCTTTTTCGTGTGTTTTTATGTACCAACTCGGTTTAAAACAAAATGATATCCGAAAAATTGGTCTTGGGATCATATAAAATAGACCCCCGAACTAGGCATATTGTGGAATCTCGAAAAAAACATTTCTTGTGTGTGTATGTGTGTATTTACAAGAAGTGACAAAAGAATGCACACAATGCACAATATTTTTGAAGTGTTTTAGTCCATTTTCAAAAAGAAATGGCAATGACGAAACGACTTGCTCAACAGTTAGCACCGAATAAACAATTTCGAGTATTTTTCGTCGAAACATCACTACTGTGCTCGAAAGTCGGTCGATTTTTGGAAATCAAGATTTTGAGCTTGAACTGTTTGCACATATGAGCAATGCGTTCCAATCAACGTGTGATTATTTCGTTTATTGTTTGAATTGTGACAAATGGCCAAATTTGATGGAATTGTCAATAGGCGCGTTCAAATCAATCAGAAATCGAACGGAGTTTCGCGGAATGCCATGACGTCTTCATAAATATTTAATAATGACGTGTATAGATAATTCGTTTAGAAAACACAACAATTAGCGGGTTTCTAGTTAATTGGTGGTGTGATATAAAGACGAATGCTCTTGTTAGGAAAATTATGCTTCAAAAATATGTTGTTATACATATTGGTTTAATATTGTTGCGACTTCACTTTAGTGAAAAATGTGAATTGTCATTTTGTGTATTAAAGACTAATACCCAGATGTCGGTTCTGTAGTGATATGGGTTACGATATCACAACAAAAATGTTAAAGGTACATGTGATGTTTCGGAGTGGGTATCCCGTAGCGAAGAATTATTGTTGGATCGGTAGAATTTTTGGCAAATATCTCATTATATGAAGCATTGAACAAAGAAAACTGAAAATTTATTTTGCGAGTTGCAAATTTTAAAACTCAAAAATGTATTTCTTTAATCACTTCACAACATTTTTTTGTTTTAAAATTTATAGAAATTGAGTGTTCCTAAAGATGATTTTTCTTTTTTAAAAATTAATTTCATTTTTTTTTCAGATTCTGAAGCCATCGGAGAAGAAAGCGAAATATCAATATCAAGGGATGAACAGCGGAAGGCCGGCGGTGGGCGGAGCCCGACCTGGAACGACCGGCGGAAAGAAGTAAACGGGAGAGGGGGAGAAGCCTAAGCGAAAAGCATATAGCACATAAACGCGCACATACACAAACAGCAAAAACTCGAAACAATTTTGATATGTATTTCCATGTTCTTTTTTTACATACAGCTTTTTTTCGTGTATTTCCCCCTATCATTCGTTCTTTATTTTTGTTTCTGATCGGTTGTCGTCCGTCGTTAGACGGTGGCCATGCAATGCATGGACTTGCACTGACATTGTCTTCTTGAAAGCATCAAGCAATCGCCGAAAAGACTTTTTGAGGAAAAAATGCACAAAATCGAACATTTTTTAGTGTGCAGACGATTTTACCTCCATTATTTGTTTTTGTCTCATTGATTTCCTTTTAAAAAAGTGTTTGAATTCTCTTATTAGAACTGTGTTTTGTTTTTTGAACCTTACTTTTTCTTCTTCTTATTTTTCCCACAAAAATCTTGTTCAAAACGCTATTTAATTTAATTTTTTTGTTCTATTGTTTCCATATCTCGTATATTCCTAACGTTTTGGAAATTGAACCCTCTTTTCAATTTTTATTCTTCGCCGAACAATAATTTTGATTATGATTTTGGGAACTCCATTTTTTTTGCTGTATCTTCTCTCTTATTATTATCTCCTAAATTTGTATGCTTCATTTTAGACGATATGCGAGATAGGGCTCAAATATGTAGTTGATTCTTTTTCATTTTCATTTTTTTTTCGTCTCCTGTCGGTAATATTTTCAATACACTAAAATACACCTTGTGTGTGTACATTTTATTTTTTTCCTTCTTCTTATTTCGTCTCGTTTTTTTCTTTGAATTGAAAATGAATTGAAAAATTTGTCTATTTTTTGATCGAATTTTTATTTGCTCGAACTGGTTTTTGGATTTCGCGTGAACGTCAAGCTTTTTTTGGAAGTTTCCGAAAAAAATTTTTCATTTTAGTTGTTTGACTAGAGCAAATCGAAATTGAGTTTAATGGATGGTCTGAGTCATACGGAGAGCAGGTTTCTTGTGAAGTGTCCGCATATAGATTTTTATTTTTTTTTAAGAATGGGAAAAAGTTTATATTGTCATGATTTCAAAGTTTCGCGCTTTCAGAATAATTGGATTCCATGGAAAGGTCACGTCTGGAATTTGGGGACGTCGATTTCCCGATTCATCATCATCATCATTTGATGGAGTGGAGAGAAACGAGATTTATGCGTTTTCGTTGTTCGTTCTTTCTTTTGTCGACCCACCGACGGATTCTTCTGCAAACGCGCGTTTCAGCAGCGTTTCGCCATCTGTTTGGCATTTTTCCAATAATTCTCGCCCACCAGATTTTTTGTTGATTAAGCTTTTCGACAAACAATGCACCCTGTCCTGACGGGTTACGTTTTTGATCATCGAGTAACGTCGAGAGCGTCGGCCTCGGGCGACGCTCCACTTTTACGCTTGCTTTTTGTTTATCGTAAATTGAAATTTCAAAGTTGAACAGAGGAGATTTGGCGCAAATCTTCAAACTATTTGAATTTCCAAATTGGTTTCGTGTAAAAAATTAAGAATTTTATGGAAACATTTATAAAATGAAATTTAAAAAAAATGTGAAACTTTGCATTAAATGTGCATTTTTAGATCCGTGCATTTAAAAAATGAGTATTGTCGACGTCGCGCGACTGCAGAAAATTGGCAAAAAGCCAAAAAATTTTGAAAAGTCTCAGTATGTGCCTTTAACCTTAGGCCCGTAAATCTACACTGTTAGTTTTGCGCCCAGATCACTGTTTTGGCATTTAGCCAATTTTTCGCAGACCCGCGGTAATTTTTTATTGTCTTAATTTTTTATTGCATGAATTGGTCCATTAATCATTGTAGTACTATGCAGATTTAGCAAAAAAAATCCTCCCTATAGAAAAAAATTGTTTTTGGAGTTTCTTTTTTCCCCGGAAATTTGCAGAGCCCCATTATAATTTTTAAAAAATCCATTTTTGAAATGATTATTTCTCTGGTAATATGTTTCAAAAGAAACCAAAAATCTGGTAATTTCCATTCATCATAGATTTTTGTTTCTCCGTTCAGTATGCGGCTCATTGAACTCCAAACGTCGGCCTCAAAACGTAGGATTCCTTCCAAGTTGAATTGATTTATCGTCTTTCCGCCACAGTCGATCGTGCATTTTTCTGTAATCCATTCCTCCCATGAGTTCTTGCATTTGCAATTCATTTGTGTTTCAGCTGGTACACATTTACAATTTTCTTCGAATTCACAGTTTAACAATTCTGCTTCTTTCAGTGATTTGCATCTTAGCTCAGGGAATTTCCCGTTCGTCCATAAACTTGTCGATTGGTTTCCTTTCATAAACCATTCGCTGTTGATCGATGATGTTGGAAGGCTCACTTCTTGTAGATGAATGGACATTTTTCCCAGTGTGTTGCCTGTTTCAAGTGTCACATTCCATTGTTTCTTGACATTTTTGAAGCTCCGCAACCGAGTTTCCGTGATTTTGAACACAATTTCATGCTTCCAATCGCATCTGTACAATTCCATGATTTCTTCGTTGATCGGTACTGCGTATATTCTGTATAGAATGCATCCTGAGCTGGTGTAAAAACAATCACACCCCCATCCACCACATGATTCACTGCAACCCGTCGTCCCTGGAAATCGATTGACTTCGTCCAGTTCTGTCACTTTCGAATTTTCTGTGATGTTGGCGCATTTGTTTTCCGTACACGATCCCATTCTAGGGCATCTTTTCACACTTAATACTTTTTGTTCTGTTTCTCTAGAAAACGCGATGGTATTTTTATGCATTTCATTCGCGATTCTATGAATTCGATCTTCAATTCTCTCAATGTTATTGCATTTTTGTTACTCGCAAACATGCTTCACGTGTCCACGAGTTAAATGCAATGTTCTCCTTGATTTTCCATGCGCATTTTTCGTGATCTGCGCTCTTTGTACATAGCAAATTCCGTGATTCTGTAACATCGACTTCTTGGCATCCATTCGTTATCCCAAAGTGAACTAATACTAATGCTATAGAAACTGAATCCCAGTTGATTCGTCGTCTTCGTCTTTTTTCTATAAATTTTTCTGCAAACCATCTGAATAATGGTAATACCGTCCATTTCCCAAGCTTCACTGTTATTTGCAATATTGAAAAGCATAGTTTGATCAGGATTCTTGTTACAACCGACACAATCCATATCAAATTTGTCATCATCGTGCACATACATCCGATAGTTACAAGAAAAAGAAATAGTATTGTGGTCGTCGCAATTGCTTTGATTGGGTGACAGTGTGGATTCAATATTAGTTCAAGGCATACGAGGCAATCGATCTCCTCACAAAATTCTCTTTTTGATGGATTACATGATTTCGATTCCATTATCCATGTCGATCCTTTTCGAGCTTTCATTTTTAATTCAAAAAGTCGTGTTCTTCTGCTCGGTGGTATCCATAATTCTAACTCCTCATTATATGTTGTCGATTTAATGCAGTAGGCATCAACGCAGATTTCGGAAATTTCAAATTTATCGGCTTTCAGCTTTCCTCCAGTTGGTACACATTCCAAATGAGATTCGTGTGCTCCTGTTCCTGCTATCAGCATTGTTATCAAAGCAATTGTCATCCATCCAATTGTATTCAGTGATGGTTTTTTCATCGTCACATTGATACAGTTATCTTGACGTTCCTCCTCTTCTCCTTCTTCGCGGTAGTTTACTGGTTTCCGTTCTCGCAAGTTGTATCTTTTGATGTTTCCATCAGTTTCGCTTACGTTTGGACTTTCTTGTTTTTCTTCATCATTCGTGAATGTTTCTTCTGGCAATTCTAGTGGCACAATCGTATTCACTGGTCGTCTGAGTCGTTTTTTGTTAGCGGTTTCGACTTCGACTTCGCGAATTTTTCCATCTGCACTTTCCTTGATTTCGACAATTCTTGCCAATTTCCAGTGATTTCGTGGCGTTAAAGTTTCATGCAATAAAACAATTTTTCCAATTGTAGGGATTTCTGTGCATCCTCTTTTGTTGTTCATGGATCTCTTGTGGTTCGCTCGCAGATCTCGCATATATTCTGTTTGCCAAATGTTCCACATTTTGTTCAGTTGTTCCTTGTGTGCTGTTATCCATGTCATCGCGTCTTGTTTTGATTGAAGTCGCGCTGCATCTTCTGCTGGAACAAATGCTCCAATGACTGGGTCTTCAACTTCTTCGAATGGTAGATTGAGGTGAACTCCTGGGTTGATCAAGTCAATTGGCCGTAATGACTGGAAATCATCGGTTTCCGATCCAATGTAAGTTAGTGGGCGAGAATTCAACATTCCGGCGATTTCCATCATTGAAGTTTGCAATTGGTCCCATTCAAGGATCTTTTTCCAGTGCTCTTGTGGAATGATTCTTTTACTGATTTTACTAGTCTTTCGTACATCCCTCCCATCCAAGGGAGTACGGTGTAATCACCTTCCAATCAATTCCTTTTTCAGCTGTCATTTGTCTGATGTCGAGCGGCCATTGTGTTTGCGCTTCTTGTAAGATTTCTGCAGCTAGTCGAAATGTTGGTGCGTTGTCAGATACAATTGTTGTTGGTACTCCATAAAAAGACATAAATCTTCGGAGACAATTCAGAAATGAACCTGTCGATAGATTTTTTGTGCAATCCACGAACATCATTCGTGTCGTTGCACATGTAATCAATACTCCGTAGCCCTTTCCGACCTCGCCATTGTCATTTCTATAGCTGATTGGTCCAAAAAAATCAATTCCAACGCATTCAAAAGCTCGATGTCTTTGTACGCGGTATCCTGGAAGATCCATCATCTCTGGATATCTATACGGCAATTTTCCCCATTTTTGACATGGAATACATTTCGCTTTGAAATTCAACACTTGTTTTCGCAACTTTGGGCTCCAGAACTTCATTCGAAAATTCGCCATTGTTTGAGACGTAGACGAATGATAGTCTCCATGCGCTTCCTTTATTAGCCATCTCGCCATTGCCGAGTTTTCTTTGATCAAAATTGGAAATTTTTCGT